TGACATCCAAATTGACTGTCTTATCATGTCGAAGTGATTTCAGCTGAGTGGAGACTGTAGATGAAAGCAAAATGATCTTTAAATAGTAGTTAAAGATGGTTGCTCGATAAGTTGTTCCACAACAGTTTTGATCAATGAAGCATGCACTCAATATATTGCCTATTTAGATATGTGAGATTAACTTAGCTGGGTTTCTAAATGATTCATAAATTATATTCCCTTCAGTACAAGGTAATGACTTTATGGCCTTGTTGAATTCTTAATGTTGGGATGTACTGTAAATGCTTCAGGGGAATTATGGCGAGCTAGAAAATACATTTTGAACATAGAGTATATTGCCTTATGTCTCTTGCTTGTTTTTTAATGCATGATAACATGTTTTAATTTGTATTTCTTTATCTATACTATATGTTTTTATCCCAGTTGTACCATCACACCGGCAAAGATACATTATTTAAAAATATAATACAGTTATTACACAATGAGTACCTGTTCTTGAACCACTCACATGGATGTTGACCACAGGTCGAGTACGTGAAAATGGGCCTTTAAGCAATATTTCAGGAGAAAGCTTTGACTACTTCATGTCCAAAAGCCTATGAATTGAATTTGCCGTGCTCTCCTACGACAAAGCCTGTCAGGTGGGAGCTAGGGCTGTAGAAAATGTCAAAGCTATTTTCCTCTTTACTAGTCAATGCAATGCTTGTTTAATAGTAATTGGAATCTTATCCTGCTGTTTGCTCATCATTTCCTGTGCCTAGTTATTCCACACCTAAACTCCATTTAAGTTTTAATAACATTTTAGAATAGTTCCCATTCAGGTAAACAGAATCTGATTACCTTGATGGATTGAAAATGTATGTCTGGCGGTAGTTTATTTGATTTATTTATTCAAGGGGCCTCAAATGGAGCCACTTTAACTGAGGCAAACAAATGGTTGCCGTACATTTTCCAAGAGCACAGTGTTTTACAGAAACTGTGAGATTTTATATTTTGTTAGCCTCCGCACTTCTCTGTTCCACTGTGGAGACACTAGGCACTAAGAGTGAAAATAATGTCAGCCAGACTTGTTTGTTCAGCCAGTCAGCATATTATTGTTGCAGCATAAAATAGAGGGTTCCACAATCCACCTGTTCAAGAGAAAAATACCTTCCAGTCGGTTAGTTTTTCTGACTTAAGATATTTCCAAAAACTGAATACATGCACACTCAGTGCCAGAAGCCAATGAGCTGGAGTCTAAAACTATTCTGTGATAGTTTTGGATTTCCCTCTTTCCATAAGCCTCTCATTGTGTTCGAGGGCCTGCTTTGTACAAGTGCTTGCCAGCTGCTTACCAAATGAGGTTATAGTGTTTCCCTATCAACTGTAAATTTCAATAATTTGTTGGAGGGGCCTCTCACTGTCAGTTTTTATCATATTATCAATGACGACTCAATTTTCCTCTGCCACTCCTTCTCAAGCACTGACCCCCGGCCCTATTACAGTCCTGTAATGAAGTGCAATGGAGTGGTAATTGGTCCACATTATACCAGATCAGGTAACATTAGACTTATTTTCTTATCACAATGAGCCCTGCTGGTGACTCTCAATGAGAAACCAAACACAGTTCCATTCTTATGCAGGCTATCATCCAAATAACATTTCAGCTAGAGAGACCCTTTTCCCATTTCAGTTTTCCATTTCAAGATTGCACTTCATGTCCTCGGACTGTGCTTTGTTTGTAGTTTCCTCCACTCTAAAAGTCCCCCAAAAAGCCTCAGAGGCAGTGCAGATATGAGGTAGAGCTTTCTCAGGATGGGGAAGTACAGTAAATGAGACGGTAACATGACCATTATGTGGGCAATATTAGATGTACAGTACTCTGTCCCTGTTACAGCCTTCTGCCTTGGAGTGCTTATTAACTTCAGTTTTAATATTTTTCACGTTGTTCGGTCATTGTAGAATTACACGCTTTTCTATGAAGTAAGCAAATTTCATGAGCACATGAAACTTGCAAATGTGCAAAAATGCATTGCCATCAATGTTAAAATAAGGCTGCATTTATTCCTTCCTCAGAAATGATCTTTGTGGAAATACAAAGTTTTCACCTAGGAGGCACATATGTAGATTTTATTGAAATCAAATTCAGTTAAAAACATAGCACAAACCCACTTTTCTCATTGGCATTAGTAATTCTGTTTCTGTCAGCTACAAAAGAGATTTCATGACTGAGTATCAAAGAGTTAGCTAAGAAAAGTTGCAAAATGGTTTCTACCCAGGTTTCTGTAATTATGCAAAATAAATAAACATGCAATTATTAGTACAATAAACCAAAGCAGCTTCATATTGAACCTCATGTTATTCGGTCTAACAAACATTTTGACATGGCTCAGTAAGACTAAATAAAATTAAGGTCAGCCTGGTCATTGATAAACCTCCTGTATGTAACATTAGCTAATCCAGTGCCGGTATAGCAGAAAATCACAAAGCTATTGGTCTGAACCGAGCTAGAACTGACGCACACTCTCTGGCAGAGTCGCTGTGTGCTGAAAACACACTGCAGACTCATAAGACAGGATATTGGATAACAAGGTTAAAATATAGGAGCAAAAATATTCTCTTATTAAACCCAAGCTGCAGGGATTTGCTTTGAGCCACCTAATAGATAGTGGTTTCAAGGGAGCCCAAACAAAAGGTAACAGGCCGGTCATGCTTATGGTAGCTAATGGCAGAGTTAGAAGAAATTAGGGGATTCTTTTTCTACAGGAAATTGTACTTAAAGACGGGTCATGGATCACCCTGCTCTTCACAGGCAGCTTCAGAAGTCAGAGAGTGAACTTTTGCAGCGGCCATTAAAAGGTCTACGCTGTAGAAGCAGGTCAAAGCAGAAACAAAACTAATTGTATTATTGGAGAAAGGCGAAGCTGTGTAAATTGATTTTGTGGCTGAAATTCATGCTTAGACAAGTGAATAAACTCTTCTGTTGTGATTTTGTAACTATAATTACAGTAACTGAAGATTGAGGACAGGGCAAACCTAGAGCTACAGGCCAAAATAAACCACCAACACCAACAAAAAGTTTGAAAGCGTGAGCCAACAAGAAACAGCTTCATGGCTTTGATTCGACAAATGTCTGGAAGTTTGTTGAAGTAATTCTACTAGAGATGTGATGGTTTGGTGTTTTGTTGATGGCTGTGGGAAAAGCTGTTTCAGGTGCTGCCACAGAATCCCCTGTGAGTGCTTTGTTGGGCTGCGATCAGGCTCATCATTTCTCATACAATGATCGTGATCACTGATGATTGCTTTGTGTTTATTGGCATTTACCTCAACTTCCAATTGGTTCAGTGGTTCTAAGTCATGCCAGGAAAATATACCTCAAGTGCAGCCTTCAGCACTTTAATGTTTTAGGTTTAAGCTCTGTAGCCTCAGTGTAGTTTGTTGTTGCTGAGTCAGTTGATTTAGAGTTGCCCATTTGTTTTTGCCTGTGTACAAATATCACTTTTTTTTTTACATTTAAGTGATGAAATTTCAAACACTTATGAATCATCGGCCCGCTGAATCAACACAGAGTGGTGTAGAGCTGCACAGCAGTAATTTATACTGTCTATCAAATGAAATGTGGTGCAATGTGGTATTGTTAGCAGAAAGTATTTTACATGCCATGGAGACTACTTTTTCTTCCATTGTTGAAATGTGTTGAAATGTGCATTATATACTGCATTAACTGAAAAACAAAATGTCAGACAGTAAATATTGTGCACTATATAGTAAACAGAGAGTGATTTCAGACACAGCCATAGTGCATTCCCCCCTGCCACAGGTTGTCTTTTCTGTTACCAATACAAGTCCATCTCTCCAAAGAAAGACAGGCTGCATCCACATTCCCTGTGAAGATATGACCATATTCTTCCAGTAGAGTGCAATCCCCCTCATCCAATAGTCTTCCTCTGTTGATGAGCCACGGGGGTGTTGTCATTAGTTCAGTCTTCCACACAAACTTTATCTTAAACTGAAGGGAAAGAGCAGGTGCTTTTTTCCAAGTAAAGATGCTCGAACCAACTCCATGCAGTTAGACATGTTAAATATCTCAGTCAAAAAAAAGTTTAAATTTAAATAATGCATTATACTTTAGTATAATGGGAAATTAGTGCTTAAGTGTCTTACCACACCTGTATAGTATAGCGGTACCTGCACTGACTGCTTTCTTCTGGTGATTGTCTGCATAGTGACGGTTGATGGGGATGGTCTGTTGGCCAATGTAAGTGACTGTTTGCTGCCCTCTAGTGGATATACCAGTGTGTAATGCCATAACCAGTCTGTAACCACCATCACTTTCACTTTTAAAGCAGTGTTGTCATATATTAATGTCACGTATCACATTTTATATTTTATATTGGTATTTTGAAATGTGGTCAATACATATTATCTTGTACGTAATGAGCTTTACAATGACCCAAAAACTGTGTATCAACATACTTAATTAGAGTTAAGAGAGTTATGGGAGTTAGACATTTATAACAGCACCTCTGTGATACTAGAGACTTAAGTGTGGGTAACGTGATCATGGTTTTTCTGTTTTAAAATAAGCACAATGTTTATTTGAAAAGGGCCTATAGCCTTAAAGTATCACTCTGACTGTGAAACTCTCCGGACACAGTGCACCTTGTTAAGGAAGTGAAAATACGGAAGAAGCATGTTTTTCACACAACAGGTGAATTGATGTATTTGTGTGTGTGTGTGTGTGTGTGTGTGTGTGTGCCCAGTATTTTTGAGAACAGAGAGCAAAAGCGTATGTAAAGTATTTCCTACTAAACAGACAAGAGGCTTTGTGTTAACTGCTTTCGGTGTCAGGGTCTGTGCATGTATGCATTCAAATTCAACAAAATGACTGTTAATCTCACTCTTCTTTTTATTTCTTTCATAATAATAATAATCAACTTTCTGCAAATGACTGAAAAACAACGGAGGTCATGTTACACGACATGACACCACGGCGGTGCATTGTATCACTTCTTCAACTGTTTCAGGAAGTGGGGCAGAGTCACCAAAATCAGGAAACTAAGTGTTGCTATTAATACAACTGAGCAAAGAGCTATTGCTGGTGAAAGCCAATACGATATCAGTTGAAGAGAAAAGGAGCAACTAAAAGGACACATTTGAGATGCTCCTTGTGGAGTGATTTTGTGCACTTTTGAGGCTTCACAACCATGGAAGAACACATGTCAAGTATTGAATCAGGTAAATATGACATACTTTTCATAGTTGTCTCCTCCTAAGTCAGTTTCGCTTGCGGCAAATGTACCCAAAAGTCATATACTTATGTAGAATCAGCACTTTACAGTTGGTCATTTATTGCACAATATGCTTTACTATTTTAAAATGTTTTGTTTACTTTTACTGCTTTACTTTTTTTTTTTAAATATGTGTTTATTTCGTTTATCCTCATTTTAGTACTTTTATTGATAGTTCTCTTCTGAGCTTATACAAAAAAAAGAGGAAGCAAGCATCTTCCTGTACGGTTAAATTCATGTGTCGGTTACTTTATAATTTCCCACATGTCTAAATTTGAATTAGTCATGTTATTAACCCATTTAGAAACAGATGGCAAGTCTGTCTGCCCTGTCATCAGTAGGAACTGTGATGAAGGTGAAATAGTCGTGTTGGATTTCTTTCCCAGTTAGCGTGTACAGAGGTGAACTTGACCTGATTAAACACTGTAATGAGTCAAACAAAATTACTCTGACCAGTGTTGACACATTGCAATGTTTGCACAGCTCCTTGTTGGCTCGGCACTGAAATATTGAACAAATGGGACATTCATTCTACAACCACGGTCACCTTGACATTATAGGCATTGAGGTGGATGTTGTGGAGCATTTCCCCGATCAACACTACCTGCTGCAACATGGAAACCAACACATAATATGACCAGTGTCACATCATTAGTGTAAAGTTTGAGCTGATTATAGGTTCTTCCAAGCACTTTGAGCTGCATATCTTGTATGAGGTGTAACATTACAGTGAGTCATTTCACGTGGTTACAGTACATGTTTAAGAGGAACTAATGATTAATCTTTTCTAGTTTAATTCTTTGGTAAGGCAATATTGAGACTGCGTGTACTGTACATACTAAACTCATCATAATATATTTGTTTTTTCAGCAAACCCAGAATCGCTCTCAAAAAATGAGCTGTTAATTCTGCACACAGCTGATGCACAGGAATGGGCGATGTATTTAGAGCACATCTTGAAAGCCTCTCCTACATTCCGCCAGTGGTCTATTGTGCTGTATGCCGTCAGCCCAGCGGATCAGCTCCATGGATATAACTTTGACTATTACCAAAACTGCCAGTGCATAGTGCTTCTCCTCTCGGGATCATTGCTGGACATGCTCTATGAGCCTGAACCGCAGAGAGAACTTCAGAGACTTCTTTACCCTCCGCACAGAGTGGTGGCGCTGCTGTGCGGCGTGACAGAGGATGACATGCTGATGGAGATCTTTGAAGATTGGCAGAGCTGGAGAAAAATCTATGCTGACGATGAACCTGCTGTCTACGTTTCTACCATTTTGGAGTCCATTGATGACAGTATGCAAAACACGTAATTCTTTATTTTTTTGTGTGCCTCACAGACCTCACACTTTTGTGATGTATTGTTATAGTTTATTTTTGAATAATTTAAAATACAAATAATTACAAAAAGACATATTATCACACTTAACTGTATCTTCATAAGCAGAGCATTTTGGATTTATGTGGTGAAGTTCTGAGATGCTGAACTTTCCTTCACTGCAATGGAATGAAAAAGATAACTCCCAGAAATTTGACACTGGATGTGATGGTTGAGATTTGACAAGAAGTGCCATCTTGCCTTTCCATAAGCAATGTCTAGGTTAGTCAGATTAATCCTCAGAACTGGCAGTTTTCACTTGGACTGCTTTTTGCCAAAGGAATAGTCTTAGTAAAAACTGCTCACAGAGAGGTCTGTGGATTATCAAATGTTTTGAATATGTAATTCTATTCACCTCCATTGTGGTGGCAGATGTTTCAGACTTTATATAAAACCGAAACAATCTGTAGAGGCACGGAAGAAATTGTGTTTTTTTTGTGCATAGACAGAGCCTTTGGCTCATGCTGAATAACTGAAGCCTGCATATAAACACATTTAAATATCTAGAATATTTAGGTGTCCATAGAAGTAATGGATAATAATTTGTAATAAATGTTTTTATTCAAAGGCAGGCGAGTGTGGGTTGAACATGAGAGCGAGGCTGCAACTGAAGCTGAAGTTGAAGCTGAAGCTGAAGCTGTAGCTGCAGCAGAGTTGCACATCACAGCAGCCTATTCAACCGAAAATCCCACCACTGATGAAACAGAGGAAGTGGTGTCAGAAGAGCAAAAAGAAACTGTCCTGAAGGATAAAGAACCAGTGAGTACGGGGATTTCATCAAGCGAGGAAATCAGTACACCCACGCATCTCACCTGTCTCACAGTTCAGCCAAACAGAGTACTCTGCGGGGTAAGTCTGAAGTAATTGCATAATAAAAACATCAAAGACAATATTGGCATGGATCAGAGCTGCTTCAAAGGCAATACTACATGTAACGAGTGTGTTTAATTCCCACTTTTTTGTAATTTAATTGCGTGACAGAGATGATTAAGTGCAGAAGTTTTTAGCATTTACATTCTGTTACTGCTGAGTTTGTATGTATCAATAAAATATTTTACCCCAATTCTTGTTTTCTAGATGTGAGATAGTAATGTCCTGGTTGAAAATAATGACTAAGAAGCCATATTAATTCTATTTTCTCATTTTGTTAAGGAATTGGAGACACTTTTTATCATTTTCAAGCACAAAATAGATGATCAGTCGGTACAAGAGGTGGAGTTTTTGTCTGAAAATGGTTCTACAAAAAGGATCCCCGGCACTGTGGAGAATGAATATACTATAAGTGTTACTGCACCGGGCAAGTATCTTCAGGAAGTCATGTGACTTATGTGTGACTTTATGAGATCATGAAATGAATGTATTTTTTTTTATCTCCCCGTATAGATATGCCCGCTGGAGTGGTATCGCTCACCATGTACACTGACCAATCCTGTGTCAGCTTAAAGCCTGTTACATATTATACCAATATGGGAGAAGTCAGTCGGTTTGTTGAAAATGCTACTGATCCTGTTAACTTCATCTGCCAGGTGAGATATTATGTCATATAGTAAACATTGTTGTTTGCTGCTTTGCTCATTTTAATTGCTCTCGAGGTTACGTCAGTCATTTTGTACTTTCAGGCCTTCAACTTGACATCCAATGCAACAGAATCACTGGACAACATGCTAACTGACTCGTTAAAATCCAGGATGCCCGAAACTGGTCTTCAGCTGTTTGGAATCAGACAGATTGAAGAAGACAATATGGCAGCATGTGAGTACAGCACTCTGATTTCTTCTGTTAGTTGCCAAAGCTGACTTATTTGGGGGCATTCCACATATAGTTTCCCAAAGTTGGGGGCAGATCTGTTGTTGTAGATGTATGAACAAATCTGGACCCACGTGTTCTCCACCTCTGCAATGCCTGTTTGATCAATTACAATGAAACCCCAGAGAGTAAAAGCAACTTTTAGGAGTCAACATACATACGAAAGCTTATATCTAATTGCTTTTGGTCCTTCAGATCAGCGTAATGAGGAGCTTCCCACGCTGCTTCATTTTGCTGCTAAGTACGGCCTGAGGAAGCTGACCACCATTCTCCTTCAGTGTCCTGGGGCTCTGCAGGCTTACAGCGTGATGAACAAGTATGGAGACTATCCAAACACGTTGGCAGAGAAGAGCGGCTTCTCAGATCTCAGACAGTTCATGGATGAATTTGTCGTAAGTCCGGTGATGAGCTTCTTTTTCTTATTTTAATGTACTGCAGTATCCAGCAAAGTGTTGGATATTATCTTCGGACAGTCAGGTTCTCGTATCATGTTGGTCAGTGTCTGCCTGTCTTTTCTGGTCAAACAAATCTAGGAGACAGCAGACATGCTCAAGTCTCACTTTGAGGACTCCATCAACACAGAGGAGAGTGCAGATGTGTATGAGTTGATGTCAACTTCGTCTCAAGACATCATGATGAAGTACTCAGGTTGCCCAGAGGACATATATGAGTCAATGCTGGGGATTGACCCTGACTGTGCAGAGGACCTATGTAAGATTAAACAGGATTCTATTTATCGGCCTAAAAATTATGAAGATTACAAAACCAGTGGTTAAACTGTTTTGTTTTTTTAGATGAGGTAATGAGTGCGGTAGACGAGAACCCTGAGGAAGCTATGCTTAGGAAGTTCTTCCAAGGTATACTTTTGAATAAATTTCAAAAGTACTGACCTGAAATAGCAACATAATATATATAATGTATAATATATTATGTGTAATGCAGTTTTGTTGTGTCCTTCAGCAAAACCTAATGCCAGTGTAAACCATGACAACAACCAGCATCGGAAAACAACTGAAGACAACCATAATGACTTAGATCAAATTGAAGAAGAGGAGGATCCATACAACCTCTGCCCAGAGGATATCTATGATATTGTGGATGAAAATAGTACCTATAACCCAGCAATTCTGAACCGTCCACCAGCCCCCATCCCAAGGCCGGAATCTGAGCCTGAGCCTGAAAAGCCTATGACCTACATCTCTAGAGGTATGGAGAAATCTGTTCTTTCCCCAAAATGTTTTCTTTACACATGAAATTTCACAAAACTGCTCTCTAGGCAAGAATAGATAACTCAATATTTTTCACAGTGTTTTCAGATAAAGATATGTCCCAGACTAGAACGTTGGAAATGGGATATCCTCCAGGTAAGCGCACTTTAAATTACTATTGAACAATTCACTGTTCGAGTCTGTTTTGTCATCATTTACAGTTCAAGTTGATAGAACCATAATACACCTGTTAATAATCTCATTGGTGGCGTACAGTATGGAAGGAGAGAGAAATATTTTGGGGGATTTTGCAAAATACAAAAAAAGTTAATTCAACAGGCACGAGCACTTTACTACTTTGAAAGCTGTTAATTCACAAAAGCGTGAGCTGAATCTCAGTTTAGTAAACATTGCCCATGATGTCCAGCATCCACATAACATTGTCTGTTGATTCAGTATGTTTGTGTTTGTTTTAATATTATTTGTGTGTTACAGCATTTTTAGGCTTGTCTTTGAAAGCAAAGCATGTAGTACTCTGAAAATTAACACATTGCTCTCTGAGAATAAAATATTTACATGACTCTCTACTCCTAATTAAAAGTAGGATGACTGTGGGGTGTGGTGTTAAAGTTTTTTATTTGTGTGTGGGCCTTATTTGCATCACCACTTCATTTCTCATAAACAGTGAATGCAAATAAAGTTAGCATTTAGCAATTTTCAGTCAGGGGAATAACTCTGATTAGCTATGCAGCATGCCTGTGGTTCTATAACTTTAACATATAGTACTGTAGTTATTTTGGTAACTGCCCTCCTAGCATTATGAGCGCTATTGTCATGAATGCATGAAGAAGAGATCATATTTTGTTTGTTTTAACCAAATGTCCTTCTTTGTTAACTTGTCCTCATATACACTGAAGAATGGATCAAAAGATTTGGATTTTTAAATACTTTGCTAAAACATCAGTGGGGGGTTTTTTAACTCTGGCTATTGAGCTTAGTTCTGTATCCATATCAGCTTTCCACATGAAAGAGTTGTACAATTTAAATAATACAAAAAATGCATACTATTGTTACTTTACACTGTTTTTTCTAGTTACTGAAAAAGTCTTTATCTTTTCCCTGAGCATGAAATAATGCAAAGTAGAAAATGTTTGATAACTCCTGTTTTTGTTGAATGTCAACCTTTTCCACCCATCCAGGTCAGCCTGCGGCGGAGCCCTTCTCTCCTGTTTATGATCCTTATGCTGGGATGAAGACACCTGGACAGAGACAGCTCATATCTCTGCAGGAGAGGGTGAAAGTCGGGGAAATTACTGTGGATGAGGCCGTCCAAGAGTTCAAATCCTGGCAGCTTGACCATGAGCGGAGGGCCAACTCCATACGCTATCAGCAGGTAGATCTACTATACAAACTTAATGGTCTGTCAGGGGCTGATTAGTGCTCAAGGAATGGATCTAATATGTGTCATGTGGGCTTTTTTTCTACAGGAAAATCTGAAGAAATTACGAGACAGCATCACCAGACGTCACAAAGACAGACAGAAGACAGGAAAGGAGCTTGGTAGAATAATTTGACAAATTATTATTTGAATATTTATTTTGTTTGTTTGTTATCAAACAGCTCTAATGCAACTTTAATATATCTCCATGATGAACTGACTATACACTGGAAAATAACATTCTGTTTGTATAAAAAATGTTAATATTTGGTCTCTCCCCTCTTAGATTATGAGATAAGTGCTCCGCTGCAGAGGAATTTATACTGGGGCTCTAGTGTGACATTAGAGTGTTCTGTGTACGAATCAACACCCAGAGTGGTGGCTCCCCCTCCAGCTCCAGCGGCTCATGCTATCCAGAGAGGAACCTGGAAGACTGGTAGCACGTCCAGCACATCTAGTGAGTCCACATGCTTTATTTTGTTGCTTCACAGCACTGTGGCTCAGTGGTTGGAACTTTAACTAAACAAGAAGGATCAAAGTCTAGATTCTCAGCTATTGATCTATCGCCTTGTGTTTGCATTAAAAAAGCAAAGAGGGACTACTGTTGAAGCTGTACTTAGATGGAACACACTTTGTGATTTGGGCCTCCCCGAATCCCAATTCTGATCATCAGTCAGTCCTTTCTGTACATCGCTATCAGGTTGTGGCTAAAGAAACTCAGAAAGGATGCAGCAGGAAAAAAAGACTTACAGTGCATCACTAGGACGCATTAGTGATATTGGAAGTCCCAACATCCGCTTTTGTTGAAACATTTAATGAAAAGCTTTATTTACTTCTTTTTTTGTTTAACCAGTTTGGTGCAACATGGGTGACGGTATGTAAAAAAATGCTTAAAGTTAAATCCAGTGGAATAGTGCAACACTAGATTAAGAAAAGCACAGAGTGAGAGTTAAGAAGATTTTGGATTCTCTCCCTTACACAATCCAACAGCACTGAACAAGCCATAGCGTCCTCATTCTGTTTTATTTAAGAATGATGCACAGTGTGTCAGGTGTTATAGGTGTGAGCAAATTAAGGCGTACTTCAGGCTGAGAACAATTGCAATTCCTTCTCTGAATTTCTTTAAATCCATCATTCCCAGCATCCTGATTTGATAGTGGTTTCTCACGGTACTGGGACTTTGATTTATGGACTGGCTGTGACCTGTAGCTGAATGGGGCTGTTGCTCAGTTGCAAGAAAAACATGGTTCTCCAAGATGTAACTTCTTGAAATGCCTGCTAATCAGAAACTGAACCCACTCAAACAATTTAGAAAAAATTCTTCACCCTCTGAACTTGACAGATGTCTTGACTTACAAACAAGTCCGGCTATGACGGTTTCCTCTTTCGATGATATGTTTCAATCTGTTAACGCTCCCTCAATGAATGCAGATTCAATCAAATGGTTGAAAGACCAGGTGAAACAAATCCCTGAGGAGCTTCGGGTATTATAATATAATGTTGAGGAGATTCCATCTTGTACTGTTTATTCTTGTGTTCTTTATTAGTTATCTACACTGTCTCATATTAAAATCATTCGTAGACCCAATTATTCAATGACAAAATGACGCAACCGATTTCCTGCAAACTGTCCCTTTGTCTCAAGATAAAACTGCTTGACATTTTAAAACTTTGCTTAAATACTTTTATTGGCCCATGTCCTGTTCCTAAAATTTGAGTTGTCTTAAATTTTCACTTGAACACTTATGAGGAGATATAACAACAATTCCTCTCTGATAGCTTAGCTAAAGAAATTCTTATGTCCCAGAAGAAACAGAAATCCCCCACAGTCAAATTACACTTTGACAAACTAGGATTCTTAGTTAAAGACTGACATTTGATAAGATCTGGCAGCCTCTTTTCAGAGACTTAGAGACTTTATTAATACAGTCACTGTATGTTTAAGTTATATTGCTTATCTTTCAGGGTTTTTCTAGTTTCCAATTGTTTTTTTTAATTGTTTAAGTGGTCTTATAACATAATTCACCACAAGCACAAACCTCAGAGAGACTTGATCTCGTGTTTTCTTTCCTCATCAACTCGTTTTTATCTTTACATCAGGTACTGAGAGCAACAGACTCAGCACTCACAGCACCTTTAGCTACAGCAGCGGAACAGAGCCTGACTTTGAGGTGAGCCCACATTAACAAAAAAAAAGACAAATGCAATTTAATGCGTGTGGAAATGGCAATCTTCACACAGACTTTTACATCAGTCAGGGATGCACTGGACAGTTAGAAGCTCTGCGCTGCTTTTATTGCTGTATAAGTGCCTGTGAACCAAACTGAACTTTCTCTTTCTTTTGTGGTGATGGACAAGTCCTTTCCTCTGCTCTTGTAACACGTATCACCTATGAATACATATGCAGCGGAGAGGTAGACAAAGAGTCTAGTGTTCAGTTTTGTTCTGTAGTTGCTGCCTATTTCAGTTCTTCAGTTCCTAAAATACCTAAAGTACAGATCTACTTTTAGAATCCCTTGACGCCTAAATTTATTAATATTTTATTTATTATTTGTTTTCATTTGCTTTCAAGCTCATGTTAAATTAAGTGGAGGTTGTTAATTTGTCTATAGAACATAGAAAAGATATAAATTCAGCTATGATGTAGGTATGATGCAATTAGCAACAACAGGCATAAATGAGAAACCAGTGTTCCAAAGGTTCCTAGGTAAGTATCGAATATGCACAAACAGGCATTGGGGGAATACATGCACCATCTTGGCTGCAGTCTGAAAGGAAGAGGTCTGATGCAAATTCACGACAGTCGGTTTTAAGGGGTTAAATTGTACTCAAACTGAAAGACCCATAATTTTCTCTCTTGTGAAATGTTTGAAGTTTGACACATTGCTCAATGGTTTCTCAGAAATCACTTGTCAGGGTGTGATTAGAACTGTGATGCTTTTTCAGTTTTAACACCTCATTGAAAGACTTTGTCATATCGTAAGGGTCTTATATCTGATTAAGATAGATAAGCCTGCAACTAACAATTGTTTTCTTTATTGATTCATTGCCGACTTCTTTTTCTAATTACTAGATAAATCATTATAAATATTAACAATGTCATGGCAGTTTCCTCAAGCCCAAGGTGAAATCGTAAACTGCTGGTTTTGTCTGCCCATTAGTCTAATACACAAAGATTTTCAGTTTACTGTCGCACAAGATTGAGAAATCATCACAAATTTAAATCTACAAGGGCGACATTTCTCCTTGAATTACTTCAATTATCAAAAAAGTGGATTAATTTTATGTTGATCCATTAATGGATTAAGTGTTTCAGCTGTGAAGGTAGAGCATGGTGGAACGTTGGATTTGTCAAAATGTTTTAGTTGTCGTCACAGTATACATTTGATTTTGTTTGTTTTATCAAGGACACAATAGAAAATGTCCCTCCTCCACCACGACCTCCGAGGCCATCTGATGCTGCATCCCTCACTGCTCCACCGAGGATTCCTCCACGGATCCCAGAAAGGTCAGTTTAAACACCCAGGGATTGAGTTTACTGATGTTACAATGCAGAACAATACAGTATTGAACCATACAATACAATATAAGTCTATATAAAACAATGCAATGTAGCAAATATATCATATTGCAACGTGGTGATACCTACCTAGCAGTGATTATACAGTAAGGAAAATAAGTATTTGAACACCCTGCCATTTTGCAAGTTCTCCCACTTAGAAATCATGGAGGGGTCTGAAATTGTCATCGTAGGTGCATGTCCAATGTGAGAGACATAATCTAAAAAAAAAAATCCAGAAATAAGTGGGAGAACTTGCAAAATAGCAGGGTGTTCAAATACTTATTTTCCTCAATGTATATGGTAGTGTAGCTATCATAAGCGCGTGGATGTATGACAGGAATAAACATAGAGACCAATAAAGAATTTACAGGCAGCGGTGAATGAGACAATAAATGATAAGTAGGAAATCTTCACTACAGTGGTTCACAGCTGTGCATTAGGGAGGAAGTCAAAGTGAGAAAGTGATGAAGGCACTGATGTTCACACTGTATACACATATAAATACCTCCCATACACTAGCGAGCAAATACTTTTACATTTTTAAATGAAAGCTCACATCAAAGTGACTCTAAACGTGGTTTGATTGTTAACTATAGCTGCCCTGAATTGCTGATAAACATTGAGAAACTCAGCAGCCTGATGATATGAAATGATAGAAGTCTGCAGTGCAGAGTCTAGTACAGTTTACCATGTATAAACACCAATACACCTTTAGTTTGTTCAGCTATTGAACTTATATTATAATGTGCTGTATATATAATCTTTCTTTCTTGTTCATGTTGCCGTTTGTGCATGAAGAATCTTTCTTTTTTGTGAACAGCAAAGTCTTTAAATGTATTCTAGCTACTAATATAATTCTGTGTTTTTCTGTTTAGTTACGATGTAAATACATGGTATTACAGGGTAATATGGCAATTACATGTTTGGCCTTTGACATCAGTGTGATGTTGAGCCGAGTTAGGCAAAGCTGCTCACAAAATTGCATGTTTAAACTTTAGAAAATGGAGTTTGCAAAGTTAATGCAGTTCAATAGAGTTTTTAGCATTGTTTGATTTAGTATGGTCTAAGTAATATTTCTTAAATAAATTTAAGGGTCACAATGATGGAAAAAGAAATTAACAAACACCTACACCATGGCTAGAAAGGTGAGGTGCTAGGAATAGGCTGGTAAAAGTTGCCTGTGGGGGTTTAATTCTTGCAAATGTCACAGCACTGTGAGATCTTATCAAGGAGGAGTGTGTGTTTCCGTACTTTTTTTAGTCTCTGGCGAGACCATGTTTCTGAACTTTTGTGAACACTGAAGAGTGAATGACTTATGGAGACATGTGTTTTTGTTTGCCTAGTTTGTGTTCTTTGCTGTTTAGTCAGAGTAAAGTGATGCATTCAAATGCTGTGATGGTTTACAATATTATACACAGCAAGTCAATAAATGCAACACAGCACGATTGATGTAGTGAAAAGAAATAATCTAATAATACGATGAGATATCAAATACCAAACTGACACAACACAATATGAAACAAAAAGAAGTAATGCTGTTCAAAACGACATGATACAAAACTGCAGAATTTGACACAATACAACATGATGCAATGCAAAGTGATACAAGGTGATACAAAATGATAAGATACCTTTTCATGTCCCAAAGGAGATTCAGATTATTGGCTCACTGCACTGTCAAAACTGACTTTAGTCCAGAATCTTAATTTTTGATAAAATGATTATGCCATAGAGATGTATAGCTTACTGTATGTGAAAACATTTTAAAATGTCAGTCACTACAGAACGGAGCTAAAAACCATACCACATTGACTTCACGGAAGGGCTTAACATCACACGCACTCAGAAACAAACAACTAAAACAAGAGAACTATATAAAATAAGAGCTAGTTGGTGAGATAGCCACAACTAGCCTTAACTAAACTAAAGCAAAATTCACATATTCTTCCCCATAGTAGCTGTAATCAATAATTGTATGTCATTTTTGATTAAGTGACACTTATATGATATATATATATGTGATAATTCAGTTAATTTCTCCACATAACTAGATGAGAGTATAAAAAAGGTGAAAGGGCACGTTTTTTTTGTAGATATGGTGTGTTCTCCCTTTCATAACGTGAATGCCTAAAGAGAGAGTGCAATCCAACGAAGGTTAAAATCCAGGGCAACTGGACTTGGTTGAAGTCGTTACAGTCGTTAAGACTACCTGAGGCCAACAGTCTTAACGACTGTAACGACTGTCGTCACAGCAACAAGGAACACTAACGAACCAGCGGTATCGATGACCCGGGCCAACGACCCCAATGAGGTTAAATAGCTGAGTTTCCCTGCCAGTCAGTCAGAACTGAAGAAGTCCTTTGGATGAGGGACGAAACGTCTTCCAGTATCTTCAACCAAGTCCAGTTGCCCTTGACTTTAACCTTTGTTGGATAACTATGACCTGGATGACTGAGAGTGCAATCTGAATTCTTAAGTATTGTTTGACTACAGTGATTTTTATGGGCAAAATATTCAGCCTAGAAAGGCATGAAAAGCATTACACCCTTTTTATGTATGACAAAGTTGCTGTTTGCTGGCAATCTAAATATAAAACTTTGATTTAAAATATAAAATCTACCATAATCATGTAGATTTATTTAAGCGTTAAATGCTTACGAAGGATTTTATTAAGTTTACCCTTTAAATAAATGGTACCATATATTGTATTAAACACTAGTTTCAAAGTCTGGATGTATGTGATTATTGCTTCTACCACTGTTTTTTTAAAAATGATAATGACAGCTGCATCAGAGCCAATGACCTTAGAGCTCTCTGTTTCTCAGTAGGGTGCCAGAGAAGATGCATGAGCGCTACATATCCTGCCCGACTCGAGCACCTCCTCAAAGACCCACTCACAGACACACAAACTCAGCACCTCCCATACCTCGCCGCCTGCGGTGATAAAGACATGTCTGTTTTTGCTGGATTTAGTCTTTAAAGTAATGGGTTATTTTTATGTAAGAGGGAGGGTGGAGTTGGAAAGACATTGTGATTAACAAGACTAATCCACACAGAGAGACAGTTTTTTATTTTATTTTTTGCTTTTATTCATCTTATGTATCAGTATCCCTAACATTATAATTAAATTCCCATAATATTTCATTGTATGTGTGTGTGGGTGTGTGTGTTTGTGTGGGTGAGTCTGTGATATTCAGTTTGATATGTTGTGGTATGTTTTTACTGTACAGTCCCATGTGATATATACTAACCTTTACGAATTATAGGTTTCGAGTATGTTAGTTCGTTTTGTTAAGGGGAAATCATTCGTTTCATTTAAAACCTTAATTATGATATTTAAACATTCTGAACTGAGTCAGTGACATTAATTTCACTTTGTCAGAGAATAATACTTTATCTTATATTACTTATTAATTGTAAGTTGTTGTGACATTATACTCTACTTATTTTACCTCAAATTATGCCAGCAGTACACTTTTTAAAGGCCTTAGAGTTTGGTTGTAATATTTTTATAATATATGATAAAATAACCTTTAGGAAGTGCCTTTAGAAAGTCAGTTTTGTTGTACAGCAGACTTCATGTAACTTCTGAATTTCATAATGAAATATAAAAAATAAAATAAAAATCCTTTTAAACACTTGAAGGTGTCCTTATTTTAACAGGCTCATTTTACAGACTGTATAAAAGAAGTCTCATTTACAACCAATGCTGATTTGTTTCTTGTGGAATATGAGGTCTAGTCACTAGGTGGCGCTCCATATTGTCTGTTTGTGGAACCCACTAACATGTTGTTCAAGTGAAGGCTTTTTCCAGGTGGATTTTATCTCCTTAGGGATGCCACAGTTTAATCAAATTACAAATGACTTCACTGTTATAAATATAAATGAACCCTGACTGCGAAAAATGTCCCCTCTAAAGTTCTGGGAGAAGAGACACATGTACAAAGTCTGAGAGAGTGTAGCCTGCTAGGACTTCTGGTAAAAACTTTCAAAGTAAAGTCTTTACTTACAAGCACAGCATTAAAGAAAAATAATATTCCCAAAGACATCTGTAGTAACACAGTAACAAGCATGTTTTATTTATTTAATCATTTACTGTATAGATTTGTGGCTTAAACTCCTTAAAAAGGTGTTTGATTGATACATTTTTAAACGTTGTGTCATTTTATAGGATGTGCTCAACATTTTTGTTTTGTTGTTTTTTGTTTACTTGTTTCATGAATACGCTCTATGAATTGAATGCTTTAGATGAAAGATGGATGCTTCCATACACAGTTAAAGGATCTTGTTCGTTTGTACTCTTTTATTACCTGAATTTGTTTCTTAACTCTAAAAAACCTCTGAGTGGTTGTTAGACTTATTTCATGTTCTGACCTGACAACAACACGCATTACTGTAATGGCCTATATGAACCCATCAGTGGATACATTTTAATCATGAGAAATTAAAACATGACTGTGACACGCACTGAATTAAATCACATTCAGTATAGACATAATAAACTGGCTCATTTGTAATATTGTACGGAATTCTGCTATTTTGGTATGGTCATTATTCAGTTTAGGCATATATGAGAACTGTCAGTGCATCTGTTTAGAACCCAACTGATCTTTTTATATACAGAAATCTTTGCACTTGTCAAATATTAACAATGGCCCCATTGTCAAATGACAATGGATAACGTAAAGATATCATTCATAATGATAACCACCTCTGTAGTTCCCCTCAGCTCTACAGAGTATTTTAGCCTGTCAACCCTGTTGAAAACCAGCTTACAGAAGAGTGAATATTGGACTTAAATTCATCAAGTGGACATAAGTGGACTCCTAATGAATGAAACCGATGCTCTGTGTTTCCAGGAATTCTAAAGTCATCTGTTTGGTAACATGGTAGACATGAACTTTTACTATGTCAGTGCTGTGTTTAGGGGAGACCGGGTATGGTTGTAACAACACAAATTCCACCAATTAGATATAATCTAGGAGTTATGTGATCATTTCAATATTTACCTACTTCCTCCCTCGTCAGGCATGGTGGTTGTCAAGGTTGGGGAAAAAATGATTTTGAGGCAAGAAAGTACATTTTTGACCAAGATTTTGTTTAGTATCTATACTACTGCAGATAATTTGATGATTGTGTGACTTATATTAGAATGTATTGTAGTTAAGTAGTTAGTTTAACACTTCTTTATAAAGTGTTACAATCAGTGCCCTATGCGGTCTCAGGGCCCATGCACCAAGCCTACACTCCAGGGTTACCAGCATTAATTTGTTAGCACTGTGACTAGTTCTTGAAGTCGAGCCAGTACTCTTTATTTACATGTTGTTCACATGTTGTATCGTCCCCCAATGTTTTATAGATGTGTAGCAATGTAGAAGTGCCCTTACTGTGTACCCATGAGTGCCAGCCATAGACTGTATATAAAAAGGTTCCAGCCCACTGACTTTGACTCCGATTAAGGATATAAACACATTGACATACACGCAGATGTTTTTTTAAAGCATGTGATATGGTGTGGCATTCCTTTTTGCTTCTTTTGTCTAATTATTTGTTACAACGTCCCAGCATGTGTTGTGGTAGGTTGTAACAAAGGAACACCATGTATTTAACATCAACTCATGAGGTCTGTGATATTCTTGTAGAGGACTGAATTGGTGCCATTTGTAGTACACAAATGTGGGTAGCCTACTTTGTATAAGAGTTTAAGAACTCTAGCTAAAAATGATTTGAGTTATAGTCTGAGCAAAAAGTGTTAAACCATACCAGGTCTCCCCTACAGCTTGTTCAGCTGTTCAGCCGCCCCCAAGTGGCCAACACTATGTATTGATTGGCGCTGTTTTACGTCAAAATATTTCTGGCTACAGCTCCGACCTTCATTTCGGTGTCGATTATGATGCGACTGAGTCCCGGCTTTTATTGTGAAGGACCGGTGGCCCGGCCCCCGGTGCTCGGTGGTGGTGTTGTGCGGCGAGATTGACGCAGCCGGGGCCGGTGAGTATGAAGCGCTGACAGGACGCTGGTGGAGAGCAGCCTTCGGCACAGAGCTCAGTGAAGTGTGTCTGCAGCAGCGAGCATAACACTGGATTACCATCACACAGAGGTAAGCATGTTCCTGTTCTGAATCACTGCTGCAAGTGGCTGCTGCTGCTGCTGCTGCTGCTGCGGCTCTTTAATGTTGATATTATTTATTTATTTTTTACATTGGCACCATAACAGCTGACTTTGTGTTATTATTGTGTGATGAAAAACCAGCACCACTTAATGCATTTCTTATTCATCTCTCGGCCATTAAGCGTGGATTCAGCAGCCTTTATCTAACACAAGTGCTTTTATCAGTCAGTCGATTTTGATTTTCTCAGCAGAGGCGCTCTGGCTTTGGGACAGTTACTGCAGTAAAGATAGATCCATACAGTATAACTGCGACCCGTGCCGCACTCTGAAGCTGAATGCCCAGGAGATAACCCAAACACACACGTCTGGGAATTAAACGCTTCCTATCTTTACACCGTGCTGAATATGGTGTAATTAAAAAGAAAATACGAATGAATAATTTCTAGTGCGGTTGTTTCTTTAAGTTGGCAGGTAGCAGTGGGGCTGATTAGCGGTTGTCATTGGGAGTCTTGGTAGCAGACGACAGGCTACTCTACATGCATACAATAAGGCAGTGACATCAGGACCATGCTCTTAATAGAATGCATATTATGCGGCACAGAGGTGTTAGGAATAGATTATTGGGTAGTATTGCACTGTAATTTTTATCACAGTGTTGTCAGGTTAGACCGCAGCCATTTTTAATTCGATGATTTCAGAGGTGGAAAGACTTTGAGGAATTGAATGTAGAAGTAGTTTGAGTCAAGCAGCTGCTGTTATATACAGTTCAAGATGGTTATCAGTGCTGCATTCTTAATAACACAGGTTGTAATGTTATTTTAGAAGATTATTTTAGTACAGTTTCTTATTTCCCCCCCTTTCATTTCAACTAACTGAGCAGTTGTGTTGTTTAACTGCACAGTAGCAGCAGTAGTGTGAGTTATTGACATAGGGGACCTGAATGTTAAACTTCATGTTCTAGTCTGACAAACCGGTCTGCCTGAAGCCTCATAATGGCCAGCGTGTGGACATGGCTTTTTAACAACAAAGCATAATGAGTTGCACAACTGTCAATGAGCTGAGACTTCTGAAACTCAGCAGATGTAGTTATTCGTCTCTGCCTGTGTTTTCATTCATAATCTTACTACAGTGATAATCTCTTTTTTACTCCAGGGGATCTGAGTAACACGAAGCGTCACTCGCTTGATAAAATATTAACCCCAACACAAATTATTAATGAAACTGCTTCAAAGACAGAGGCAAAGCAGTCAGACAGATTTTCTGAAAATGCCTGTTTCAGTGTTTTGATATGTGGACGGTACAGAATGTCACACTCTCTTCTGCTTGCCTTATCACATGTTTGCACTGGACACATGTAACAGCGAAACTGTATCTAGACAATGTTTACCCAGAAAGAACAGGACCTCCATTAGCTTTCTACGTGTTCAAGGACTTTGTGTATGGGTGACCAAGCCTCAAAGACTTATTGTTATTATTATTTATCTGTGAAACAATATTTTAAATCTCTTTAAGATATTGTGTCCACTCTGCTCACTTATAATATCCGATGACATTGTCTTCAGGTTCACAAGAGTATTGACTCAGTAGCAGTTCAGCAGCGTATGAAGCTGGCTGACAACATGTCAGCAGAGGAGTTGCAGGTGTTTACACAGAGATGGTGCCAGGTTTGCACATGTAAATGGAACAGTTAAATCAGTCATATGTTTGGTAGCCATACGGCTCAGCCAAGAGCCATTTGTTCAGTCATTCAAATAGCATCAAACCCCTTTGACCTTCTGCACATATTGTTGTGCCCAAACAGCATTTTTAGTTGTGATGAAAGGATGTATCCTGTTTACAATAGTACAACTGATCTTTTACAGTAGTTAATGGTCATTAATGTTCTTTTATTTTAGCCTCTGTGCAAACTATAGGGGACTCACGCTAAAGAAAATTAGGTTTTTGAGAAAGCTTTTCTTTCTGATTATAAATATTTTTGGGGAACAGTGATGTTTTCAGGTGTTTAACATCTCTCAGCAGGATGTCAGGGAGCAGAGTGCTACTGTACAAATTTGTATTCAAATTGAATGGGAAGTTTGGCACTGGCTTTTATAAGCCAGTAACATCTAGGCTAGTGCTTGCTTTTTCAAAGTCACACTAAATCAAGGTCATAGTGTTGCATTTCAGTCTTTTGAGCTTGACAAACAGAAATGATAACCTGTGGAGTAAGGAGGGGACCTGTTGGTATGAACCCAGCACAGTCATTAATATTTTATGAAGCTTGATCAGAGTCACATTACATAGATCCCTTAGATTTGAGAGGAGCAGCCCTCGGAAACACGAATCTCAAAACTGAATTTCAAAGATTTGCTAAAGCCAGCTCAGCTGGCATCTAGATCACCCAATTTTGTTTTTCCAAGAGGATCTCCATTTGGTTTGGAAACCTTACACAGAATATCAGAAAATATGAACAAGTTTCAGTATGTTTATTGTAGTTAAATTACCACAGAAGTTATGACAGTATCATTAGAATTTTCTTGCTTCACCAAATAAGTGTGTCTTTTACCTGTTACTTTGACACTAAGACAATGTATAGCCTTTGTAGTATAGGCCTACTGTAACTGTGTTCAGAATGAGTGTAAACTAATGATTAGCTGTTAATTGCAGTTCTGAATGTCGCACCAAGTTAAACTGGACAATAGCAAAATAAGTTGATGATATTCTTCTTTTGTATTTCTTAAAATCATCCTTATATATTACTCCGAGTTCAGGCATGCCAAATGCTTAGTTAAGCTGGATATTAGCATGACATGGACAAAAGCCTTTGTTGTGGCAGCATTTGTAGAAAACAGCATTGTCTTTACTGTGAATAACGGATAGCTTTGAATCAGGCCGGATGTTTCAGCCAGACACCAGGTTTCTGTTTTCACTCCATTAATGTTACAACAGGTCGCTTAGCAACCCCACCCCCCCACCCCCACACTTTCTCCATCTGCTGCGATTGGCTGGAGTGGATGGTGAAGTGTTATGCTTTGGCTTTTCTAGGTCCGCGGCACAAAGAAGCCCCCCTGATCAAAGACGCATGTAAACAAGGCAGTGAAAAGACAATTTATGCTTCAGTGATGGATTTAAGCAGCACTCCTCTCTGCCGCCACCACCAACACCCCACCTCCAACCTTCCCCCTTGTGTTATATGTCAGCAACTGATGGTAAACAACAGCATCACAGCAGTTGTTGGCAGATATTTTACCAGTATGTGTCCTCACACATCATCACACAAAGAAAACCAAAATTATCAAGCGACAGTGATGCATAGCAGGGGTATATATCCCTCACTACAAAATATAATAAACAATAATGAAAAACTGTACTGCCACCAATGATGCCAGGCTGTTAGTGATGGAGCTGCCTTTTGTGTTTGGGTGTGACGGGACGAGTCAGACCGGGCCTGCATTCCTGAAATAGACAGATGATGGGATCTCGCTGGGGTCCTGCTGCACGCTCTTTTCACACGAGGATACCTTCATAGCACTTAAAATTGCTGGATTATCACATTGCTGTTTATATTCACGTTTAGCCGCCATATCCTATGACTCAATTATCGAGTCATCCTGTCACACAGGCGCTCGGAGAGTTATATTAGGGAACACACTCAGAGCTTCCAATCCACGTCGGAGTCAAAACATCCAGCAGAGACGAGGAAACACTTTCAGCACTCTCTCAGACAATGATTTGAATTGTCATCGCAGCTCACCTAATGTGCAATACGCCCTATTATCTAAGCCAGGAGGAATCTGTTGTGCACAGCTGAGCTCGTTATCTAGTGATGACATTAAATTAACATCATGCATGTCTCTTATCATATTCCAAAATTAAATGCCAATATATTCTCAAGGAATTTATCATTATAGTGTTGTCAATGAGGATTTCCCCCCCAATTATATCACTTACTGTATCCTGGTTATGATTATCTCCTTATTTGCTCATAAGCTTTTCTTATTTTGAATTTTTCACTTTGCGTCTAGAAAAGTAAACTCTCTAAAAGCCCCCTAAAGAGAGGCCTACTTAAATATTCAGTTCAATGTTTATCCTAACTCCGGGGCCTGCGATCCAAGCCTTCTCACTCTTGGAGTGTAGCCTGGAGCCCTTGCTGTGAAGATGTATCACCCTGAGTAAACTGTCAGCTCTCTGACATTCTTATTACGCTGGCTCTAAAAGCCTAGCAGGCACGTTATAAGCAGGCTGGCTCTCTAACACAGCATCTGTAGCGGTTAGGTCCATGTGGCCAACTGCTGTCCTCCCCAGGACCTTCACACGTGCCAACCAAGTGTTCCCTGTCCCGGGGATCTGGCCATGGTCACGTCCAATAACTGTCAGTGCTTCTCATGGACACGCTGGCAGGCTGCGAGCTGAGCGCTGAGGGACACATCTTTCATTGGCTGGTGTGGCGGGTGCTTTTGTTTTTACCTCAGAAAGCAAGAGGACATTTTATTCCTGAAGTCCTCAAATATGACAGTGATACCATAGGATCATTATAAACTTGTTTACTCTCTAAAATGAAGATATTTTATTAGGTGAGGTTCAAATAATTTAAAGGCATAGAGGCAGTTTCCATATAGACTCAGTTTAAACTCCTTCCATTATCAGCATGAATGTGTAATCCTGCTCAGAGGCCTAATAATGACTACAGTGTGTAAGTTACATACATTTCCTTTTATGCTGCAGTTGTTTGAAATGAACTTCAAATAGCATGCTTGAGGAATGTGTAGAATCCCAGGCTGCTGTCCAGCGTGGAAGCTGTTTATGGAAGAGAGTTGGGAGGGTGGAGGGGTAGGTGGGGGTCTCTTCTCAATTAGGGGGATAAGCTGCTGCTCCGGAGCGGCCCTTTCGAGCCATGTTTGGAGCTATTTGGTGGGATTCGCGGACAGCGCTGGATAGCTTCTCTCCTCTCTGCCATTTGTTGACAAAGCAGAAGTCAAACGGCGTTACGTAACAGCCTTTTCTCTCCGTCCATAGTACAGCTGAGCATGCGATGAGAGTTTTTTTGTGTTAACATAGCTCACTTCTAAGGCGGCCTCTGACTGTGGCACAGAGACCCCCTGCGTAAAATACATCATAGTTCACATAGTTGGTACCACCCCGCCTTTGTTTCGTTTTCACATGGGGGGAGAATCTGGAGCCTCATTCAGATAAAGTGATAAAGTGATTGATGCTGCCAATAGAGAATGCTCTGGTCCACTGGATATGATAAATTTATTCATAAAGCAATTTTCATAAAAAATATACTGTATCTGCTAGGTTTAGACCAATTTGTTGGATTCCATCCAGTTTGCTTTTGCTATATTTCATAAGTTTCTTCTTGATTACAGCGACATAAAAGCAGCTGTGTTTCAAATTCATTACTGTAATTTAAGAGTTTAATACTTTTTCTTGTAAACAATACATATTTTAGTGCTGAAATTAATGTTATACAAAAAAATTATTCCTTGACATCAAAGAATATCTCAACATTTTGGGAAATGCGCTCATTCGCTCTCTTTCCGATTGTTAGATGAGAATCACTCCAGTGCCTGTACACTAAAAGTTGGAGCCAGTTAGCTTAGCGTAACATAAACCAGAAATGGGTGAAAAAGCTCTGTCCAAAGTTTAAAAATATGCAAACCAGTACCTCTACCTCTACTGTACGACCAAAGTGGTGGCTAGCTGCTCCTCCTGCTTTCAGTCTTTATGCTAAGCTAAGCTAATCAACACCCGGCTCCATCTCCAGAGTTGATACACAAACATGAGAGTAAGCAAGTTAATCTCATAATTAAATTGTTGTTTTATACATTTTATGAAGCAAAAATGACAAACCTTCACTGGGTCCACTTTCTTAAATCTAAAGATTTGAAGTTTGTTAATGTTTTTGGGTTGCAGAAAAAAATACAATTTGAACACATAATTTTGGTTTCTTTGGGAGATTTATTGACAGTACTTGATGAATTGCAATATCTACATACACACATTTAAATGATTTAGATCATAGTCATTGCATTAGTTCATAATGTTGACTGAGTTAGTAAGACCTTATCGACAGTTGAGTTGTCTAGTAGCAAATTCCAGCTGTCCTCCACTGGTGTTTCTCATCTACTGGCCCCGCAGGAGCATTTCGAGGGGGTAGGAGAATTTTATGTGGTGGTCTGCACATTTGTTGAGTGACTGCCACATTCCCAGGTGGCATGTGATGACAGGTCCATCTGGGCACGCCTGTTGTCAAAAACAAACAGACCCCCTGCATAGCGAGGGTCAAGGTCAAAGCTGGGACCGTCCCACCCAGACAAGACCCTCAAAGCTCAGCCAGAAGTCTCAGGAGGCTTCAGAGGGACCTGATGTACGTGGACTAAGGACTCGCTGTTCACTTCATCAAGTAGGTAATGCACCTCTCTAGATCTGCACCTATGCTTTGGGATGATCATAGCCTCTTGGGACATGCTTGTTTTGGAAAGGTATTTTAGTAACACCCAAGAGCTTTCAGTGGGAGATTTATGTATTTATGTGTGTGTGAGTGTCATGTAGTAGTGGAACTAAGAGATGCAAATGGGATGAATCATCTGCTTTTAGGTAATCACACAGGTTTGATCTGGGAGGGGTTTGCATTAGCTGAAGGTTTCCTGGAATCTTGATTGATAATTTTAGCTCATGAATAACACCTGCATTGTCAGAAATGGTTTGTACAAGGTTTTTCAGGTCTGTGAATTTGAAGCCTCAAGAGATGATCAGAAGACGTCTGAGCTTTAGTGGGACTGCCACTTACACAGCTGCACTTTGTGGCAGTTTTTGTCTTCTTTCTAATTTTTAGGGAAACCCCTGAATTCTGGTCCAATCTAACGTAAGGTCACTATGCATCAGATCACCAAGAAACTCTGATGGAAAATGTGAGCTTAAAGTAAAATAAATAAATAAAAAACGCTTAACCATTGAGCTGCTGAACTGTGAGCCCCCCACTTCATTTGTTTTTGCCTTAGAGATCTACTAAATTGACCCAATTTGTGAAGCAGAGACATCAAAAAGCTTGGTAGATTATAAGTAGTGACAGTGCATTTAGGTATTGATTTTTACAGGAGTTTGGCCGATAAAGTCTCTGTCCTGTTTGTCTCGGCCCATTTACGTCAGGCCACTCCTGCACTGGTCTCCTCTCTTTCACAGGCTGGATGGATGGTGTTTTTTGCCCGGCTCTGCTCTGAGGCATATCTTCCTAAAAAGGCCAGGGGTGATCTCTGCTCTTGTGTGTTTATACAGCGAACCGAGCACTGCAAGCTGTCATCTTCCCATTATCTATCATATGTGAGAGGTTCAAATACTCCCACGCCTCGCTTTATTCTGTATATTCACCATCATGGGGTTCATCTGAGGATACAGCGGAAGCAGAGCTGAGATCAGTATAAGCACTCCTCGAAGGAATGTCTGTTACTGGTTTTGGAAATGAGATCATGGATGCATTGCCTCTCTGGGATGCAGGGGGTCAGGAAGCAAGTTGATTTTATTAGAGAGAGGGGAAATAAATACGCAGAGTTTCTGATGCTCAGGGACAGCTCAGTTCCAAGACGGGAAGATGTTTTAAAAGGTTTTTGCTTTGTGTCCCTGAAGGACTCGTTTGGCATCGCTCCCATTTTCCCTCATCCATTTAAGCCTATTTGCGAAGGTCTCCAGCTGGAATATGAGTCCCCTGCCTGTTCCGCAGGTTAGCTTATTTACCACCATGTGTAAACAAAGTGCACACACAGTCTCTCACAAACTCAGAGTGGAACGAGCAAAAGTACAACATAAATTTAACATAAAATTAACAGCATAGATCAAATTCTAGTTGGATTTTGCTGGTTATGCTTTCTCCATCACCATTATCCATAGCCTACAAACAAAAACACTATTTGAAAACACTATTTGTGTGCATCTGTGTGTGTAGATGTATGCTTGGGTGACTGTTTGAGTGCCTTTGTGTGTGTGTTTGTGTCTTGACTCAATCAGCCCTTTTCTTGGCCCTTTAAATGGGGACGTCTCCTAAATCGTGCTGGCTGAGCACAATGGGAGGCCCAGCGGAGCAATGGGAAGTGTTTCACAGCTACTTTTCTGGTGGCCTTGGTGTTGCTTCTACATGCTTCACTGATGCATCTCAGATTAACATATGTTTGTTAATCTCTCTCACACCCTCCCTTCTTGTCCTTAAAGGAGAAGACTGATACACTTTTGGTCTAAAACAGGCCAAACTTCTTCCCAAAACCAAAAGAATGACAGACATGCAAAGGCTTGTGATATCGTCAGAGATGAAAGTGCCAACCCCTCAATGAATCGGAGGTCAACTGCACCTACATAATTCTTATTAGCAGTATCTTTCTGTTTTTACCTTAACTGAGTTTTAACTTTTTTCAATTTTAAGGGTTGAAATATTCATTATTCACAGAAAATTCCCTTCCGTCATTCATTTCACATGTAGCAGATGTTGACATCCTAAATTAGATTGTTTTTGCGGCTTTATAATCATAGATATCATGAGGAACAAAGATATTGGACTGTTCCGTTCTGGCATCTGATCTGTGCTGCTGTTTGCTCCCTTTCCAGAGAATTTTAATATCAGTGAGATGAGTTTTTATAGCACTTATTTGTCATGGGCCGTTAAGTGCTGAAGCTGAGAAATGAGGTGTGGACCCAAATGCAGACTGTAGGCGAGGTTGTTGCAGTTCGAATAAAGATTTATTAACACATAAAAACTACACAGGCTTATGCTGGGAGCTCTGGGGCAAATGTTCAAACAAAAGGTAACTCCAAACAAAACATAATCCAAAGGGAAGAATCCAAGAACAAAATATACACCAATGAAATAATCCAAAAGCGCAGGGAAGGCACAGAACACAGTTTTTTTAAAAGTAATAACTTTTCTATTAATGATGCAGTTCAAGCCATGTCTGTGTCATTGAATACTAATAAATTATGGAGTCTTGTGTGCTCAAGACTTGATTCAAAGAGATAACTGGAAGTTCACCGCCTCCTGTCTGGCTTGCGTATCTCATTTCAGTGTGTAAGACAACCGTTGTATTACCACAATTTCTGTATTGTAATTCTGTAATTAGATGTATGTAGACCCCAATTACAACTATTGGTTGCAGCGACTCCACTAGCTCTACTGTAGAAACTACAGCCAACCCAGTCCCTTGAAGAAATTGCTCACAGTACACTGCATGCTGCAAGCCAACACTGCAGCAAAACACTGGCCTGGTTACCAAAGGAAGTAAAGTTAGAGCAGCAGATAGAGTAGCCTACTGTATTTGCGGATGGTGACACCTGTGTAGTGGGGGAAGAAGTAGTGATTTAATGGGCAATATGCTTCCCAGACATCAGCTCCTGTCCATGATCACACTTTGTTGAATGTTTGCATCCCTATGTTTCTCCTCTAGGGCTCTCCAGAAGGGGGCAGCATAAGACCAAGTGTGTCTCCCAGTAAGTCATCTCACTCAGAGTTCAACAAATAATTCAGTGCGCCTAATTCAATAAGTACCATTGAGTAGTTGTAGTGCGTTTAATAATCAAATGCTATTGAAGCACAAAAACATGTAAGTCATATTGACAAACACAGTTTGCATTGTACAGAATGTGTCAGTATGTTTCATTTCTTCTGTATGTATTAAAATTTTTTCTTTGAAAAAATTAGGTTTTGTCTTTACTTTAATTTTCTAATGAAAATTTTTTGGCAACTTTTTTGATATATGGAAAAAATGTCTCCATGTCTTTGTGTGTGTGTGTTGAAGTCCCATCAGGTCCTCGAACAGTCTGCGCTGTCAGGATCACGCCTCTAACAACCATGAAAGGCTCTCCGGACCTGATTCCCTCCACAGGTGGCGTATCCCTCCACTTCATCAATCTTTCAGTGCCTGCAACTGTAGGACACCCCACACTCACAAAGAAATCTTAGAAGGATGCTTTTAAAACTCACTTGTAAACAATGTGGCGTCACTTTAACAACCTGTGCTGAGACAGAACAAGCTGCAGCTGCTCTACTTCCAGCTCTGACAGTGTGATAATGGCAATTAGTTTTAGGGGGACAGTAGGATATTAATGTGATGGCCTGGTTTTGATGTTACAGTTCTATCTTGGTCATTTGGGCCATGAGGGAGCGACAAGCAGGAGTGCACTCTGAGAATATTGAATATAAGTTCGCAATGCCATGAAAGATGAGGAGCTGTGGCAATGAGACCCTTATTTTGAATGTTTTCAGATTTGGACCCCAGCAGAGTGTGCAAAGGGAAAGGAGTCGTGACTCTACGGGCCACCCTCGTCCACATAGATGATGAGGGCTGCATCGGCGACGAGCCAAATGTCATCCCAACGCCTAGTAAGTCAGAGCGAATGCCAGAGAGGTTTCATAACAACTCTCCACATGATGAAAAAATATTTAGAGGTCAGTAATAGTTGCATGGACACGTGAAAAAAGGAGACGTCCTTGTAGAATGGGAAGGTTTCTGTAATTTCAAAAGCATTTCATCATGTAAAAATCCTCACATGCCATTCAGAGTTCTGTTTTGATGTCAGGATTATATAACTCGTCACGTTTTGAAATGCATGCTCAGTCGCCGGGCACACTCAGAGTGGTGATAAAGGGCGATTGCTCATATTTTCATGCAAGTATCAAAGAGCTTTTTTGTTGCGGCCTGCCCACATTGCACTTTGGAGCAGGGCGCCTTGACTGTGGGCTTGTTTGTTACGTAGAGCACATTGGAACCGGACTGGAGTCTGGCCAAGGCTTTTGGGGAGATGCTTTAATTGTTGTAGAGCCTGAATATAAAGGCCATTGGAACAAACGGCCTTTGCAGCTCACTGAATAGGCGCTTTGTTCTGATGACAAAGATTGTGGGAGAATCTTTTTTTTCCTTTCTTGAGCATATTAACATCTCTGTGCATGAAAACCACCAAGGCAAGCATTCACGCCCTGTGTGAAATGGAGATTTATTTGACCAGCAATTAGCTGTTATGGTTTTCTGGTTTGCTGTTATAAGTTCTCTGTACTTTTTAGTGTCATCCTCAGTTTTTTTATTCTTGCTGAACTCTTTTTAGGTGGCTGGACAAACCAGATTAATGGAGACAGCTCCAAAGCAGGATTGGCTGAGGGAGGCACCAACATCGCAGCTGATTTACCTCCTGTAAACAACACTCAGTGCCAGGTACGTTTACTTCCACCCCATTTAACACAGAGATCTTTGATTGGCTCTCTGTGGATTTACAATTATGAGAACAGTGTGATGTCTTTTGCATAAATTCCTAGGAAAACATCTATGTATTTTCTTTTACTTTCAGGCCAACTCGCCCGAATGCGTCAAAGAAAATCAGGCTCCATCCTACACTGACATTCAGCACTGTATCACATCAACTTCCAGCTCTGTTTATCCCTGCACTAGCACAGTTAACCCCACCATAGTCCTGCTGCAGCACAACAGAGGTGAGCACACGAGTCTGTGAGTTCGGGATGACGGCTATCAAGAAGAGTTTCCGAAATCTCTCAGGTTTATTCGTAAACATGCTTTTACATGTCGGTTTGACATTTTATCAACTGTGTCTTGTCTGTGATCCATTAGCCTTGTCTTGCTCACATTTACTTCATTGCTTTGTCACACTTCCTGTCCTTGTCCGTCTTTTTCTCACAACAGAGCAGCAAAAGCATCTTTCTCATTTCGAAGGTATGCACTGGGTTCCTGGTGATGTCTAAAGGATATTTGTCATTTATTTTTCATGTCTTAGACTTAGCCAGCAGCAGACTAAGTTTTATAACAGAGCAATATTTTTTTGTTCCCTGACTGTACCATCTGTCATCCTCCTATTGCAATGACACAGCTGTCTAAATGTGTTCTCCACAAGCCTCATGAAGTGAATCAGTCATGTTTTATGCGTCAATGTGTTAAAAAATATTAGAAATGTTCATTTGTTGAACAAGAATGTACCAGACTATACACAAACATCACATTTCTGTATATTTTACTGCAATTTACAATCTGTTAATTCCAGACCTGCGTCAAACCAGATTTAATTTCATTTCAGTTACCTACATGGCAACAGTGCAAGGTTATCATGAATGCCAGACTTTATTTGACTTACTGACACATCTCATTCGTGGGGGCCAAGAGTCACATGCTGTATATGTGCTACAAAGTTTATCTTGGGGTCAGCAGTTTGTATGATCAAATGCCTTTACTGCCATGAAATGAGGAAACAAGAATGTGAAGAATATAATTACAATATTCGTATAACGTAACAAACGTAAAACACAATATATTTTTATATATTTGCATAAGAAATGCAATTTCTGTGATATTTGTCAGGTATTTTATGCGAGTTATATTATGATAATTTCACTCACTCTGAAACAGTTGGTGAATTGTATGTAGACAATGCAAAATATTGATGTGTTCAGTGGCACATATGTTATGCACAAAATACAGCATATGACATACAGTATCCATTCTCCATGTGGACTGATACACACATTAAGAATGAATTGCAATTAGTATTGGACTCAGTCTCGCACACACCAAACAAAAGTGTCTATTGGTGGTAAGGTTTATTGCATGCCATTTATCTATCTTGTCATGCAGTTCTGGCCTTCACACCAGATTCCTAATTTAAACAGGTTTTTGTGTTGTCTGACATTTCACTTGAAATGTGCTGTGAACTTTTTGATTTGATCGTGGTTTTTTTTGTTTCTGTTTTTTTACAGACCCAACCCCAGAAAGGGACAAAAGCCCTGATCCAGGGAGAGACTCAGTCAGTCCAGTCCCTGATATGGACTGGAAGAGGCTGCGGTTATCACTGCACTCCCCTGTCCTCAGTCCTCTCAACAAGCCAATTGTGCCTGTACGGGTGAGCCATAAAGCATACTGTCAAATGAAGACTAATCTACCCACTGCAGATGTTTAATTTGTTCATATGATACATGGGTCTTTGATATTACAGTAAAAGAGGTAGTATTTATATAAAGCACATTACTATAAGTTATTGTAACATAGCATGTTGTTGATTCAAGCTGATTTGAGAAAGATTTTTTATCATTAGCAATAAGGAGAAGAGCAATAGGAAATATTTTTGACTTGTCGTAGCAGGTGAATCACATGTGTAACTAGTAACATTAACAATGGCTCTGTTCTGACTTCAAAGGTTATTGTACAATAAGTTTGATCTCAATCAATTGTTGACTGTTATCTAAGATAGCTGGTAATAGATTAATCGGAATATTTAGTCAATTATCCATCTGGACCAAGTGGGCTTTATTAGACATAGAAATTGTTCTCTTAATGTGAGACGCATTATAAATATTACGTGGTTTGTGCAGGATTATAACAATCCAACAGCACCTATTTCACTTGACAGTGAGAAAGCATTTGATGGGGTAGAATTGAGATCATATTTGACATGTTCCCAGTGGTTTGGCCAAACATATATAAGACGGATAGAAAACCTTTATCAAGACCCCAAAAACCTTATTTCAGGCAGGGTCGTTTTATTGTTTTCCCCACTTGCCCCTATAAATGTGCTGTCTAGCAAAATACCCTCTGAATTACAATCTCAGCATATCACAGCCAACCTCTACAACGTATGGAGGAAGATATCTCAAGTTAGTTAACACTCCTTTTTATGGAAAAAAGACGAATTATAACATTAGCTGTCATTTGAGAAGTTGGTCACTGAATACAATCTGCCAAGAAGTAGTTTCTGGAAGATTTTGCAACTCTGATACCTGCTAGTCTACATTATGGGAAAAGAAATCCCATCTCAACAGTCTGAGCTTCTCTCTCAGAGTACAAAGTTAATGGGTCTGGGACATGAGGCTGTATTTATCAAGCAATGCTTTTCCAGCAGACAGATGCTGTATCTTTGAAGTTACTTGGACAGTAGATTTGAACATTTATGTTACAGAGAAAGAAAGTGTGGCATCATGTATGTAAAAACATTACGAGGGTATCAAGACACATCAAAATTAGATTATTCAAATTAAGATTGTCACTTGCTTTTATTGGACCCCTTCTAGACTGTTTAGGCTTATTCTTAGGGACAATGCTGACTGATGGAAGGGCTGCAGCTCTGAAGGGAGTCTTGTTCTCCTTCTCTGGGAATGTCCCATGATTCAATGTATTCATGGTTCATCAATGTATAAAAAACATTACCTGGACCAACTTTAAGCTCTGCCCGAGGCTGTTTGTCCTCAGTGATTCCCACTGTGGAGCCAAGGACTTTATTCAGTCCAGTATAATGGTGGGAAAGCAAATGAAAATGAGATACTCAAGGAAGGCGAGCCCTCTTTTCAGGAATGGCTCAAGTTGGCAAAAGTGAAGAGTGAAGCATTTACCGTGTACATAATACATAATATTAACGTAGGAATATACACATGATTTGTGTTTTTTTAAATTTATTATTATTGTTGTTATTGTTATTATTATTATTTATTATTATTGTTGTTGTTGTTGTTGTTGTTGTTGTTGTTGTTGTTTATATATATATTGGAGTCATTTGATTTGTTGACCAGAATGTGACAATGTTATATAAAAATTCAATAATATATTAAAAAAATCAATGGCTCTGTTTCATTTAGGTGCCAGCGTACACATGGAGTGTAGCCATTGTTAATGTTATTATGCACACCTGTGTTTGACGAGTCAAAATGTCCTGCCAAAACAATGCACTTGAACATCAACCGGCTGCTCTAGTAGATATATTTGTCTGTCATCCTCACTTATTTGTTATTAATTAAAAATATCTGCATCTTAATTTCAGAACACTGAAAAGTCCAAAGACTGGTACAAGACTATGTTCAAACAGATACACAGAATACCTGGTAAGACAAAATCATCAAAATCATTTCCACTTATTGTTTGTCTGGTCAGTTTAGACTATCATGTTTCTGTGTCGGTGTCTAAGCCCTGTGTGTGTTTCTATATGTGTATGTATGTTATGTCACGCTGTGCTCTGTCTCTCCATCACTGTGCTCAGAGCCTATTGAGGAAAACCCTTACCGCCCCACCTACATTTTCCCTGAGAGCTATGACAATCAGATGAAATCAAAAGGTATCTGATAGCAGTGACTCTGCTCTCGTTGGCTTTACTGATCTGCAGCCATGCTGAGCCCTTTCAAATACTTTAGCTTTGTTTAATCTGTCATACCTGGCCCGGTGGCAAATAAAAAACCACATACCTTGAAGAAGCCCAAAGTATTTGAAAGGTTTCATCGAATCTTTTCTGACACCTGTTCCATTCCATTGAGCCACTATTTCTATAACTGCAACACTTTGAACACTGCAGGTTTCGTGCTGATTTCCTGATCTAGCTTTTGCTGTCCCGGGATATTTTCAAGATCATTAGGCTTTTGGGATTTAATAGGCCCTTTTCACAGAAGACATTTTGACACCGTATGGAAAAGCACAGGTGAAAATGATAAAACAAATGATGGCTTACATTTTCCAATTTCACTTAGCTGCTTCAGTTTCAGGGTCCTGGTACTGTGCATGCTGGCTCACTGTCACACTGTCATGTCTCAGTGGTACACTTGAATAGAAGGGAGCCGTTGTTAATGTTATGAGTGACACCTGTGCTGTCCACTGTGAAAAATGCACCTGGTCTGAATAGTACAAATACAGTTAAAGGCACCATCTGTGATTTAAACACAAAGACAGTCCCACTACCAAAAATCAACACAGACACAAAGATTCATACATACAGTAATTGACATGCAAGCAATATTCTCACTCTAATTAATGTATAGGCTTCTCTACTACAGTCAAAAATATCAAAGTTATGAAAGGGGCAGCCCACCGATTTTACACATCAGAGTCAGTTTATTTGTAGTAACCTTGATGATGTCATTATCTTGGATAGTGCTTGGAGACTTAACATTTTTAAAGAAACTCAAACCTGCATTACAAATTGGGGGTATCGCACTTGACAAGACTTGCATTATGGGAAATGTAGTAGGAAGTGTTTTTGGAGCTTGACCCATAAGGACAAAAAGTTCTCAGCCTCTGCTGCATACATTTTGAACATTGTTTTTAAATCTTTGTCTTGCAAGTCCCCAAGCTTTATGGAAGTGCAATACTAAATTGCTGGAATACTTTACTGTTTTACTATGCTGCTAAAAGTTAAACATCAGTAACCTCTGTAAAGATTATGAATATACTATACCTTTTAATTAATGTTGTCACAAAAAAATAAGGATTGGGCCTTTCGTTAAAATCTTAATTTAAATGTGGTTAGCTATAAACAGGTCGACCTGTACACTTTTTCTAAAGTGCTTTGATATTGGCATGTTGACAAGGATGATGCACGAAGCCTTGTAGTGTCATTCTACTTTCACTTACCAAAATGTAACAATTACTCATGGCTTTTCCCTTTTTGCTGTTAACCTGTTGTTAATATGCAGCTAGTCTAATATTAAATTCTTCAGACAATTGCTCCTGTCAAATATTTAACTGTTCTTAAATGCTTTTTCTAACAGAATTGTCACACAGTAGAGCGGGATCAGTCTTTTGATGTAGTGCACTATTGTAGCCACTAGATGCTGCTGCAGTCTTGCACTGAGGCTATGGACTGTCCTGACGGTTCAGTCTCTCAAGCAGTACACAACCTTCAGACCCTGTACTGCCACGACCAAGCTTCACCCATCAATGTTTTGTAGATGGTTACGTTCATGGTTTAAGTTTTGGGTCTGTCAGGAGGAGGCAATATTTGTATGTAGCTTTAGGGGAGGAGCCACTGCCTGAATTCTGAATTTTTCTTCTTTAGTTGCACCATGTAAATACAGTAGGTGTGTCAGTCTCTGCTCAACATGATTACCTCACATGATCATGTGTAGTTGTGACTGATATGATTCTGAATGTGTCAGTTACGGCCTTTTTGCTTTACAGTGCATTACTTATTCAGAGCCCTGATGCTCATCAATGCTTGGATCCCTTTTTAGCTCAGTAATGCTTCCTGTAAAGTGCTTTGATTTGACACACTTTGATTGTGTTCAGTGAACTAATGCTTGGCCTAATGGAAGGTGTGAGGCAGGGGGGAAACACAGGAGTGTTTCTAATGCCTTATGAATTATTTAGGTCTCTGCTTTAAGTAACACAGTATAGATAGATAAGAATTGTATTTTTTAATTGTTGTCTGTCCTTTTTTCAGATGATGGTCACACCCCCTTTGGTTACTTGCAAGATGGTGAGTTTTGGAATTGGGCTTTCATTCAAGAAACTGTAAATCATCCATTATTAGTATTTATTAAGATTATTCCAAGATAATGCTCAGCATACAGTATATATGTTTTACACTGGTAACATTTCAGTTGATGCTTTAATGCAGTTTAGTATCATGCAATTGATGTCCATTAATATTTATGTGTCTGTTTTTAGTGAAAGCAGTCCCACGCTCAAAAAGTGACGCGGAGGTCGATTCAAGAGGCCGGTCGATGCCTGTGCCAACACGGTCCTCTTCCCTCAAACCCTCTGCCAAAAGGTCAGTGTCCTCCATCTGCTCCTTATGGCATTAACTTTGATATTCAACAAAGTACAATTCTTGTTTGTTAGTGGAGAAAGGACCTGTTTAAAACTCAGAATACTATAAGACATACAAATTATATAACTTGCCATGAATATAGTTCTGATTAGAAATCAACAACAATTCCGTCTTTAGCAAATCAGAGATTATTTTGTCCCATGTTGTTTGCACTACGGTGCCCTCCAGTTTAGTCTCCCCCTCCACACACACGTCAGCACTGACACAGGATGATCTGCTCTCAGAGAATGAGTGATAGAGTGATAAAGGAGGACAGGTGATGGAGGATAAACTGTTGCCCACTAGAGCTACAGATGACATGTCGAGGACTGACCTTCCTCTTTACACTTTCCTAGTGGTTATGTATGAAGGGCCGTGTTCCTAAACACGTCAGAAAATTCATTAAAGAAAGAAGAAGTGTTTTTGTGTGGTGAGAATAGGTGTGAGATTGGGTCTTTCTTATCTAAGAGGTTTATTTCTGTCTTTTTCTGAGCAGTAATTTTAGTGTTGGCTGTCTATTACAGTGAGATATTCTCTCAGGAAATGCAGCGCTCTGTTTTTTGTCACTGGGTCCAATCTTGTTTACCTGATTGAATTACTGATTTGACTCAACTGTGAATTGGATTTTCTGTCATATTATCATTAGAGGAAGAGAGGGACGGGGGTGGGGGGAGCAGGGATGATGAGGGCGAACGTCATGCTTAAATTGAAAGCCTATGCTGGTTGCCATGGAGACTACTTCATAAGGATTGGCTCTTTTCCATTCCACACCCCACCCCTCCCTGACACCCGCCTCTCCACAGGAATGAGTGGGAGCCCCCGGATAAAAAGGTAGACACCAGGAAGTATCGCGCCGAGCCCAAGAGCATCTTTGAGTACGAGCCGGGGAAATCGTCGGTGCTGAAGCTGGAGAGAACGGTATGCAAGCCGCCTGCCTGTTTGTCTCTCTCTCTCTCCCCCTCTCTCTCTTTCTTTCTATGTGCACGTAGTGTAAGCTGCCCCCCCCCCCCCACCTACCCCCTTTGTATCTAAGCTACCGGGTGGCAGCTTCACTAACAGCTCGGAAGACAACGTATGTGTAGCCTGAATTGCCATGTGCACCACATTCCTTAAGGGTGTCCCGTTGCGTTGACAGATGATCCTGCTTGGTAGCATGGGAGTATCACTTACAAGGATAGCCATTGTCTCCCTGTCTTCAATTTAAGGTTATTGGACTGAATCAGCTTGGCATGAGAGGATCCCAGCACAGACACAAAACATTGATCCTGTGTGTGTGCTTTCTTGAGAGGAAGTGTAATGCTCTACCCTACTTTTCATCCCGAGCCTTAACATTTTGTGCTGAATCAAATGGCGCATTAGTCAGTGTCCTTGAGCGGTGTCTTTTGAGGATGAGCTTTGTTACATGTAATAGGTCTAGATCTAGGCAGCTGCTGCCTAGATCTAGCCTACAGTATAATGTTTACCAAAGGACATAGATTTTGTGTTTAGATTTCTCAGGTCGGAAGTCTTTTATATTTCCCTCTTACATAAGAGAAGACATGGAGGTGTTCAGTATTGTGATTAAGTAGTTAGTTACACCAAGCTAGTAGATGTCATTAGATCTGGCCCAGTCCCATTGGCAACAAATACACTCATTAGAGAGAGTTTGCTCCAGTTCATCCTGGGACCGCCTAAAATAATGGACTCTGTTGTTTTTCAAATACAAGAGCTGTTATTATGGGTTAGTGTTCTTGTTGCTGTAGCCGGACATTTTCACCATTAGGTTCGTTCTTTTTACTCTCTGGTGCCTAAAGTTGTGTTGGCACTTATTTTAGACCTTCCAAAAATATATATTTTGAAGAATTAAATAAAAAATTTGTTTGCATGTTTTGTTGGTCGTCATCGGTATGTTGCCTGTTGATTAGATCAAATAAAATGAAAACAATAAGTATGTTGTTCGCATTAAATAATAGCACTTTTTGGCTTAAGTACCTGCTTGACGGAGGGGTTAATTTTTTTACCCAGTTTGTTTTAAAGCAACAACCATATGCCCATATATACATTTAACCATTTGGTGACTGAAATTGTTCCTCTTGTCCATACTGGCCCCAGAGATATCTTGTCATAAACCAGTTGCACTGGAAGAGTTGCAAAATTGCATTAAAAAGCCAAGGCTAATGGGAGGCTTCATCAGTCAAATCAAGTGGGTATCTTTCAAAGTTGAAGTCTTGAGTACACAATTCCTTCTTTTCATAGTTTTTCCTTGCTGAGCTGCGGTGGAGGGAAAGTAACAGCCACAGAGAAAAACTCAGTGATCTGTAACAACTTAGTTTACATATGTGTATGTCAGTGTTGTATTAAAGTAATAGTTCGACATTTTGGGAAATATACTGATTCACTTTCTTGTCAAGAGTCAGATGAGAAGATTGATAATACTCTCACATCTGTCCTTTACTTATATAAGCTAGTAGCTGCATATCACAGCTTCCAGCACAAAGACTGGAAACGGGGAGAAACAGCTAGGCTGGTAATAACATCTTCTGGCCAGCACCTTTAAAGATAAATAACTGACATATTTAAACTTTCTTCAATAAAACTTTCTTTAATCCATACAAAAACAGAAGTTTAAGAATTACTTGAAAAAAAATTAACCTGATCCTTTTATTTACTTGTAGGAAAATCAGTAGGTTCAACAAGAACACTTACATGCTGTATTATATACTATATAGCTGATAATGTGTGCTGTTGGTGACAAACACTGGCTCAGTGTCAATGTAGGCTCATTACCTCGGTGTGTATATTCTGTGCTGTCTGAACTGTCTTCTCTTTGTCTTTCTCCTCCTCTTCTTGTTGCCATGCCCCTAGACTCAGGATGTAAGTCCAGAAGATGTAGATTTAGAGAATGAGCCTTGGTATAAATTCTTTTCAGAGATGGAGTTTGACAAAGCGGTAAGTGGTCGCTGTCTATAAAGTGACAGTATATTGTATTTTATTGCATGTGATAACATCCATGTTCAAATAATGCCTAAACAAAGTGTGTCTGTCTATAAAGACTACTCCAGTTTCAACTCCCGCTTTCACCTGCAATATTGTACTGAATCATTTTTTAATTGATCCTGCACATAAAAAGGTATGTGACAGCATGCATAAGAGGAAAACGTGTTTCCTCTCAAACTTAATTTACTACCATGTGTCCCATCAATGTGGCTTAATGAGACCAACTACTGATCAACTTTTACGCATCCCTTATTTTTCCATCATAATCTCTCTTACTCTCTTTACTTTAAACGTTCACTGTTTTCCTCAACGTATATCAACAATCTCATCTGCAGCAAACCTTTTTCAAAGCACTCGATATAGCTACTGTCATTCCTCATCATCACCTCATGCAATTTAAAAGGATTTTGTCCCCAATAGTGTCTAAAATAGTCAACTGAGATCTATTTTTGCCTTCTTCAAAAGTGCCTCTCAGCAATTTATCTATCTGCGAGGCTGAGTGAGCACTATCAACTCAGGCAACAGAAAACTGTCTGACCACTTACGTTGGCTGTGGCTTTCACCCTGTGCAGTTTAGATCGTTCATATTTAGGAAGGCTGATTATTGAATGGGATAAAGTAGCAGCACAGGTGCCCGTGATAAAGGACCAATTAAATTATCACAGGTCTGTGAGTTTATCACCGTCATATTTTATTTAAAATAGAATCTTGCAATCTCTTGCCAACCGTGGCAGAATTCCTGATCTTCCATGTCACTAATTCAACACCCAATAGGAACACTTCATTTTGATGTGCACCCTGCCAACTAGAATACATATCGTACCAGAGGACTGGACTGGATGATTCACCCTGAAGTGACTCTTCACTTGGAGAGGCTGCAGTCCACGCGAGCATTAGGCTCCAGGATAATCCCAGGCCCTTGAAATAATGATTGCTGCCATCTGGTATATTTACTAAAATATCCAAACGAGTGCAGGCATGTTGAATCAGTATACAGTGTCATGACAAATCCATGACTCGGGCCTTAGTTGGCACCAGACAAGCGTGGCACTGGCTGCCCACAAACAGATGTTGGGTCTCCTCGCTCTCTGTCAGTCCGAGCCTCACCGCCACACCCTGGATTATATGAGGTGTAAGTACGACATGAGGTCATGTCCTAGCATCAGCCAGACACAGGGGCAGACTCTCCTGTTCCAGGATAGTGTATATGTAGAGGAGGTTTAGCGGTGGAGGCAGCAGACTCTGTCTCTTGGCAGCCTGGATGTTTGCCAGATGAGCTCGGCTTGATGACTGGCTCCTGTTTAATGTCAAAGTCACTTCTAAAGCTACACCTGGTATGTGCAGTATTTGACCTTAAGGCCCAGCCAGACACACTGGCTCATTGGATTTTGATTGACATATCAGTACTCACACTGTATTACCGGAGGAGCGATATGGCTGCAAGTCTGCAAAAACGACTCAGGGGTTAAATGAAGACCTAGGCCTTCATGGCTCGGGTCCAGTTAGCTTGTTCTTATTAATAACCTTCAATCTGCTGTGGAGAACCACTTCTATTAATGAAGTAGTATTATAATAGGGGGAACTTCTTGACAGTATTCAAAATTTGTCTTAATTCCTCTGATCCACGTAATAATAATGGTAAAAGCTGAAAGTAGTGGAAAAGAAAAAAAATAATAGAAATAAAACTAAATAAATAGAATGTTCACTATAAGATATAAATCAAAAAAGGACACTGAAGTTGCTAGCCTGAGATCCTCAGGTAGGGAGGCCCATGAACGAGGGCCCTTCATTGCAAAAGCCCGGTCACCTTTTGCAACGAGGCGGGACTTAGGCACCTTGTCTTCTTGTGGTTTCACACAGCTAATTAGCCAGTTATCAACCAAACACCTCTAAAGAGGAGGCTTACTGTAAGTGATACATCAGATAATCCTATAAGACCGCACTATTTTTTCTTCTTCTTTATCCTGTCCTGTCAAATTATCATTATTCATTCACTAGTGGCCACTTTTAGTCACCTAATAGCGACACCTGTGTATAATCACAGTAATGGTCCTGTCAATTAATATTGACAAGTTCTAGAAAACATGTCAAGTGACAGTTATGATCAAACATAGGCTCATAGATATACATGGCTAGCTGGGACTGGAATTCCACACATATCTATGGTCAGGAAGAGCATTTTGGCCCCCTACTACCGACAGAGTGACTCCATCTGTCGAGCATATGCTGATGAGGTGGCTGCTGCCACACTGTCTCAGCGCTGAGTTACATAGAGGCTCCCCCTGCCACCTGACATATTCTAAAGGAGGCAACGCCGTAAGCCAGCCAGCTCATTGTGCTGTCATATAACCTCTGTTATACACTTAACCTTTACCTTTAAGCATTTAGTGGATATGAGATGAGGGGCGCGCATGGCTATAACAGGCCCTTCACACTGGGGGAGCTGTTTGTTTTCATGAGTACATATCAACACAAATAAGGTGCTGGAAAGAATGAGATTCATGTTACCATGACCTACTCATGATTGCTATTTTGAATATGAAAGCGGCACACAGGAGCCGGCGCTCTCAGTAGCTGGGGGGACACCTGTTAGGAAACATGCACAGGAAATTCTGTAGAAACACCGTCATCGGTGTTCCACTGACTCACCGAGGCCTTCGTTCATGGCCATGTACAGTTTTGGACATTTCACACTGTTAACGCTTTAGGAAGTAGTTTCACCCTGTATGTGTGTCTCCATCTGATAAGTCAAACCAGTGGCTTTTATGGTCTTAATCCGTATGTTCTATTTCACCCCTTTTATTTCATAAACTGGATAAAACAACTCCTAGCGGAAATGTGATGTTAAATGATATCAGTGTAGGATTAGTTTGAATCTGAAGAGTTTCACCCTTTTATTTGAAGAAAAGTTCACATTAACTGTCACTAATGAGGCATCTTGTAAATAACCAGATTAAGATTCCATTCCTTTACTCCAGATAAGCCGTCCATGCTTGTTTCCTGTTTACTTTCCACTGATGCTGTGTGTGTTACCCAGGGGTGTCAGAGGACACTATCTACTCCCCCTGATATCAGATTTGAGGGGGGTTCAAGATGTGGCGGGGCAAGGAAGAGCTGCAGATTATTCAATGACACTGGTGTGTTCCCCGAGTTGACATGGAACATTTGGCTTTATAAATAGATCAAACTATAGACCTGCCAGCCTGATGTTCTGTTCTTATACAGAGTGGCATTTATTCTGAAAGGTTATTACTGACCATCCTGCCCTGGCAACTAAGTGGAAAGGCATGTTGTGGCAAATGAGCTGTTGAGAATGCTCCTTGTCTGGTCATCGTTGTGGGAAGCGGAGGCTTGGCTGCACCGTGGGGAAGTGGATGTGGTATTAACAGCATGGCCAGGCTGGCTAGGATGGGGATTGTGCAATCGTATTTGCAAACAACACTTGCGCTCTTATTCATAGTGCCTGTGTCACGTCTGTTATTTTTGCCTACTCTGACGTCCAAAAAGAGGAAAGCAACAGAAACAGTGGGCTAAAATTAGTTAACCATTCAAAGTGCTAGTGGGTGCTACCACACTGAATGACCACTCCTGTATTTTTGAGATAATTTCTGCTCCTAAATACCAACTACATTTTCTGTTGTAGTCCTTTAAACATTTATTCACTTACATTATTTCTTTCTGCCTATGTTTTTGCTTTGTCTTTATAACATTGTTATGATTTTCTGTTTCTACAACGAATATGTTTTGCTCTATTCTTTACTTTGTCAGTAAGCATTTGTGTCTCTTTTTTACTCTTTAAGTGTGAGATAGAGTGTTGAGTGTATGGGTGTGTAAGTTTGTGAGTGTGTGTGTGTGTGTGTGTGTGTGTGTGTGTGTGTGTGTGAGTGAGTATCTGTGTGTAATTTGGCCTGCTTCTACCACCAGCTGGTTAATTGTCCCCCGGTCTGGTCCAGTGGTAATGAGAGTGACTCAATACCAGACAAAAGAGACAGCTTCACTGGGAGACAGCAGCCCATTGGCTGAGCCTGTGACAGCCCCCTCCCCGCATGGGCGCCCCCTGACCGATGCACGCCCAGCACCCCCCTCCCTCCCTCCACTCTCCTCACTGCCGCTTGTTTTCTCCAACTTGCATGCAGGCCAAAACACACGCTTACTCCTCCATGCCAAGCCCAGTCCAGAGAAGCTAAGAACCCCGGCTGCTCGAGACAAAAACCCAGACCAGCGAGTGAACGACAGAGAGGAAAAGAAGAGAAAATCTGGCCATAGCTAATGCTCCTGCCTCTGTTCTAGCTGGAGGAGACCTTCCTGTGGATCTATCAATGACTTCTTTGTTTGGTTTGTTGCAGAGTGCCCCCTCTTTCAGCCCCCTGGAAACAGCCTCCGACCTGCAGCAGTAGTAAGTCCATGCCGCCTCCTTATTTGAATATGAGTGCTTTAAATCTGGCTTCCTCCTTCCAGTATGTTGATGATTATTTAAGGAATGTTAGTGGGATAAATGTCAGTGAGAGATTTCTCCAGCCTGTAGAGCTCGCCTGCCTACAGCGGGGGACTCCTGCTTCCTGAGGAGATCCTGTTAATAAGGCAAAAAGCTACCAGAACAGTATGTCCTCTGTCTGTATTTCATGGTGTGTTTAGGGGGTGGTTTATAGTGTGGAGAAACGGCTGCTATGTGGTGATTTATTTAAAGACAGCGACCTGGATGTCACTGGGATAGAGGGAACTCACCCAGCTGCTGCATAACTTAAAAAACCGTTATCTCCTTCTGAGTGGGTGTGTGTACAGAACTATGACCAGCAACTGGAATATGAAAGGGGAGGCTAGCTGTTATCAAAACAAAGCCTACCTTGATCTTTTTTGTTTTTGTCTGATGTGATTGACATCTTCTATTTTTGTTTGTGTAATAAAATGTAAGGAATTTAAGACTGGGCCACGGTGACTGCCTCACGCTACAGCCCAGGGAAAATAAACTTCTCCCTCCATTTCTGCTAAGAACTTTCCATCTGCTACAGTCATTATGTCATCATGGCCAAGTATTTAGAAAAGAGGATTCTAATTCAACGTTTTAATCCATTGATTCGTTGTTAATTTTGAAAGGAAGTGGTTCCTGATGAAGGGGTGTTGGAAGTTCACTCAGCCAAACTTTTCAAAGGAAACCTCAAGTCGTAAAGTGACTTCCTTCAAAGGCACATGTGTTTAGATCAGGATGTTTTTTTCTTTGGGGTCTGTTTGAAACCAGAGCCATTCTGAAGAACGTTCTTGTAAAGATATAATTTGATTGTAAGACACAAAACAATTTGTGCTAGTGCAATTTAATTGGATGAATGAATGAACTTACAGGTAAATGTGTGTGTTTTCAGGCCTCGATTAGACACCCACTGTGTGTGCATGAGAGAATTACAAAATACAAATATGTAGCTAGAATAGCAAGTGGATGTTGTTGAAGTTTATGGAAGAGTAATGTAAATGATCACAAACTGAGCTTGCAGTAGTACATCCTGAATAATTACCATTTAAATCTCATCATTATAGGTAAATAGATAAACATTACAGTTAACCTGCAACAACTAACTCCCAAGAGATTGTCTTCAATCTTGTATGGCTCCTGTACTGCAGATTTCCTGTATTATAGCATTTTTTTCAAAATTCTTATAAGTAACTTTGAACTGCCATGGTTTTATTGGCTCTCTGCAGTCAGCAGTGCACATTTTCTTTCCAGCAGCTATGAAAGAGCTTCTTGTTGAGGTGGTGAACAAGGAGCGTAAAGTATCCATACATTTGTGCAAGCTTATAAAACTCTGACATGGCAACACTGCAGATGTAAAACACATTTTGGGTAATACATCTGTGAAATACTTCGCATGGGTTATTTATTTCACCAGATGATACTCGAGTCTCTGTCAGTTTAATGGACATGTTTGTCTGTACAAATAGAGTAGCAGCGTGAGTAACACATGAGCGGCATGTGAAAGGGAGTAAACCTGAGAGTCGTACAGGTGCATGGCATGGGCTGATGCACCATGTGGGAATGTTCAGTGAATATTTATAGAAATCTGCCCTGTTGGCCTCTCAGGAATGACAAGATATGTGTGGTAGCCAATGCCTTCTCTTAACATCCGCCTCCCAATTCTGCACTTTCTTTCTCAAGTTTGGCTTTTTCTGTCTCTGATTATTTTGTCTCCCACAAGTCTGCAAAGACAGGAATTACCTCAAGATATACTAAATAAGAACCATATGACAGCTCATTGCCCAATTTGTGCTCCTCTGTTTATCATAAAAAACATGTAACACAACCCATCGGAATGAATTCGACTGTGTTTAATTAGCAGTCTGACTTCCTCTCTAGCTCCTCGAGCAAGTCTGGACACAGCGAGGTGGAGAAGGACAGTGGATCATCCACAGGCGAGCCCGTGGCTCCAGAATGCGACCGCCATGTTTACAAGAGTGTCCTGGAGGGCGGCGACATTCCCTTACAAGGTCTACGGGCCCTAAACAAGCGCCAAGCCAGCTCCTCTTCCTCTAAAGGTAGGATACCAGCCACTTTACATATGTGGCCAGTAAAATGGCAGTGTATTTTATGGATGTGGGGGCTAGACAGTACAGCGGGCCATTAAATGCTTTTCCTGCTGAGACAGAACCAATGATTTACAGACACTGATGTTGGACCGTTCAAAATGTCAGACAGGGATACATGTGTTTCTGCTTACCTTTCTGTTGTTATCCACACATTTTCTTTGCTCCCAGACCCCACAGCATTGGCCTATCACCTTGCAGCATTCATCCCCCTAGCAGCTTTTGATTTATTATTGATGTCACGGATGTTTTCATCAAATGTGTACTGGCCATCTGCTTTGGAAAACTCATGGAGGGATTGAGGTTGTCTTGCTAAGTCAATGGAAGCTAACCTTGGGGATTTTCCCCCCTCTTGCTCCAGTTGTGAGCCACCAGTCACTAGGCAGGCTTAGGGCAAGACTCCAGAGTGTTCCAGCGCCAGGGAGTGGAGGGCCAGAGAGGGGATGGATGAGGAAGGGACGAGCGAGATAAACAGAGCTCTGCTCTTCACAACCTGGCCAGACTGGGGTGAGATAAACAGGAGGGACACAGAGGGTGGGTAAGTATGAGGAAGTCAGCTGCCAGTGTGAGGTCAGGGGCTGGAATGCCTGTGCACATGGTTGGGGAGAGAAGTGCTGGGGGAGGAGAGGAGAGGACTTAAAAGTTGAAAGTTATTATTTCTATTTCCACAGTAATATATTGACCTAATAAGGATATGTTTAAAGAGGAATCATTCACAATAGCAGTCTTGGAAGAAAGCTAGTTGTTGTACCTTTAACCCAGTGTAATTGTGGAACCATGCAGTAAATGTATTCAGCACTCCAGTCAACTGACTAGCATGCTACTTCATTAGCCCCTTGCCCAAAGAAATAACCAAGCAATAGGAACCAAACACTTCGTCATGTGTTTCTGTCTTGTGCTCATGAAATAAAAAAAATATCTGTATTAATCTTTTGTGCTTTAAAGTACTGAGCCTGAGGGCTTTTCAGTGGCCTGAAGTTTTTACTTACCACATGGCTTGGATAAAATCTAGGTTACTTTCTCAGTGTGTGTTTTTCTGGTAGATCTCTCATGCTCAGGCTACAGAACTGTCTCACAGCATGTGAAAGTGTCATTTCCCAGTTCCATCTGTGGTGCTGTCACGAGCATACTATAGCCAGGATCTGACACGAGTATTTCTCGTTAGAGGTTTTTGACAATCATATTTTACGGGCAGGTTGACTCAGGATACATTTCTTAATTTACAACCGTGTGGGGGAGCAGTGTATTAACAGGTGCCACAGGCCATTTATCACTGTAGCTGCCTACGTAATTGCTAAAAGTAGAGAAGAAGAATGTATGTAGGAAGTTAAAGTGGGACAGGCAGCAGTCATGTGGGAGAAACGCGAACTCAAAGAGGTAACAGAAAATATTTGAATAGGTTTGGATATTTTTTTCTTTATTCTTTTGAATTATACTGATACTGCAGTCAGTGTTAAGAATTCCTATATGACCTCCAACATCACATTGCATTTCATGGCATATTACTGTTTTAATACTTTATGTTACACTTGTTATGTTGCTGTTTAAAGTGATATTGATGATGCAAGAATCTGTTAGACAGTACATTTTACAAAGCATAATTCTTCACTGCAGTACCATGCTGTTATTATAACAGTCATCTATTACTTGATGCACAATGCATCAAGTCTGCTTCCTCTTCTCATCTACTTTTGATGGAACTTGGTCTTTACTTTAGAAATGTGCCTGACTCTGTTTTAGTGTGTGTGAACCTGTGACCATTGTAATCTAATATGTTGTTTATTCTGTTGTCCTGCATGCTTGCCAGTGGATTATAAAGGTGGGAATGGCTATATAATTTCACCCTGCTCCTCTGTAAATAGTCGATTGGTTCTTGCCAGTAATGCAATAGGTAACCAGTGTAAGAGTATGAAGCCTCTTTCCGCTGCCAAAGCCTGCATACCGCAAATCCTGCCCTCTAAGTTCAAACCCAAGCTGCTGCCGCCCAGTGGTGATAGTCAGGAAAGCAGGACTAAAGCTGTCAGGCACCCGAAGGCCCACAGCTGTGAGGATCTGTACACGGGGCCATGTGACACGGACTTTGCTGAAGCAGAGGAGAGGGAGAGTGGGCAACATTCAGGCTCCAAGTCCAGCTGTGGCACAGAGTGTGCAGACGGCCTCAGGAATGTTTCCCCTGCAATTAGGAGGAGCGCATCTGAGTTTTCCAGCCTGTACAGGACCATGCATCACATCCAGCGGCCCAGCTCGGTCGGCTGCAGCCCCCATGGCAGCGTCCGCAGCTTGGCCTCTCTTTTTGAGAAAGCAAAGGCCGACGAGGGTGAAAGGTCAGAGGAAGATGGCGGGGGTAACATTCCACGGGAGGCAGTGTCGTCACGGGTCAGCGAGTTTGAAATGATCATCCAGCGGTCCAGTTCGACTCCCAGCCGCTCCTCTTCCCTGCCCACCCTGCACTCCAGCCATAGCCACAGCCCCAACCACAGCCCCGCCCACCTCTACATGGCGTCTGCAGTGTCAGCTGAGTCCCTTTTGGTAGCCGACGCCACCCAGACAGATGCCTGCTCCCCAGTGGAAGCAGAGGGCAAGAGCTGTGGGGAGGAGGCCTTGTCACCAGAATGTGGGACTGTGGAGGAGTCGGCCTCCTCCTCAGAGGACGGACACAATGTCAGGACTGAGTCCCCCTGTAACACTGAGGCAGAGGTTGAGCAGATCCTCAGTAAAAATACCCCAGAACTGATCCAGCAAACTGTCAGTGAATCAAAGAGTCCCTCGGCGCAGTTTACAGCATCCCCTCCGCAACACAACCATATCCACCACCACCACCACCTCTTGCACCACCTGAACCATCAACTCCTGCTCAAACCCAGCAAATGCAAAGGCTCCTGTCCAGCCTCCTACACCCGCTTCACCACCATCCTCAGGCACGAAAGGCAGCAGGCCACGACCGCACAGGAGAGGCCACCACCTGTGGAGAAGAAGACTACGCTGCCTGGGAACCTCTTCCTCATGGGCCCTGCTCCTTTCAGGTTACGGAAGAACCAGCAGTCCCACCTAACCCGTAGGACTCTGTTAGCCACCAAGGTGACAATGGGCACCCAGAGGCCCTGCACTTTGTCACCTGAGGTCAGACCTCTGATCCCTCAGCGCCTGTCCTCGCTGGAGGTCCTGGAGAGGCTGAGTAACGGGGAGGATAGCAACACTGACCACCTGAGTAACGGGCAGGGCTTGGATGCCAACGGGAACCTACTGCAGCCGCTGGCCGCTCACCGCAGAGGTGGCTATTTCCATCCTTTCACCACTGTCACTCTCCTCACTCCTCCCTCTGTGGTCACTCATTTATCTCGACTCTCTCTTCACCTTGTGTCCCTTTTTCTCCACAAAGCAACGGCGCCACCCTCCATCTCTAGTCTGTGTGTTGTGTTTACAAAGTAACAGGGAAGCCTCCATCTCATTCTGAGTGTGCTGTTTGGTGCTCTTCCATTTCACTGTGAATGAGTATTGTCCCACAAACGCATCAAAACACTTCAGTGACTGTAGGAGGTTCAGGCAGCTTTTGGTAATGTATATATCGCCTGGTGACATCAGATTTGAGTCGTATGCAAGAGTGCTAGAGCCTGCATAAGCATTACATCGACACAGACAGAATTCTGTTTTATTACATAATTAAGGTGAGATGTCAAATCGTGTCCTTACACAAGTAATGACTTTGAAAGCCTTACCTTAAATTACAATCCCAGAATTGCTCCGTAATGTTTAAGCAGGATATTTTGATATAACATTGCATACGGTCTCTTAAATTGATGTCTCACCATATTTGTATCTGTTTTGGTTTTTTTCTGTTTTGGGAACAGTTTACATCTGCCATCTTTCATTCTCTCACTATGAAAGGTTTGTTTTAGCCAGACAGGATGTTCCCTGCTTTGATGTCTTTTACAAAACAGCCGGTACTTTGGGCATCAGACACCAATCTGAAACATTGATAGTTGTTTCTTGTGGCCCTTGCTGGGACGCAGAATGAAACATCTAAGGTGGTGTGGGGAAGAAATTAAGTCATGAAGATATCTAGCAAATACAAAAACAGTGACGCTTCAGTAAAATAATGGACGCTGGGTGGTCGATAAGTAAAACCATGATGTCATGTTTATTTTTTTTGGGCCAAGATACAGTAGGTTTAATTTTTTTTCTTTCCTGCATTTGTTGTTTCAGCACATATTGGATCATTCTGTATTCATTCCTATGTGCATGCAGGAATACATTTGGCTTTTTGGATGTGTGTATGCTTTTTGTTTCAGTGTTGCAGAGATTATTTTGTTCATTTAAAGCATGCGTGGTTGTATTTATTGTATATTGTTATGATTTTATTCATTGGAATTAAGGAGTTGACTGCAATATTATCATTTTATATTTGAAATCTCGAATTGGATTTGCCTTGAGGTTGACAGTGAAAATGTTTCACAGCATGATCCTCTTTCCGTTTTTCTTTCAGAAACATCCCCAGTTCACGGGGAGAGCCAGGATGACGTGTTGCGGAGGCGCCATGGGGACAAAGAGGTGAGTTTCCAACTTTCATAAATAACACCTTCACAGACAATGCTTTAGTGAAGTGTTCTGTGTTATGAATGAGGAAATCATACATTATACAAAACAAAGAATGTGTCACATGAATAAAAGAAGGGAAGAGACCCATATCTAGAGGGGACAAACAGTTCAGTCTGGTTTCCTGGCAGAAAATCTTGGAGGAGCAGCGGCGGCTGAAGCGGGAACAGGAAGAGGCTGACACAGCATCGAGGCGACACACAGGCATTGTGCCGACGCACCACCAGTTCATCACCAACGAGCGCTTCGGAGACCTGCTCAACATCACAGATAACACAGAAAAGAGGAAATCAGGCATAGAGGTAAAAAGCGTGGTGTCTTATCCTTCTGTAAGCAGGACAAAAAGGATGACAGCTGCTTTCTCAGTTTGTTTGTGAGGCAGGCTGGGGAGGGGGGTGATGGGCTTGTCAGTGGGATTTCTGCAGACACAGATGGCTTTCTTCTCCGGGTCAAAAATTCAGAGGGTGTGAGCAGCTACAGAAAATTGAGTTTATCACTGAATTTCCAGTATACTTCCAGACTTCGATTCCACAGTGCACATTTATCAGCTATATACCTAGATGTTATGTCACTGGTATTAGTTAGTGCCCTTGTTGTGTTTACCAAGGTGTGCCTGGTCTCTTTGCTGTCCAGTCTCACAGCAAACAACCCACAGTATTTTTTTTTCACTGGGCATGCTCTAGAGGACAAGTAACCCAGTCAGTCACAAGCACATCATTCTTGTCATTGCTATAATATTTATGTTCTGACAGGGCACTGAAAGGACAACAGGCCAATTTAAAGCTCCCAAAGAATTCCAGAAGAATCTTTTTCTTTACACATGAATGACAAAGCCCAGAGAGTATAGTGAAAAGGTGACATAAGGGTATTTAGTCTTTTGGGTAACTTTCACAGACTCAGTACAAGATTGAAATGTCTGTTGTTGTAATCATAAAATAAGAGTCAACCAAGTTTTTTTCCGTATCTACACAGAGAACTCCAGCTATGGCTCGCTTCGACTTCAGAGCGGAAACTCTAAAGTAAGCGGAAATAATCAGAAAAATGCCAAAAAATACTTTGGACACAATATTGCAATCCAGTCCAACATCAGAAACTACAACCTTTAAAAATCTATCCATCTCATTGTTATTATCACAACTGGTGGTATTTGTTGCAAGGATGTTGAGCTAGATTGCAATAGTTGACGTGTTAATGACTCTGTTGCCTTGTGTTCACCTAGTGTAGATTTACAAATAAGCAGAGCTTACTTTTTGTAATTATTGGCATATAATTTAACTGTTATCTCATACATGGGGTTAGCTACTTTTGACAAAATGATGCCAAAACAAATCATACAATCAGCAGAATAATGATAATAGATTTACAACTTGTACTCGAATGTGAATAAATCCCACCCATCAGATTAGCCATAAAGTGCTGTTAAACATAGGTCTGCATGCAATCACACAAACTTAAATGTGTTACTTATTTCATTGCATGTGGGTAACTCATCTCTTTTGTAGGGAATTACCGTTTCAGAAGGGAGACATTGTCTACATCATTCGACAAGTGGATCAAAACTGGTATGAAGGGGAACATCATGGAAGAGTTGGCATTTTCCCTCAAAGTTACGTGGAGGTATGTGAGCTCCCTCTGTCACTGAAATAATTTTTTATTCAGTTTATCGTTACAGTTTTATGGATGTTTTGCATTATGTATTTGCTGCACAGTGTGAATAAACTTGGATTTTCTTACTCAGTATGTTTTGTTATTTGTTGCCTTCTTCAGCTCCTTCCCCCCACAGAGAAAGCCCAGCCAAAAAAAAGTGTCCCAGTGCAGGTACTGGAGTATGGAGAAGCTGTCGCCCGCTTTAACTTCAATGGGGACACACTGGTGGAAATGTCCTTCAGAAAGGTACTGAGTGGGAATTAGCCATTACAAACTAAAGAACATTTAGAAGCACTTTAAAGGAACTTAGATTTTCTTATACTGCTTTTATCCTTTTGTTACTCGTGCTTCATTTATCCAAAGAAGTAGAAAACTATGTTCTGAATCTAAATAAAACAAGCAAAATATGTATCTGTAGGGAGAGAGGATCACGCTGATTCGCAGAGTTGATGAGAACTGGTATGAAGGCAAAATCTCAGGCACCAACCGCCAGGGCATCTTCCCTGTCACCTACGTAGAAGTGCAGAGACGACCCCGCGTCAAAAACGGGGTGGAGTACCCCGACCCTCCTGTCAGCCAGTCGCCCCAGCGCAGCACCAATGCTTCTCCTCAGGTAAGGACTCCAAACTACTAGATCAATCGTAGGACACATTTCTGGATGTTGACCCACATTTTTTTTTACTACTACATCTCTGAATCCAGAAATTCCCTTCTATGTTCACCCATCCTTTAATTAAAAAAAAATTGTCCAGTGAATTTGTCTCATCTTTCATTTCCTTTTATTTTCTTTCTCTCATCCCCTCTTCTTCTCTGTGCTTCCATCTTCCTCCTCCCATGTTTCTCATGAAAGCTGTATCGTAATCGCCTGACCACCTCCCCCTTGCCCCTTCCTCGCTCCCCCCGCCGCTCTGTGTCCCCCGAGGTCCACGCCATCTCCTCTGAGTGGATCTCCCTGACTGTGGGAGGGGGGAGCCCTCCTGCCGCCCCCACCCCTCCCCTGCCGCCGCTGCCCACCGTGTCCTACCGCTGCGGCGAGTACCTGCCCCCGCCCTTCTCTGTCAGCCCCGTGCCTCCCATCACCGGCAGCCCATACTGCGTCTCCCCCATGGCTTCCCCAGCTGCTTCTCCTCTGCCCCCTCCTTACCCGCCCAGACCCAACTCAACCACTCCCTTCCTCACGTTCACCCCACCTCAGGGGGAGGACTTCCTGCTCTCCCCTCCCTCCCAACGTCTGTCACGCAGTGTGAGCCCCTGTGGCGGGCCTGTGCTGGAGGGCTGGCTGAGGGGGGAGAAGGAATTGACAGAGGGGGAAGGCACAGAGGGGGACAGGGGCCGCGCAGCCCCGGGCAGCAGGCGAAATAGCCCTGCAGAGGTATCTTCTGCATGGTGTGCGGTGTTGCATCGCAGGCTCACTCTGCAACGTGGGCTTTTGGCCACAGTTTCATTCCCTAAAATAAATGTTCGATGAAGTAGTGAAGCTGACATTGATGAGTGGAAGACGTGACTAACTTGTTAATTTGACCTGAAGTTGATTTTAGCCCCATGGCAGGGATGACTTGGCTGGTTTAGTGAAGGCAGAATGAGCTAAAACTGGTCACACTGCTTAAAGCTGCAAGTCTGCATGTTAGTGTGTGTGTGTGTGTAGGCGCTACTAACATACAAATGTTTTACAGTGTCTTTTATTGTTTATATAGGGAGTCTCAGGTGTCCTAGCTGTAAAGGACTGTAAAAGGAGCTATTGTGCTTGCATTTCTAAGATTGATTTGAGAGCTTAAGTTTCTTTCTCTTCATAAAATTCAGCATTTGGTTGCATGTTGTTGTTGTTCCATGCAGAGGTGTGATATCTTGGATGCCGTTGGAAGTTTATTTAGGACAGTGACATATTTATTAGTAAGTATTTATAGGCTTCACATGTTGGCTTCCGTTTTAAAAGCTGTTGCGAGGTTAAAATTTCCACCTACAGGGAAATGCAACCTGACTCTATGACAATATTTACAGCAGGTGGAGACATGGTGCAATCTCTAGAGAAATCTCTTTGAAATGGTCTTGCTGATATGACATTTTTCTGTTGCAGTTTGTGAAGAATGAAGCTGACCATTATGGACGGAGCTCCAGAAGCCCCGTGATGCTGTATGACATCCAAGACAACAACAATGTTAACTCATTTGCGGTAAGCCTCCAGTGAAGATTTACAAAAAGAATCAGTCATTTGTTAAGTGACTTCATCATCTTTTTACCTTTTTAACCCATCACCCTCAAAGATCCATTTGACTTACATCACCTTCAACTTCCATTTATTTGTTTTCTGAAAGTTAAATGAGAGGTTCACTATCGCTCGTTTGTCCATTCAGTATAAAGCTGGAGGAAGAAGTCAGTTAGCTTAGCTTAGCTTAGCTTTGCAGAAAGATTGAAAACAGGGGGGGGAAAGCTAGCCCAATTTGTCTGAAGCTAATGAAAGCCACCTGCCAGCACCTCTAAAGCTCACTAACTAACAGGGGTAGAGAGTAACAGTAACTGCAAATTCCTGGAATTTTACTTGAGTATTTTATTTTCATGTGACTTTCTACTTCTACTCTGCTAAATCTCAGAGGGAAATATAGTACTTTTTACTCCATTTATCTAAAAGCTTTAGTTATTGGTTACATTATAAATTGCAAAGATTTTTACACACAACATATGAAGAGTTTCTAAAAAAAATAAGATGCGTTGTTTTATATTAAACCACTAACTACAACAGTTTACAGCTGAAACGTTTAATTGATAAGTCAATTGACAAATAATTTACTAGCAACTATTTCAATCATAATTTTTTATTTTTTTGTAAACACACATAAAACACATTTGGTGGTTCCAGCTTCACACATGTGAAGACTTGCTGCATTTCCTTTTAAATTTTTATTAATTTGTTTGGACAAAGAAGTATTATGAAGGTGTCACTTTGGGCTTTTGGTAATTGTGATGGCATTTGTTGAATTTTTACAAACTAAACAATCAATCGAATAAATAATCAAAAATAATAAATCAATAATAAGCAGATTTATTCATAATGAAAAAAATCCATACATGCAGTCCGATACAAAATAGTTCAAAGCAGTATCCTGCTTTTACATGAATGCATGAGTAATAAAAATCTAATGATTATAATTTTCTGTACATCCAAGTACATTTTCCTGATTATACTTTCAAGTAAGATTTTCAGTGCTGGACCTTGTAATAAAGTATTTTTACAGTGTGGTATTAGGTACTTAAGAGCACATTCACCTGGAAATATGGGTGACTCTCTTCGAGAGAGAGGAGGTTTGCACAAAAACACGCTAGAATTGTGCTTTTTTAAAAGAAAAAAAAGTCACCAAAGGTGTCTTAAAAGTGATCAGATCTAGTGAGAACATTGGTGATCACTATTAGGCAACCAGCAACAGATATGAGAGTGAAATCAATCTTCTCATCTAACTATCTGCAACAATGCGAGTACCCAAAAGTATATTTACCCAAGCTATTTCTAAGCTGCACCTGTCACCTTTCCTTTAATACTGCATGTTCATACTAAATAAAAAAGTGACCTAATATTTCATGTTTCCGTGCTCTCACTCTGGTGTCTTGCCTTTTCATGCCTTTCCTCCTGGGCTCCACCAACGTCTCCTCTGCTTTTTCTTCTGGCTTTTAATGGATCACTTCCTTTTCTGCCTTGCTACTTACTGGACCTACCTTCCTACGCCCCCTCATCTCCCTCTCTAACTTCTCACCTCCACACTCAACTTTACCTCGGCCTCTTCCGGGACTCTCGGTGGGGCTGCTGTCTGTCTTTTTCTGACGACTTCACCTACTACTACTACTACTAGGAAGCAGTGTGTAATGAGATCTTGAATATAGCTGAGACCTCGGTGAGGTACTGCAGCACCCTGTCCCACCACCCTCATGACTCTGTCCATAGACTGCACCCCCACCCCAGTAAACAATCTCTCATCATTTCCCAGCAACCCCAGTCCCACAGCAGTAGCCCGGAGCCGAGCCGTCTCATCTGTGGAATGTGAGTAAGATCTGTGTTTCAGTTTCAGCTTCACACCATGTTTTTTGTTTGTTTTTTTGTAACTTAGGTGACACACTGTTTGATTTTTACTGATTTCATATTTGATGTCTTTTGAGCTTTGCAAGACTACCAATTTCTCCCTGTATCCTGTTCCAGCTTCCAGGCTCTGTACAGTTACGTGCCGCAGAACGAGGATGAGCTGGAGCTGCAGGAGGGAGATCTTGTCAGCGTCATGGAGAAGTGCGATGACGGCTGGTTTGTCGGTATGTGTCGCAGACCTCGGGATAGATTCCTCAGAGGTGCAGTCACACTCACTGTGTCACATTAATCCATATAGGGTTTCTGCAGAATGACAGCAAAGGACTGTGCAATGTGCATGCTCAGTGCTCTTGGAGAAGTAGAGTCATTTTCACTGTGTCACATCCTTCCATATACGGTTTCTAAAGTATGACAGCGGATGATTGAGTGCTTTGTAGATATTCACTTGCCTTGCACTTGATTTTAAAGGTCATTTTAGCCTGTAATCTGAGAAAGAATACTTTTAGTGAATTTTCCCTGATCCATTTTTCTCTTTCTTTTTCTCTAAAGGTACCTCAAAGAGGACAAAACAGTTTGGGACTTTCCCTGGGAATTACGTGAAGGAGGTGAAACTGTAAAGATATCTAATCTGGCTGTAACACATGGTTGCCTGTCAAGCTTGGGAAGTCATTACTATCGCGCATGGCTGTTGGTTAGCATAGTCATTTAGCCAGGCAAATCCATTTTGTCTGGGAAAGTGATCGTTCGTCCTGAGGTATGTCAAACTGCATGTGGCGGAGATGGAGACAGCTCACTGCCCAAACCTCAGTATGGTGTCCACCTTGACCATATTCTACACACTTTTTGACAGAATTCGTCCATCTTCACATGTGGAATTTCTCTGTGAAAGTCTACCACTAACTAGCTTTTATTGTACAGATAATAGCTTAATTTTGTCAATGTAATTTACAGTACACAAGTGTTTACGTAGCACCTCAGTCTGGAGGCCGGCAGCAGAGCAGTGTATGGATCGAAGAGTGGATTTTATTACCTGAACTGGATTTTGACGGGATTCAGAATGTATTTTTATGTGATGTGGGGTTCGAGCTGTTTGTCACGAGCTATCTTTCAGGACCAGAGGTGATTATCACGATTATCTAAGTATGATGCAAAGCATGCTTCTCATGATTCAAAGACATTTTCAGTCCCTTAGACGTTGCTTCTAAAAGAAAACCTTCAGGTGTTTGGATCAACATACCACACATGTATGAAATGTGGTGGTTCATTCTTGGACTCCGTCCAACAGACAATTTTCCTCAGTTTAGAGTTGGGAAAATGAGCCTTATATGAAGCTCTTTTACAAACAGGTCTAACATACCTGTTTTATTTTCTGTTACTTTGTCTGAATCATCATAAAAATCAGTATTGGCTACTTTTGAAGAACATGACAGCATTCAACTCAGTGTAACCCAAAAGATTTAGATACCGGTTCAGTATTGCCTTCATTTTAAATCCAGAGGTTGTGATTACACAGTCATGTGCATGACGCTAAACACTAAAATGTGTGCTGTTAGCTTCCCTTTTTCTCACCTACCACATGTAAACACATAGAGGGCACATGGACTGTGTTGCATGTCTGATAAAAGTGAGGAGAAACTGTGTATATGCACATTCTATATTTTCAGAAACCATTTGTATGTCCTTTTTAGACATCTTCTGTCAAAGTAAAAGTAAACTTTGTTTGCTGATGGATGTAAGGTAGCTGGTGGTAGACGCCTGGCTCCAGCGCAACCACAGGACAGGCGTGGTAGCACTTAACTTCCTGTTTGGACTTTTAGGGAGATCCCACCTAACAAGATAATAGTAAATTAATCAGTGATGACACAAAAAGCTATTTAATATTTTAAGTAAAGCCAACAAGGTGTCTTAGGAAATATTAATACTGATTTTTAAGAGCATATTGAGATTTTAACCCTGCCCTTACTGACAGGATTGTATGTTTTAGCCATGTAAATGTGTACAGAAAACATTAAGAGGCCTTCCAAAATATGGCTACATATTTTCATATGTAATGATGACAACTTAGGTAATACAGTTAGTGGAGTGATTGAAATAATAAGGTCAGCATTAGTACTGCATGCAATGTAAAAGAAGAGACTGACAAATCAAATCAGAGCATGAAACACTAAACACACGCCTCAATATTTACCACCTATAGCTTAAAGAAAACACAAGTGATGACAGGGTTACCAGTCTGCTGATGGAAGATGGCTGTGAATTCTGCTATCAACGCAGCTGTTGTCCTGCGAGTACAGAGTTTCCACATCTCCAGCAGATCCAACGCCGCATGTCAGTATAGATCCTCAACATGCACAGATTGGAAGATGATAGCTATTATTTTTCTTTGCTTGTGTTTTCATCAAATTCCTCGTTGTCATCAACTGCTGCACTGTGCTCACCAGTCCTTAGCATAGCTGTCAAATCAAAATAGCAAATAATTCTTAGTGCTTGTTATGGCCTGCTCGGACTAGCAGATGGATGCAGTTTGTAGGGCAACCGCTAAAGAAGTATTTTAAAGTCAGTTTAGTTTTGCCAGGAGGATTGACGTGGCGAGCTATCTGATGCCCCAAGAAGCTGGAAGCCTTTTCCCAATCCCCACATATCTTATCAAATGGTGCCAGACTATCAGTGGACCTGCCTTTTAGTTAACTCTTTATGATTGTGCAAAAAAAAATCTGAAACATAATGTGAAGTATTAGAAGATAAAACAGTAACTCTCACTAGATCTAAAAGAGTGTGTTTACTGTATATTTGTTTGTTTTTGCATCTGAGTTTGTTAGCTACAGTTGTGCAATGATGATAAACATTGACCTAATGATTTGAAGCTGTATGTGGCTACCACATAAATGTTATATGAAGTTTTAATCATTGATGAAGTACAATTATTTACCAAAATTCAGTAGCAATCAGTGTCATTGTCTCTGACGTTTGCTGTTGGAACAAAATCAGGTGTGTCTTCTCGTGCAGATCGCCACTGACAGTTTTGCCAACATCAGCAAGGGAATGTTTTCTCAATACAATACACTGCATTATGGGTTTGCCTGTATAGCACTGATATAATCTTCAGGTATTTTGTTACACCACAGAAGCATGTTTTTCTCTCCACTGCTGGCTAAACATTTTTTTTCCTGTGTAACTCCAGCTCCCCACGACTGTGCTGATAGGTTTGGGAGTCTGTTGACCTGTAGGATTGTTTTCTTCCCTGACCGAACAAAAGGAGAGAGCTTCGCTCCGTCTCAAACACACATGATGGACAAATAAACAATCACTCATTTAGTCATAACAACTCACTCTAGATTTTTATTGTGGTCCATAAAACATCACAGAATGTATGAATGTATGAATGTGGCGCGATGCACACATAATATGTAAAAATAAATAAAATAATTTTCATCTTGAATGAACATGCAGACTATTGAGCAGCATGGCACAAGAAGGGTTGTAAATATGTAAAATAAAAAATAGACTGCGAGCGATGGGAGCATCAGATTGAGCCCTCCGTCACTTGCAGTGGTTTATTTACCTGAAGGATTTTTGGCAAAGCACAGAGTGGAGCATTACCGAGCACAGGAAGTTTGACGCATATGAACATTACGCTGCCATTTGTGAGGATCATAATGCCTTATGTTAGATGCAAAATTGTGCCTCATTTTCATGTAATTTTTTGGGGGGGGAGTTTCACTGAAATGTATCCATATTTAATGTAAACATGGTTTTCCCCATTAGTCCTAGTCTCTGTGATGGGAGAACATTTTCTAAGAACTTGTCAGTTACTGTGCAAGTACCTTAAAGTGTGACACGATGCTTTAACTTAATGATTATTAATCATAAGAATGGACTAGTTTGATGAGACACACAACCTGCAACAGGTTCGGTTTGTTTGCTTCAATTTGCAGTGCTGTTACATTGACAATATTAAAAATAAAGATACTATACACTGCTGTGACTTCGGTATTATGCAATATTTAATAAACCATTTAAACCATTTGGCGTATTACCTGTTTTGATTTCCTTAATGATAGCAGAAACAGATGTGAATTTTTATAACTTATAAGGTCATTTGGCATGTTAGTTAATACAGTAAAGTCTTGCAGCACATTCTCTGTGGCTGTGTAATCATGAGTGGTGCAAATGTATGTGAGCCAAAGGTGGAGCTGTTGGTCTCTGGGTTGGTGAAGTGCCCATTGTTATCTAATTATCTTTTCTTTATAATGTAGCACACAATTAAGCCTACACCCTGGACAGCTATTGAAATGAATACTACATAGGTGAAATAAAATAGTAATAAATGTGAGATAATGACTTCTGTAATGTTAGTGAGTTTACATAAATAATTATGGTATAGGCATCTATGCTCATATGTAGGCCTACAATCCCAATGTTGACAGATGTATTTTTACGGCGTTAACAGCCAGGAGCTGATGTAGGCCTACTTTTCACTTCACTACATTGACTCCACTGGCATACTTTAAGGTCTGTTAAGTAAAACCCACAAGAAAGGACGTGTTTCATTCCGTCAGTCTGCCTGGGGCTTTTTCTCTTCACTTTCAGCAGAGAACCTCTAGGCTAAGCAGGAATTCACGTTTTGGGAGCGGCACATTCCACATCCTGGGATTTAGCTCTACCATAAATGGTAAGCTTGCATATTAACTGGTGACGTACCGGTAGGCCGACATCCCTAAAACAAACAAAGGCGCTCAGCTGAGAGGAGAAAAACATAAAGAGGGATCACTCTGCTCTGCTTTGAAAGCGTTTTCCTTTAGGCGAAAAGTTAACTCCATATGGCCATCTGAGGCCATTTATTAAAAGCATTTGAGCTGAATGTAAAAGATATTAAATAAAAGCTTTTAAATTGAAAAAAAAGTGAAAGCAGGATTCACTTTAATTATTTTACTTGTTTTGAATAGTTGGTATTTTTTGCTGTAATTCAATGAGAGTCATGTCTTTGTTTAGCTTGCTGGTTTCAGTCAGGTTTAAAAATTGGTAGTATCAAATTCACAACAAGAATGAACAGAGTGGAGGGGAATATTGCATTTACTCTACTTCTGTTATTTTCCTAATCAGAACACAACAAACATAACATTGTGAGTAACTTTTTAAATGTGTGTGTGATGCTTAGGCTAGATTTTATTCTCCGTTTAAAGGATAAGTCTGATGTCATCCTATCTTTCTCGTATTGTCAACAAATCCCAAGACCAACACCAACAATGCAATGGTTTGTCTCTCACTGTCTGACTTCCCTATCCTGTCTGTGGCATCAGCGCCAAATCTATTCACTCCAACTGAAGATGTCAATCTTTAATATGGGGCACACGTGTATTCTTGCTGTTTCTTCAAAAGGAGCAAACATTTCCTGATTCAGCTGGGTACTGCAGTTTTTAGCAAGTGGTACTCAGTGGTAAATAGTGGATTTGTTGGGGACTCTTTTGCAGATTGATACACATTAGATGCATATTTACAGCAGCAGGACAATTCATGTGAGACTGACTCAAAAAACAAAACAAACTACAGTTCCTATGTTTATTGTATTGAGGGAACATGTCACGCAGTGATCTACTGTTCAGTTTTCGTTCCTACCCTCACCTATGGTCATGAAGGCTGGGTCATGACCGAAAGACCTAGATCATGCAGTTACAAGCGGCCGAAATGGGTTTTCTCAGGAGGGTGGCTGGTGGAAGCTCTTGAAGATGGATGGATGGATGTCACCCAGTGTAACTGATACAGTATATGTTTTATTATTTTTGGCACAGCTTTATTGGACCTTAGCCTATAAGTAGCCTAGATTTGTTGATTTTGGTCTTTTAAGAAAAATATATTTTATTAAAGTACGCCAATTTCTGACTGTGACCATGACAACATCTTTCCCCATCCCTGGAAGCTTGGTCAGCTTCCCCCACACACATTACGGAGTGATCCATTTTCACAATACACGATCTTTGTGCTCTACTCATCAGCGTGGAAACTTCAAAATCTATTCGTCCAACTGTAACCTGAGGGTCCTCCCCCTCCTCTAATGCTGCGGAGCTGGAGCCAGGCAGGGACTTTTGACTATCGACCACTGCACATGTCATATGCAGTAGGAAGAGAGTTGGTGGTCTGAGCCAGATCTTTAAGCACATTAACAGTCGACCCTGGTTTAAAAATAAAAAAACATTTTGTTATGCCTCTCCGGGTGGTCGTGCAGGGCCCTGGACCCTGGGGGTTCAGGCTGGTTGGGGGAAAGGACTTCGAGCAGCCACTGACTATTTCCCGGGTAAGTTTATGTTTTGTGTTAGCTGCTGCATTGTAACTCAGTGTAACCACACTTGGGCTTGTCCCGACAAAACCTGCACCTCTCGTTGTTTCCTCTCTACTTTACTGAGAGACCGGCTGGTAGAAACCTAGTTAACGTGAGCTAGTTTTAACAGAAGGCTAACTTCACAGGCTACACAGATATCTCTAATGTAGCTAGCGTCAGCTAACTTGTCGTTATCAGTATTGGATGTTGTTTTTGGGTTTCTTGTACTTTCTGCTAACTTTTTGTCCAGTGGTTCACTCCTCTGTGTTTTAATGTGTGTTTTTTTTAATGTAACTGTAAACTTTAGTGTAACGTTACAGGTTTAACAAAACTTTCCCGAAATATACCACACTGTCCTAACGTTATCTCTCTGCGTCCTAACTTCAAATTAAAAGCATAACGTAACATAGAAGGCGAAAATCCAAACTGTAATTTACTGTTATTTAGTCATCCCTGAGTGTCGATGAAATCCTAAGCAACTATTTGAGTTAGCTGACAGCTTTTGAAGCACATTCTGTTGCTTTGTAACAGCATGCTATACATAAATGCAAAGCCTTATTATTACGTGCTTTGCAGTGTAACAGTAATGAAACAGAATATGACTCTCCTCTGTGTACTTTGGCTGAGTTGAGGCTCCTGTTCCTGTTGTAAATGTTGTGGCAGTGGTATGTCCACCCCACCCGTGGAAAAGTGATTAGGAATTCCTAGACCGTGCCAGAGTCTCTCTCTCTGCTTCAAACCTTTATCTTCTTATAAAGTGTCTACCATGGAGCGGCCCTCAGCCTGAAACACCTCTCTGCAAGTGGCTTTCCTTGTGCTGACTGTAAATAATGAAAGGTGTGTGAAGGTCAAAGTTAAACAATATGCCAGCAGAATTAAGCAGATCAGAAAAGACTGTAAGATTATATCTTGCTTACATACTGTGTTTCCCACATTCCAAGTAATTTTATACCTATGTGGTTATTTTTTGAAAGAATCTTGCTGAAAGTACAGCCTACATATTTATATTTGATTCCAGCAGAGAGCTTTGCCTCTGCAGTGGAGCTGCAACAAGTAATCGATTAGTTGTCAACTATTAAGTTAATCACAAACTATTTTGATAATCAAATATTTGGTATGAGTCATTTTTTAAGAAGTCAAAATTCCAGCTTCTTAAATGTGAATGTTTTCTGGTTTCTTTGCTCCTATATGACAGTAAACCGAATATCTTTTGAGTTGTGGACAAAACAAGACATTTGAGGATGTCCTTTTGGGCATTTTCTGACATTTTATAGGCCAATCTGTCAATTAATTGAGAAAACAAGTGACAGATTAATCAACAATGTAAATGATCATTACTTCCAGCCCTACTCTGCAGGCTCTTAATAAATCTTAAAAATGTGTAGTATGTACAGTCCAAAAGGTTGCTGTTTTATATTTTATTTTTTATCAATTATGTTTCCTGTGTTGTAGGTCACCCCTGGGAGTAAAGCCGCCCAGGCCAACCTAAGTATCGGAGACATGATCTTGGCTATCGACGGAGAACCGACAGAGAACATGACTCACTTGGAAGCTCAGAACAAGATCAAGGGGTGCATAGAGGAGATGGTGCTCTCCATAGACAGGTAGGATGTAGCAACATGCAGCAGTCTTGATCTGCATAGCCGTGGGCCTGAAAAACACTGAGTAATAGGAGACAGCTCAGCCACAATCCAGGTGTTTTGGGGAGTGACGTTATGTGTATGAAATGATTTTTAAAGGCGAGTCTGTCTTTTCTTTCACTGAAACCTTTTGTTCGAGAAGTGTGTGTGTGTGTTGTAATTCTGTGTCCTGTCGGTGCATTACATCATACCTTTGTGGCAGCGGATGATCTCAAGCAGTGTGGATGTTGAAATGGACAACAAGCAGCTTGAAGCAAATATGTTTGTTGAAGTTAAGAGGGAATGTATTGAAAGCAGGGTGGGGTAAACAAATGAATATACCTGCAAGGTATAGAGATACAATATCATTTTCATGTGCAGCTATGCAGGAAAAATTGTGAAAGGGGAAAAACCCAATATGTTTACCATTTTTATTTTGTGCTTTCAGGATTTTAGCAACAATATTTATGAAGTCTTCTTGTCCCTCCTCTGTCCTGCAGGTCAGAAACTAAATTATGGTCACCGCTTTCATCTGAGGAAGGGAGGACACATCCGTACAAGATGAATCTTGCATCAGAGCCACGGGTGTGTGTCTGCTGTCTCAGTATCAAAGCTGGATGTTTAAAATGACTCCCCCCTCATTTAGATTTGAAATCGGGAAATCCCATTCACAGGTAGCCATACAGTTTCTGGAAGCCTGCAAGTTCCTTTCCCACTACGCCCCCACAAAGGCTTATGGTCTATTTTTCTTTTTTTTTTCTTTGTTTAATACTGCCAACGATGAAGTCATTGTTTACTTCCCAACAGGAGGTTTCCTAGGAGACGGTAATTTATCAGCCAAGCTCTGACGCAAGCCTCAGTTCCTGCCCGCTGAGTGGAAAGTTGAGGCCAAAGTGTGAATTCATGTAGGAAACGGTGTGATGTGTCCCAACCTCTGTGTGTTTCACAAGTCACAGATGTGCATTTTTCTCACCCACACACGTTTCAAGCGCTTGTGTGGCGTCTGTCACTTTGATTTCGCTTCACTGTTTTATTATTTTAAACCATTGCTTCATACCTTTTAGGCTATTATAACATCGCTCAGTGCTACAGTTGTGTGTTCAGTTTCTTTGTGTAAGTTTACTTGCTCGCAGAGACTCTGGGGTATTCTGCAATTTAAATGACTGATGCTTGAAGCATGAGCTATATTTTGAGGCATTTCCGTGTTCCCACTGTGAAGCATGAGCTACATTTGGTGGTATTTATGTGCCCACTTTGATGGCATGCCAGCGACATGATGTGTTTGTCTTTCAAGGCCGTTAGGTTTAGCTATAATTAAGGCATAATCTACAGTCATACATTATCCTGCTAAATTATGTGTGACTTTGAGTCAAACTAGGAGCAGCAGTTAAAGAAGCAAATTAGTCTGTTTTGATGTTTTCAGTTGAACAGTTTACCAAGCCACAGTTTTTTAAAGTCTGCAGTTGCAACATTATTGAATTCATCGTTGAAAATGCTAGAGGTTGGGTGTTTTCAAATATTGAGTAATGTTAATAATATCACAATGTTGACTGCATGTTTGTGCAAGTGTGTAAAGAATTTGATTTGAAAATAAGATGAGTTCATCTGAAGGCTTCAAAAGTTGTGACAACCATTTCATAACTAAGAGGTTATGCATGATTCAGACAGAGTGCCAGTTCTTTCACAAAAATCTGATACGTGCACTCACCACCTGTTGCTTGGTTCCTCACAATTTTGCAGGAGGTGAAACCCATAGGCTCGACCCACAACAGGAGCGCCCTGCCGTTTTCTGGTTTTGGCCCCAAAGTTGTGACCAACCAGTACAACAACCCCTCTGGTCTCTACTCTTCAGAGAACATCAAGAGCTTCAACTCCGCTGTGGACGAAGTTCAAACCATGGCTGCTGTTAATGAGCCCAACAACAAGTAAGATAAGTCTGAGATGACACCACTTTAGCCCCGTCCAAATTGAGACTGGAGCCCAAGGGGGTCATGATTTAGTCAACGCAGAACCCAAAGCAAATGCATTACCATTGATGTCCTTTGCCAAAGCTGTAAAAGCATTGCTTGAGTTTAAAAGGGTCTCTGTGGAAGTTCGATTGCAGAGAGGTTGGAGCTGGGTCAATCAAATAATAATTTTGACTCACCTCATCAATATCTAATACTGACAATATTTTATGTTTGATTATTGTTTTTTTAATAATAAAAAATAATAGATATTTTTTTATAATAATATTTAAATGTTAGATGAGTAATATATTGCCTCACAAAGGCAGCCCAGACGGTGTCCTTTGGTGACTTTGGTCTGACAGGGCTCTACAGGAATTGGGTTGGCTTGGGTTTGGGGCGTTGTCACCAACTATGGACCAAAACTTGACCCAGTTATTCTGAACAGATTTCCTATTTTGAGTTCAGTGAATAGTGTCTCTGTATGACCATATTAACAATGGCATAATTATCTGTATCCATCATGAAAACGTGTGTAAGGTGTCAGTTGTAAAGTGTGGGTAGCACTCACACAGCAGGGCCAGCAGTTTATGCACGGAGTTTCCAGAAAATGTACTATATCAACATATACTGTATATCGATAGTGTAATATAAAATATATGAATACATACCATTTTTATACATCACCTTTAAATCAGATTGTTTACACGCTTTGGCTTAATAATACATATAGCACACTTGTTGTTGGGTACTACTCATGTTTTCACGGTTCATTACACAACATAATTTATTAGTACGTTTTATGTTTAACACACATTTTTATTGTACATACTCCTTCAGGAAGAACATTTGATTCAAAAAGCACCATTAAAACTTTAACCAGAGTAACAAAGAGTACCGATGTTTAATTTTAAAAGAAAGCAACGCAGTGCATCTAAGAATCAATTATTTCATTGATAGAACAACACTCCCAGTAGATTTATGATTAGTTCTCTTAGCAAAAATTGAGCTTGCAAGATTTAGGCTAGCTCCCAAAATGCTGGGTACAAATCAACGTTAGTAATTTGGATCCTTCTAAACAGAAGCAATTTTATTTTTAGTCAACAATGAAGGTGTCTGAGACCAAGACAAGTGCAGTGTTTCCCACAGAACTGTGGTGGCAGCTTTCTTATTATTAATTATTACATGCATGCATAGACCGAACAAAAGGTGCTCCACTGCTTATACTTACCACTGCTTTATATTTATTGCTAATATTGCCAGGTATTTTGTGATCAATTAATAACAGAACAATCCAGTATAAAGGCTACAGCTCCATTGCTTCACGCTGTGTATACACAGTAAAGAAGAGAAATCTGCTTTCTCACCGTCCTTGCTTCTACATCTCTGTTTGCTTCTCTTGGACTTGAAACGCTGTCAATGTCTCAACATCAGGGATGATAAAAACAAAAGTTGTTGTCACCTGAGAAGGTTTTGACATTTATGCATCCTGTGACTCCTGCGGACATATTGAAATGTACAAACTTGCTTTGTAGAGCTCCGTCAGATCCATCGCAGACAGGCAAGCGGCCGCCTGTAGTGGCAGATTCAGAGGTTTACAAGATGCTACAGGAGAACCAAGAGTCTGATGAGCCTCCTCGACAATCTGCTTCATTCAAAGTGCTTCAGGAGATTCTTGAGACAGGTACGAATCCTGGTTATTACTCACAGCTTCCTCAAAGGTAATCAAGAATTTCTCTTTTACAGTGTATGACTTTGGGGCACACACTTTCAGTTTTAATTAGAAAACAGATATATTTGTTTTTTCTGTTTCTTTGGTTTCATTCCTGGTTACTTATTGCTTAAAATGACAAAGTTCCAATGACGAGAAATACTATAGATGTGTGTACAACCAGTGGAACCTCAGAAAGCGTGTTAAGATTGTTTATCTCTGTTTGATGTTTATAGGCGACTCTGATAAACCGTCAGGATTCAGGAGTGTGAAAGCACCTTCAACAAAGATTGGGTCATCAGTGGGGAACATAGACAAGTTACCCACCTGTGACAAATGTGGATCCGGGATTGTGTAAGTATTTTATGATTCCTCAATACTGTTTTACAGCTCTGAGGAAGTGCACCAGAGCCAATAATGGCCCCAATGTTATTATGGGCCCCAGTGTTGTTGTCTCTGTTTGGAGTTTGTCTCCACCTTGTGGCTGAATTTAGTTAAGACCACAGGACAATTGTGTCACCTGTTTTCCTGAAGTCCTGTTGCTGCTGTTGCCTTTCAGTTAGCTCATATTCATGGATTTCACCCAAAACATATTCTATACATGTTTTACATTTGAGTGGAGTTTTCTGTTTTAGATCAGGATCCCTAAAAAACTGTTAGTTTCTTGTGACGATCATTTCATTCTTTGTAGAGTTTGTGCCATTTTTGAAACGTATGAAAATTAACTTTGTTTCTGCATCTTGAACTGTTTGCATCAATGGCATGAAGCACCTGATGTAGCAAGAAAAATATTGTATATCAGCCGTGGTTTAGGTTATGACTTATTTATATATTCAGTGTTGGGCCTCACTAATGCTCTTATGGCTGAATGGGAGTAAATCCCTGCGGCCAGGTTCAGACATTTTTGTTGAAAAACTTCCCAGAAGAGTGGAGGCTGTAATGGCAGCAGGTGGATGTCCAGTCTTTTTGGAATGAGTTTACCAATGACACATGGATGTAATGTTCAGGTGTCCAAATATTTTTAGCCGTGTAGTTCCTAACTGTTCACAGCTCACATACCATCGAAAACCAATCAAAATCATTTAAATCCAGTTCATGAATTTTGTGTTAATCAAGTTTAATGTGATCTTTTTATCTTCAGGGGGATGGTGGTAAAGCTGAGGGACAAGTTCCGTCACCCCGAGTGCTACACCTGTACAGACTGCGACATCAACCTAAAACAGAAGGGACATTTCTTTGTGGAGGACCAGATTTATTGTGAGAAGCACGCACGCGAGCGAGTGACTCCGCCTGAGGGCTACGACGTGGTCACTGTCTTCCCTAAGTAGAGCGCTCACTGAGCTCCGCCTCGGACTGCACGCCACAATGGGACACCACGACATAATCCAAGACATCGCAACATTTAGCTCGCTACTCCTAAGACTTTAAAATGGTCTTCTCTTGCATTATGCTTCAGGACAGTAAAGAACCACATCTTTGAAAGTGTTTATTTGCACATTAACTTTGGCTTCTACGAAAGGAAAAGTGATGAATACTCTTAAAATGACGGCATTCATTTTTTTCCCTCCATAAAATTCTGTTTCCATTGCATTGAATGATGGTCAGTTAGTTTAAGTAGTATTTGTCTTTGTATGTTGATTACGTTCTTTTGAATTATGGAAACAATGGTAAGCCGGACAACTTTTCCCTCCAAGGGACACGTTTTCTACAGTTTTATTAAATAAATAGACTTGCTTTTATGCAGCAAAACCACATTTGAATATCTCTACCAAATAAATGTTATCTTTGAACCAGTTCTGTTTTCCTAAATCATTGATTGTGCTTCATGGTCTTTCATCAAAACTGTTTAACATTGCTTTGCAAAAACAGAGTGAAACAGTAGTCATGAAATCATTTTCTAAAACAAAGAAGTTTCGAAAGTACCTCTTAAGCAGTCATTTTGAACAGATTCAGTTTTGTGACTCTGTTTAAGTGCTTCTAAAGAATATATTTACACTGAAGGCAGAAAATGCTGCTCTGCTCTGTATGGGCACGTGTGTTTCATGGCAAATTAGGATCCCAATCGATGACACCTGCTCTGACATCACTGATCACTGCGTCTGAAGGTGCAACATGACTAAAAGTTTTTCACCTCATAGAGAGCGGCAGCACTTTTGTGTTTTCTGTGAGTTATGGGCAGCCATTGCGAGTTCCTCACAAAAAGATGGAAGTCAAGAAAAGTCAACGGTGCCAAGTGTTTTTGAGATCACTTTCACCACAGAATGACTTGAAATAAATGGTAACGGGGATAACACTGGATTGGCCGCTTGATAAAATCTTACAGTTCATTTCATGAGCGCGTGTGTAACAGTTTCTTGGGTCAAAGTCAGCTGAGGTCATATAACCAGACTCTGCAGGTGATGCCGAGTCCCACTCCGCAGACAGAACACTCGCTGGGCTGCTGAGATCAGATCCCACAGGTACGTAATCCGGCGTGTGTCCGTGTTGGTCGGCCATGCGCAGAGTCTCGGTCAGAGCCCAGATGTAGTTGTGGGCAAAGCGCAGAGTTTCGATTTTTGTCAGCTTCGCGTCTTCGGGCAGTGCCGGCAGGATGCTCCTCAGCGCGTCCAGAGCGGAGTTCAGGTTGTGCATCCGGTGGCGCTCCCTGTCGTTTGCCTTCATCCTGCGCCTGCCCCGCTGTCCACACTTCTCACGTCTGGTTTTGTGTTTTAGATTTTCCATTGAGAAGGCTTCCCCTCTGATAATAGTCAGTGGTTTTCGAGGCAAATTTTCACCGGAGTCATCTGAAGTGTCTCCAGCTTCCTTCATTGGGCTGCGAACAGAAAACCGGCTGAGCGTCCCTGCCTCTCTGGATGTGTGCAGGTCATTGGGGGCGCACCGTAATTTAGGAGACATCCTGTGCAATTTAAGGTTAAATGTAATCAAAACTCTGATGCATAGCCACAAAAGCAAAAGAGCATGTATCACTGTTTTCCAAGACAAGGGAACAATGTTTTAAAGAGTCATCCTAAACGTCTGTCTTTTTTTTTTATAGAATGAGTTCACTTTTGTACATTCAGGTTTTTAATTCTTTAGAAGATTTAAGTGATAAAATGAGACAGAATAAGCTTTTAACTGAACCACTATCTGGAAACATCAAATAACATAAAAAAAATTTGAGATGGGTGAATATATTTGCACTTACTTGACAGGTGATGCTTGGATGAAGAGACAGCCAGTCGTCCTCGCAAATCCACTCTTGTAGCTGGAGGCGGCTGATACTATATGTGCAGCTGACAGTGAGGGATGGATGAGCATCTCTGTTATTTTTATATGGCCTTTATCTTATCTTTTTGCATGGTGGACTCCTGAATCAACAGCGCCTGTCAAGTGGCCAATCAGCTTCCAGGCAGCGCGTCCTTCACCCCCCACTCCGTCCCAACCCCCCTCCTCTCTCATTATCCGCAGTGCCCTATTTCTTTGTGTATTCTTTGTCATTTTTTTCAATCAGACACGTGTGTGGAAAAGTGCCATATATGTATGCCAGGTTAACAATGAAAAAACTGAGATCAAACTTGATATTTCCTGGAGAGCGAATATCAACCATCAACTCCCAAAAGTCTACCTGGAAGCAATATTATTAAAATCAGGGAGCTGCTGGTTCTGAGCCGATTCTTTGGGGGTAACTGTTCACACACTGTTCATTATGTAGTATTAACATCTTGTTTGTCATCCAGTAATTTCTGCATCTCACTGAGCCAACGCTAGACGTCTTCGTAGAAAACCCTACCGGGAGCTTTGCTTTGTCTTGGGTTTCAGTTTCTGATGCACAACTGTAGAGATTCTCACTCAGACTCCAAGCTGGACTGTATTTTGGACATTAAAATTGCAGCCGGAGTGCAGGAGCTGGAGTTTTCCGTGCATAAATGAAAAGGTGCTGTTGCTGACATAAACTAAAGAAATATATAATTATGTGATATAAATATGTATCTTCTTTTTACGCACATACATTCATCCACAACCAACCTCTAGAAGAATGATGTGGCACGGGAGTGTAGATGGTAAGTGTGAGTTTGCTATTGCAGACATTATCAAATCTCTATGGAGATTCTAGGATACTTCTAATGCCACATTTTACGCACTCAAAATATTGGCACATGCTATACATTGTGGTCATGGTAACATGGCGAACTGGCTTCTAAACTCAACTTCAAGTACACCACAGTAGTAAAAAACTGAGGTAAAAAAAACAGCATCTCCGCAATCATTTTCAAATAAGTTCTTTATTGCTAAGTATGCAGTTGCGTATTTGATTGTGCGCAAAGCCTGGTTAACTTGGCATAAAATTAAGCTGCTGCAAGTTGGCCCTTACTTGAGTGTTTCCAAACGTTATTTTAAAAAGTAACATATCTCCCTGTTTAGCTTAACCAATTCTGATCTATATTTAAAAAATGTCATTTTTAATGCCACATATATTTGGACAAACATTTACTTAATGCGTTAGAGCGCAAATCTCCGGTAAATTGACAAAGACAATTACGCATGGGGCCACCGAACAAAGAGTATTTGAGACGGTGAAACCTGTTGCGTGAACTGATAGTACAAAGGGTCTTCTTGTGTGTCAGAACAATAAAAGCTGGATTTCTTCTGTAATGTGAGCCTATAAGTGTGCGCTATGACATCTCCAAAAACATATCCACTATCGCCACAACTCAATGGCGCGTAACATTTTTATAATATATCTTTACTTTTAGAAGTTAAAGATTAGTCAAATATGTCAACAATATGCAGACACGTTTCAGCTCTGGCAAGGGGGAGAGGGGGAGTTTGGCAGAGCTCAAACATGATTTTCTATTGCCAACAAAGGATCACAAAAAGCTCCCCTTAACTTTCTGTCTAAATATGTGTTTTGGGAACAATCTGATAACCATATGCTTTCAATAAACTGGACAAATACACTAGTGAGATACGAGATGGTGCCTCGCTGTTATAAAAGGCACGAAAAGTCTAAAGTAAACTGCATATTACCACTTTACAAATAATCATTGATGCCAAATCCATATTTGGAAATTATGGACAGGTGTGGGTTTGAAGTTGTCAGTCTCTCTCCTTGATTTTTTATCAGTGTGCTGTAGTGTCCTGCTTGTTATGCAAAGTATAGGCAAACATAAGCGCCCAGTTGCTGTGGAAATAGCAGATATCGGAGCAGACTTGGTACGAAAAGTGATTTAACAATATTTAACAATAAACTGAGCAAGCTCCAGAGCAGGTGATACCTGCCTGATGCTCCTGATTAATACTTCCTGTACTACTTCACTTTACGGTCTCTTATGCTTATTTATAAAACTGAATCTATTGATTATTATTTTAGCAAACAGAGGTACCAGGTGGGGCTTTATTTCGTGTGCAGCTTTTTGTTTGAAGGACGTTTTGAGGGAGGCAATCAAAGTCCAACAACTCGCTGACCAGATTGTTGTCATCCCAAACTAGCAGCGAAGCCATTCAATGTGCCCCCCCTCCTCTTCTTCTGTCTGGCAAAGAGCTGCCGGGAGAGAAAAAAAGAAAAAGGAAACTTCTTCAAGAAAGGAAAACATCTTACAAACATTTAATTGCAACACAGATGCCATATGTACACCTCTTGTGAACCCCCTCAACAATGTGACTGGCTTTTAAAAAGTATGGAGTGCGCCTTTGGAGACGTATGCGCTTTTGGAGAGGTGCGCGCGTCGTGACCAGAATGACCCTGAACACACTTTACACAAGAAGTAATTCACTTTTAATGTGCTTTGGAGTTTCCTTTCACAAGCAATGCTTTGTACCTCTCACCTCATCTTTTGAAGACAGTGTACACCAATTACGGTGGAATAGCTGCCCTATGGAGACAGTTTGTCTTTCTGTAAAGATAGACATTTTGTGCACGAATAGGGCTGTGGCTGCAAGTTGCATCCTTTCTCCCCTTAACCCAATAATGAATGATTTTTTTCTTTCTTCTGATAGGTTGTTTATAATGCCACACCTTGTGTTCATTAGTGGCTTTTTGTGAATTTAAAGAATAGACGTGGGTTAAATCATCAGAAGAAATGTAACATTAAGGCTGTGTCTGTTTATAAATGTATCATTTAGCCATTTAAGATTTGCATATTGACTTTTCTATAATAAAAAAAGATCAAATGATAGGTCTTTCTTGTAGGGCTTTTCTTTTGAAAGTAGTAAAATCCAGTAATTCTGTGATAACTGTGGCCCTATCCGAAGGAATATTTGTTATACATTAAATATCTTATTTCATATTTTAGTATTCTGCAATGCCATCGAGTCATAAATAAATATTAGTTCAACTGACTGGTAAGGATACTTTATCGGGTCCCTTTAAATGGTGGACCTAGCCATTTTCTCTCTTAGATCACAATTAAAAGTGAAATTAACAGAATTAATTGTTCGAGAAAGGCAGCCCACTCTGCAGTGTGATAGCAATTGCATCACAAACAATTACAATAACCCCTAAATGTACATCTTTAAAGAGAATTAAAAATGTATCTACTAAAGTCTTTCATTTTTTCAAATATGCAAAAGGCGCTCAGTGGTTCAGTGACGAAAACATTAAGTTCAAACCGTGCAGGGCAATTTAACCACTGTGGATTTCAAACTACACAACACACCTGTTTGTATATGGGATAATAATGTGCAGCATGCCACGTAGCCAGCCAACCTGCGCACCACTTTTTGCACAGTTATTGTTTCAAACATGTTGGTGCATCCGTATTACATCAAAAATCGTTATTTGAGTAAAACAAAAGTTCCTTAGTTTTTCTTTGTATATTGCCATATTACCAGTCCAGCTGCAGCATTAATATTTTTTTTAAATTAAAATAAAAGCATAAAATAAAATAAAACATTCCCCATCAAAAGAACAGAACCTATCTCATGTAGAAATGAGGTTTGTATCTGCAGCATGTGTCTCCGTCACATTGTTGTTGGATGTATAATTGCAGTGCCAGTGCTTGGCTGCTCTGAGGCGCTGTTTGCCCTCCTAAACAAGATCGTCTGACACATATCTGCTGTCACTGCAACATTAACCTCCAAACTGCCTGTTACAGTCTGGACTCCTCAAGGTTCAATTAGGGCAGAAGAAGTTACTCAAAAAGCTTCATTTTAATTTTGGCCTTAATGTCAGTTCATGTCATGACAGCCCCCAGCCCTTGTACAAAAAGAGTATTTGCAGTTTTCACTCACTTAAAAGAAAACATTTCAGATCGTTACAAAAGCAACATTCAATGATGCCTTCATGTAATGTCGAAAATATGGAAACTACAGGTAGAATAAAGGTGGACAAACCAACACAGTTGCAAATATTAGTGTACTATTTTCAAAATGCAGGACTTCATAAATAGCCTACACGTCTGTCAGTTCAGTCGTCGCGTTTTGTTTTTACGCAACATCCTTGGTTTCAACATCAATTTCACACTCATAAGCATTTTCTTGTCATAAACAGCTCAATACCACGCAATTCACCAAAATAGCCTAATAGTTTCACCAACATATTAATTGTTATAATACAGATAAAGATTAAAGTAATTATTACTTCCCCACCAGAGCTGACTTTGTGGAATTGTCCAGAGTCGTCCATTAAAACCACGAATTTCCAAACGTGTACGTTTGTTATATTTTTCAGGTAAATGTCAAATGTTTACTTTATGGGTTGACAAATTTGTTCTACATGCTGGGAAAAAACAAACCATTTAAAACCTTTGGATTATAAGAAGAAAGCATTGTAACAAAGATGGAAATTGGTCTCTTTGCATAGCTCATCACAAGCGGGATATTTTGAATAGTGGGCCGGGGGGGGGGCTCGACTCGTGACTGTTAGTTATGCTGTAATTGTAGTTACGCGACTAGGGCTTGAAGTTTCCGAAGAGCATAAAAACGGAGCACCAGCTCCTCGCTCGCTGTTGGGTGTCAAAGCTTGCGACGCTCCTCGCTCCTAAAAAAATGAGATCAACAAAGCAGGCGGCGCCACGCGGACAGCAGGCCGGCGTGTAATTAGACCCAGCCACGGCTTTGTCAGATCTGCTAGGACCGCGCGCTGCTACGTCAGACCGCTGCTCACTTCCTGGATCAGGGTTAGCTTGTTACTGCTGCGTTTGATAGTAGCATGTAGATGAGAGCCCGAAGACCCAAAGCAGGCTGCTGGAGGTGACTTTCCTGAGTAGCAGACCAAAAAAAGAGGCCTTTCGGTGAGACTTTGCCTCGACAACATGGATTACTGGGTAGGTGTGACTTCACTTTACACAGTTGTTTTTCCACATAACATTATGATACACAGGACGATGGCAGTGCTGCTGTAAAGAGGCGAAGGCTTGTTTATCAATAGTACAGTGAGCTGTTGACCCGACTTGTTTCGGTCTCAGTGATGCTTAAAGTCCACAAACTGTGTTTTAAAGCGAGCATTGTTACCAAAACCTTAACACATTACTGATGAATGGCTATTTTTGACTTAACCCACGTTGATGCATTGGCCCCTGAATTGGGGCTCTTTACATGAGATGAGCCACAGTATGTTTTCATAATAAAATTAGGACATAGATTCATTTTAAGCTTCTCTAAAGTCGCAATCTGAATTCCTTTTTTGATGAGGCGCCTGGTAATAAGATTTAAGGCTCCCTCCTATTGTTTATTGTAGCAGTGTTTAAAACTGGAGTTCCTGTTCAGCTTAAACCTGCAGGAAGTTTTAACAAAGCATCCCTCTTGGTGCTGACACCAGAGAGCTGTAGAGATTTTTGGTATTTTCCTTAAAGGAGCAGAATCACTTATTGTTTTTTGTTGACAGCAGACATTAGACAGAGGACTCAGCACTACAGGGCGGCTCGTCTGACACATATCTGCTGTCACTGCAAAATTAACCTCCAAACTGTCTGTCACAGTCTGGACTCCTCCAGGTTCATTCAAGTAACTCAGAAGGCTTCATTTTGATTTTGGCCTTAATGTCAGTTCATGTCATGACAGCCCCCAGGCTTTGTAGCCAGTTAAAGGAAACTTTCCAGACACCACAGCTGTAATTACCCCCCCCCCCCCCCCCGAATAATTTCTGGATTTCTCTTTGACTAAAAGCCATGCTGATCTGTTTTCCCTTGATGTATCCAGGAGCAGCCACCTCACACCCAGTACATTTCCATGAGAACATGACCTCCCCTCTGAGACAACAAAAGCTCTCCTTACAGAATACTCAAATGTTGTACGAGGGGGAGCAAAGGAATGGGCGTCCACTGCTCAACAATGAGTTTGACAATACTGGTACAAGAGTCTTTGTGTGAAGTTTTCCTGAGGCAAAGATAGCACTGAATAGCTTGGAGAAGTGTGGGTGGACCTGCAGACGAAACATAGAAAGATAATGTGTTGGATAACAGAAAGAAGGCCTGGATCTTAAGGGCCAGCCTTGCCTTTTGCACTGATGTTAGATAACACCACTTAATCTTTATGGCCGATGCGTGGCAGAGATCACTGATGGGCTTTTGCGCCTGCGCTCTGCCTTTTACATACAAACATTATTCCTATCATGAAAACTCAAGGCAGGCCTTTCAATCAACACATTACAGGCTAATCTTCCATTTCTTCCCACTCGGGTCCGTGCAGCTGATCTTGCCAAACCTGTAGGAGAAGATGTTATCCTAACAGGCAGGTATGGCAGCTGCAGTCTGGGCAGGGGGGGGCGGACTCCAGAGGCATCATGAGACTCATGAATTTTCACCGTAAGTGGAGGATGCTTTGAAACAATACGTCACATACTCTCAGGGGGGCAACGACTGAAAAACATGCTGAATGCATTATGAAGGCAGTGTTACACAAGGGAACTTGCCGCATTATACTATTATGGGATGTTTATTTCAGGCAGCGCAGACTGGGGTTACTTCAGATATTGTCTTTTGAACCTTAGGCTTTTCTCCATCTGATTGTGGCTGAGGTGGAGAAACAAGCGTCCTCGCTATCAGACCACTGTGTCATAAAGACACAGCCGGGGAGAGATAATGGAAAGATAATTTTGCTGCGCTTATGAAACGGTCTGCGAGTCATTTACTCAGTTGGATCTGCTCAGGCAGTCAAAAAAACACTGTATTCGGATTCAGAACAAATATTTCAGCACTAAGTGGTGATCAGGCTGGGAACCAAATGTGCAATATCTTTTATACTTCTGCCTATTTTGAGGGGAACTTGCTGTTTTGTCTGATCATGATTGGTCCCCTCTCCGCTGGCTGCATGTGTAGTTGCCGGTTTGGGTGCTGGGAGGAGTCTGGTGATAGTTGGCTAATTAGCGTGATCTCACTCTCACCTGGGGAAGAAAGAGACTCCTGACAGTATTAGTGTGACTCTGACAATGTCTTCTAATGTGAGTACTCAGTTTGTGATATTGGGCTATATGTAAATATAACTGACAACTAACTGGCATTTATAGACATATTAACAGTTAATCATAGCAGGTTTTTAGTCATTTAAAAAAAAAAGATAACCAGATAACTAATCCATTTATTAAGAAAACAATTGTTAGGTTCTGGCGCTGATACGTTTGTTTTGAAAAATCTGTTACTTGCCTTTTTAAAGTAACTGCTTACAAAGTTACTCTTTCTTAAAATTGAGTTGTTGAGTTATGTTTTGTCGGTCACTGTTTGGAAATTCAACGCTATTCTTTCTTTGGTCTTCAAGGATTTAATCAGGCAAACAAAGATATGCATATGTGCGGAATGCGGGTAATCATGCCTCTCGTCTCAAGAATTGTCTCTGCTGTGACAGTTAACTCTCAGCGCAACATTAACACATTGTAATATGTGTAGCACATGTCTCTGTGTCCAGAGTGCCTTGGAGGTGTACAAGGAGATGGTCCTGCTGTACGTGGAGGAGGGCCGGCGGCAGGTCAACTTGCACTGCGCGGACTTGGAGCCATGGCAGATCATCGGCGCGACAGTCTTCGCCACGCTGGCAGTGGTCTGGATTAAAGGCTTCCTCTTCCAGCAAGAAAGTAATCTTACACACGATACATGGGTGCAAAGCAGGGCTGCTGGGGGACTAAACCAGAGATGATAACACCTGAAATCCTCATGTGCTTCGCTCCTGGGCCAGTTTAGTGGCCAGAGTTTGAGTCGTATTCTTTGAGCTGCTGACCTCAGGTGTAACCTCTGCTAATCGTGTGGTGTGAGCAAATAAGTGAATAGCTTTTTAATGAAAAGGTTTTACTGGTACTCTGCGGTTAGTATCCTCTAGCGTAGTACTTATTTGTTTGACAAAGAAATTAACAAGACTTTCTAGATCAGCTGTCAATCAATCAGTGGTTGAATTCCTCAGCAACAAGATCAGCTCTACCCGCCTTAGTGCAGCTCCTAGAGAGGGAAGTCTTTTAGAAAACTAGCTAAATGTCTTCAGACCTTTCAGGGTCAGAACAAAATGCTTTGCCAGTATGGTTCCATTTTTCGTAGGCCACGTCTTGTCTTGGCATGTGATTATAGGTCATAGTCAGCTGTTTAATGTTTGTGGTTGAACGTGTGCCAGCCTTTAACCACAGCTGCTGCCCTGTCTTTTTGCCTAATAGGTCTCACATCCCGAATCAAGAAGTCATGCTTTCGGCTCATCAGGAAAATACCCTTTGTTGGCGTGGCAGTAAGTATCAGTGGTGAATCTGTTCCTTCTTCTCCCAGCAGATGTGCAGTGACTCTCATCTGAGGCTTTTATGAGTCACTCTTAGATGACTGAGTACAGCGTGCGGGGGGGAAGACCTTTGGCACATTTAACATCATGCACTGGTGATAACATTCGGTTACTTCTGGTCATTATGTCACCAACGGAGCATTCATTTTCAGGCTCAAATTTTTGCATAAAGGGTTGACCTGATGGCACAGTGGACATGTCATGTTCAGTCTGAAACACAGTTACTTGACCTTCGCTCATTTCACGGAATATCATGCTTTACTGTAGTTTTTACTGCATCCAGAGAGAGCTTATGCTTGTAAAGTAACTTTGTCCTCTCTTTTTGACAGATTCAGAGCCAGCTCAACAAGGCTTTGGATGACATGTCTGCTAGTCTGTGTACCCTGAAGGAGGGGATGAGCTACACTAAACAGCTGCCTTCTAAAGGTCTCTCTCAGAGCCAAGTGCTGGACAAAATCAGAGAGTACGAGACTCTGAGTAAGTCGTCGTTTATTCCTGAGCTGCATGGCTCATTATCTGTACAGCCGACTTCCTGGAGAGCATTTCTACTCATTCATTACATGATTTATTCATATTGAAAAGAAATTTCTTTGGGAAAACCAGTGATTTCTGAGGACACACTGTGTCGTTGCAGATGACGTGAAGTGGGAGAAAGGATGTGTTTCGGGTGCAGTGTACTGGGGTGATGAGTCACTGACCAACCTCCTGGTGAAGGTATGTGTCTTTGTATACATCTCTGGACTTCCGAGCACGAACAGTCAAAGTTGAACTTGAATACATTTCAGTGTTCTTTTTGTCCCTCTTGTTTGCTTTTGTTCCTAGGTTTATGGAGACTTTGCATGGAGCAACCCACTGCACCCAGACATATTTCCTGGCGTAAGAAAGATGGAGGCAGAGGTTGTTAGAATGGCTTGCACACTTTTCCATGGTGGACCTAACTCCTGTGGCACAGTACGTTATCAGAAACATATGCTCACACATTGTATAAGCAATAAGAATGGATGGAGGCAAATCACGTATTGATTTCATTTAAATAACTCTTTGCCTTTTTTGTCCAGGTTACTTCTGGGGGAACTGAGAGCATATTGATGGCCTGCAAGGCATACAGAGACATGGCGTATGAACGTGGTGTTAAACACCCTGAAATGTAAGAGGTTGATGAGTAACGTCAATTTTTCTTGTTCTAAGTCGTTTTTCACACAGAAAAGCGCGGTAGCTCTTTAATCCTGAGAAGCTGCAAATCTGGAGTCTCACTGTGACTTACACTGTACATTTAATTATTATTGTTATTGTTGACCCTTTTCTCTCTGCTCTGCTTGCCTGCCATTCACCGGTCTTGTGCAGAGCTGGGCCTGCCGACAATTGCATGCACGTCGCAGTTCCTCACAGTTCTATTCCCAGTACTGTTAAAAAACAATAAAATACTCTTTTTGTGGTTCATCAACGGTGATAAATGAGATTTGAACGTCCGGCGAGGTGCACACACAACTCTGCACAACACTGGGCAGCTGCGGCTCTGTCTCTCTTCTTCTTATATTGTAGTATGCTAAAACAAAATTACAGGATAATTATAGATTTACACACTCGCATTTAGAAGAATGGCTTTCATAGAATACTAAATATTGCTTTATCTTGTAAAAGGTTTTACTCATGTTTTTCAAACAATATGAAATTTCCTCTAGTGGTATAGAATTATTACTGCAATCCGCACTCCAGCTGATTCAGGTACTTTTGATTTCCATTTACCTGTGCTACAGATTTGTTTTGGCTATAGGCTAATTAAGATGTCTTAGAATTAGACAAACGTTTAAATTGGTGAAGTTAACCAAAAGACAAATTCCAGGGTCCACTGGGAAATGAATCCCATGGATGTTATGTTTTGCGAAGTCCTTTAAGTTTTAATGCCCAAATAAAAATGAATCTCATTGTAAACACGTTTTCTTTCTCAGAACACGAAACGTCTTTGTCGCAGTAATATCTCACCTTTTTTCTTAGACTTCTCCCATACATACTGAATCATGAAACTTGTCAACCTTGAATAACATTATATGGCAGCACTGTGCTTAAGTTTGACCATGCCAATACTTTTGAATTTCAGTACAAGACATGGGACAATTTTTTAGGTCTTGTTCTTGACTGTGTGTTCTACTGAAGCGCTAACATGACTTTTGTGCTCTTCCACTTTTGGTGCAGTCTTGCACCTGTGAGCGTCCACGCAGCCTTTGACAAAGCGGCACATTACTTTGGGATGAAGCTTGTTCACATTCCCCTTGACAAGAAAACTATGAAAGTAGACGTGAAGGTGAGGATCCACTTATGCGCACACAGGATGTGCTAATTGACTGCTATTCTCAGACATGAGTTATTCTCATGTTGTTATTCTCTTTTAAGGCTATGAAAAGAGCCATCAGCAAGAACACCGCCATGCTTGTGGGCTCAGCGCCTCAGTTTCCTCATGGAATCATGGATCCCATTGAGGAATTGGCCAAGGTCAGAAGTGGAAAAAAATGTCCACAAAATAGGTTCTGAGATGAAAACGGGGAAGTCAGATCTCTGACACTTTCCTTCGGTGTGTTCCAGCTTGCTGTACGCTACAACCTCCCGCTGCATGTGGACGCCTGCCTGGGAGGTTTTCTCATTGTGTTCATGGCCAAGGCTGGTTACCAACTCGCCCCGTTTGACTTCAGGTTAAAAGGTGTTACCAGCATCTCTGCAGACACCCACAAGGTAAGGAGTGGCTGATTAGTCCCTTCAGATCAGTGCTTCTTTTCCTATTTTGTTCTTCTCATAACTTAAACAAGGTTTATAAAAAAGATAATAGACTTAGACTCAGTATTATGTTTAATGCAATAGTCATGGAATTGAAAGACCAATAGTGTGTGTGTGTGTGCGCACTTATGTTACTGCATTCCTCTCCAGTATGGTTACGCGCCCAAAGGTTCCTCAGTGATCCTCTACAGTGATAAAAAGTACCGTCACTACCAGTACTTTGTAGCTCCAGACTGGCAGGGGGGGATCTACGCCTCGCCCTCTGTTGCAGGCTCCAGGCCTGGAGGAATCATCGCCGCCTGCTGGGCGACCATGATGCACATGGGAGAGAATGGATATGTAGATGCCACCAAGAAGATCATAAGCACAGCACGCAAAATCAAAACAGAGTAAGACACAAATACAAAACAACACCAGAGCTCTTTAACTACATCTCTTATCCTCCCAACATTGTTAACAATTTTGGTTGTTTTTTTATTGACAGAGTCAGCAAGATAAATGGTGTGTTTGTGTTCGGGAATCCAGAGGTGTCAGTGGTGGCAATAGGCTCAGATGTCTTTGATATTTTCCGTCTGTCTAATGCGCTGACGTCAAAGGGCTGGAACCTAAACTCACTGCAGTACCCATCCAGGTACATATTTAAAAATAATATTATAATTTAAAAAACAAAAGTACTATTATGACAAACGGTCAGGAAGAATGTAACAACTATATGATCTTCTCTTTCACAGCATCCACATTTGTTGCACAGTTTTGCACACACAGTCAGGCGTCGCTGACAAGTTTATCCGTGATATCAAAGAGCAGGTTGCCATCATTATGAAGAACCCCAAAGAGAAAACCACAGGAATGGTGAGCTAGCTCTGCTTACTCACTTTGCATTCATACACTGAATATATAGTACAATGTTTAATTGGTACATTTTATATATACGTAGTCTCTAAAAGAGCGGTTATGTGTACATTTCATATTGTGGTGAGTGAATTTTATCATCCCCAAAAAAATAAGGATATAGAAGACACGGTAGCACTAAACAAGTTGGCTTTTTAAGTTCTGTAACAGAAAAAGTAAGTTTTAGGGGGGGTGGCAAAGGCACAATGGATAAGACATGCGTTTTGTGTGTGGGTTCAATTCCCACTGCAACACTTTGTCCCTGAGCAAGACACATAACCCCTAGTTGCTCCAGAGGCGTGCGACCTCTGACATATATAGCAATTGTAAGGTGTTTCAGATAAAAATGTAAATTTAAAAGTGCTCGGTTAATTTATTAGTACAGAATTTTGTAGATTAATAGAACCAACGCATCCTTAGGAGAATCTTAACTTGTGTAACACCCTACCGGTACTTTAAAGAGAAGTCCGCGCTTATAGAATAACATTTAAAAAAAAAAAAAAAAAAAAAAGGTGCAATGGAGTATGATGGCATAAGATAAGTGTTGTCTAAAGAAATAATTGAAGATGACCCAGTTCTCAGAATCAATAACTCTACATTTTGCTTGTATGTTTCACAATCACCCAACGTGACTTGTTAGGTTTTGCTGTAACATGTTGCCAGTCTATCCCAGGGCTACCACACACTGACAAATACAAACCTATGATTTTCAATTTACGGTACAGTTTTCAATTCAGCTGACCTACAAGTCTTTGGACTGTAGGAGGAAACCAGAGAACCCAAAAGAAAAGAATATTCCACCCTGTTAGTGTGTATTCAACCTTCACATCTATCATTAAGGCCAAACTTTAGTTTCTTCTTTGAATAGCTTGCATGTTGAGCCATGTGAGAGATTTGTATTAGGGCATGATAAACTAGTGCAGGTGCTGTATCAGACTTTGAAAACCCCTGGGCTTACACAATTGCACTTAACCTATGGTGGATGTGTCCAGCTCAGAGAAATGAATGTTAAAAGTCACGCTGGGAGATGTAGAAGAACAAAAGTGTTAGTTGTTGAGGCAGGTTTATAAGTGGTTACACCAAGAAAAGTAATCCTCAAATATTTCCTCAAATGCTCTGAACAGTCACAACAGACTATCTATTCTAATCTATTAGTGTAAAAGGATATGAGTGTGTGTTTTTGCACGTGAACTCACTTCACTTTCTGCTGTTTCAGGGCGCGATCTACGGTATGGCCCAGTCAATCCCAGACAGATCCATGGTGACTGAGGTCTCCAGAGGTTTCCTGGACTGTCTCTACAGCACCGAGGTATTCCAATCAAACACCAGCCACATGAACGGCAAAGCCCACTGAAGTGGGATTGGGCCCATCCTGACCTGAAGCCACCGCACGCAGGGAAACACGCTCGCCTCCTCCCAGAGCTCTGTGTTAATCGCTCAACGGTTGCCTTATCTTGCATACCTACGCTGTACGGAAAGTATCTGCAAAGATTTCTGAAGCACAAGCCATCGTCATGTCATCAGCCCAGAAAGAAATCGCTTGCAACACTGTGCCGAAGTGGCACAGATTTGATTTAATTAATGTAGTGCAAGTTTGTCTAATTTTGTTTGTTTTAAAAGTTCATTTAAATTTTAGCTTTCATTAAATGCATATGTTTGTCATAATCTCCACTGATTGCATAGCAAAACCTGTTTTTTGTATTGTTTTTTTTATGCCGGAACATTTCAGCTTCTGCCATCACTTCTTCACTATCTGTGACTCGGCAAAAGCACGCACCACTGAAAGCTTGTTAAAAGTGCTGTGCCGCCCTCTAGCATGAAACCTGATGTACTGCTCTTGACTGGCCCTATCATGTGGAGGCCTGTGGAAGGTGTACATTATCATTATCATGTAATAGTTCTCTGGAAACAGCATTTTTAATGTAAAAGCACTGCAATGCCCTGACAAGAACATATCAGGTTATCTGTTAATCACTTGAAACTACAATTCTGATGTTGTGGTAGAAGTTTGTCTGTAAGCATGAACATGCATGTTCTTGTTTGTTAGCACTTAGAATGACATTCATCTTGTTTTACGTCTGCATTTGGGATTCATCTTTTGTAGATGGAGGGAGAATGATTTGGACAGTGGGAGCTTTTAAGGTCATTAATATTCAATAAAATTGTCTTTAAATTGAATTTAGAGAGAAGTTGTAACCAGGGCATGAACATTTTAAGCACCTTGTGGAATCCACGTCCGATTAGACACTTTTTTTTATTTTTTGGTTATGTTTTTCAGAATTGGAACCTTACACATAGCAGCTGTCTTGTAAAGTAATGCAATCAAATGTGACATATTTTAACAGACTGGACTGAAGGCTGTTTTCCAACCCCGGTCTACTGTATATTATCGAAAAGCAGAAACTCAATATTTCCTCTATAGAGTTTGCGTAGAGTCCCCTGTCTACCACCTTGTTTTAATAATTTGTCTCCTAATTCAATCTACCTCAGTTTCTCCTCAATGCAAATGTCATTATTCATATTCACATTCTAACAGGGCAACATAACAAACTTCACAATGTTAGGCTATTTGACAAACTGTAATAAAGTGTTCTTAGACATACGGATACTGAATGGAAGCAGATCCACTGTGATGGAGGTTTTTGATGCAGATTTAATAGTTTTATCTTGGGAGAATCCCACTCTGCTCTGTCCGAATGTGGATATATTTAGGTGAATATCCATTCAGCAGAATATGTACACATTTACTAACAGGTCGACAACTTAACGGTGCATAATGTAACACCAAAAGGACCTTGTGTTGCTCTCTTTCTTTTATGTGCTGTGTGTCTATTACTGCTTGTTGAAATTGTGCATTTCCATGAAATAATTTCCATGTTTGTGCAATACATAACTTTTTTTTTTTCGTGAAGTGACACGAGGACAAATGCTCTATCGATGTGTAAGAGATCAGTCATTAGAAGCATAGTTTTGAATGACTTAGTTTTGTTAGTGTAATTTAACCATTTGTGTGACCACTGGGTGTTTATTAATCACTTAATTTGTGAGTAATTTTTTTGTGAGCGTTTGTGCTTTCAACAGTTGTGTTTTTACATACTGAACAGTTTTGAAGAGATTAGACATGAATGTGTATTGGTTCTTACATGGACTGGGATTTTTTCATCTAGTCAGTGCCTGGTTAAAAGACTGACAGACCCCCCCCCCCCCCCCCCACACACACACACACACACACACTGATTGAAGCTCATACCACCATGTATCCATCCATCCATCCATCCATCCTTAAATACTGTGTGCCCAGTGACGGGGTGTGGAAACTTGCGCTAACCCAAAGACTTTTCCATCAATGTCTCATCCTGTTTGTTTTGGAGAAATAACTGTAAAAATTGTGACGATTGAATGGTCAAGAAATCTCTTTTGAAATAAAACATTTTAATGCAAAAGTGCCTACACACTGCAACAAATTATTTAGAGATCTATAGAGAAAATCTAAGTTGTGTCCTGGTTTGTATCGTTCCAGTTTGGGGGGGGGTATTGTGTAGTACCAATCAGCGTTCACCTCTGTACCTTTAGAGGTTTAAACTCATGATGACACAGCAGATTTTTTTCTCCAAAATTGTCAGTAAAATATAGTGCAAAAAATACAACCTTATATCATTTTGTCGAGAACACAGTTTGGTGTTTTAAGAGCACTAGATTGCATTATATTGTAAGGACGTTCTGACTTTTGGCCACCCCTGTACACTTTGTCATCATGTGAGGGTCTGAATGTCCAAGGTTGAACAATTGTTAAATCTCTGTACATGTCAGAGTGCATCCTGATTTAGCAGATTTATTTTAGGTTAGGAAGCACCTGCTAGTTTCTCCTAGCACATAGCAAACACTGTTAACCCACTCAGAGCAGTTCACACAGGTACACCAAAGCAGATGGTCTACAGTGTTGTGTTTTCAATATTTTTATGTTCACAATGAGATGATCCTCTTCTGGTTTGACCGGGTAAATATTATTTAACAGTGAAGTACAAAAACATTTGGCACATAGGACACTAGTTGAGGCAGAAAGACACCATTGAATACCATTGTGAATGTTATCTGTAATAACAGCTGGGATGGTTGCTGAGAAGTTATTTTAATGTGTTGATTTTACCATTTACCTTTGGCTAATCTCAATTATTTTTATTTTAAGTGCAAAACCAACAACAGCAGCATATTTTTAAAAACACCTACATCAAAGTTATTCATAATACATTGAAATTAACTGGTTTGTATTCTTTGGATTTGCAGGCCACGTGCTCAAAGTTATCTCAGTGGAATGAATAAATGAAGAGCTCCAGCACTTTTCAGTTTTCACTGTTGAAATGACTGACAATGTTTGGTAGTCACATAAGGGATGCCTGGTCAATGAAGGTGGCCAAAGTAATGTCACGCTGGGACAGCCCCCCGCAGTCATGTGTGCTGAGAGTGATCTGGACCTAGGGGAACAAAGGGATACGGTGCAGAGAAGGAAAAACTGTGAGTATGACACTATTCATGTGACTAGAACAGGCTCGTTTTTTTTCCTAAAGTATATCTGAGTGTGTTTGCTATAGCCTAACATGGTGCTTCAGTGTATATCAGAAAGTGTCCAGTCAGCCAAGTCAGATCCATGCCTCCATCGGGAACAAATAGAAGTTAAACTCATAAAAGCAGTGTCAGATGAGGGAAGGCATTAAGTGTGTCATTTGAAGTGTAGTTGAAATTTCAATTCAAGTTTAACAGTGAAGTCAGTTAAAGTAAATTCAATGGCGAAGGCAGTGTCAATCCAGCACAATTTGCAATAATGTTATCATTTTAAAATTTATATAAACAACATAAATGAAAACATTTTTGTGTTCAAATTTAAAAATTGAATTACATGCCTAGCTTATGAAGAGGCTAGGGCATGGCGTCGACATTTTTAACAAGGGCCTCCCATACAAAAAAGATTTTATATTTTTAAAACTATTTTATATTTGAAAAAATATTTTAAGCCAGCATTAATTGACTTTTTGGCCACTTTCAGCAGCAGTTACTGTGCAGACACAGAGTTTATGTTAGTAGTTGTGTTTCTGGCCATTTGGTGAATGTAATCTTTTTTTTTTAAAAGCTCTGTTTCAGTCTGGCTCTATAGCTGCTAAATGCTCTGCTACGTTCACCAGCTAGTTAACTATGTCTGTCTGTTTGGTGTTGAACAGGGAGCGTACAGTGAGTTTACCAGAGCTTTAGGCGTAAAACAACTGCCTGCTGCGTTTGGAAGCGATGGTGGTAAGAGCAGTAAAAGTTAGCCAAAACAGTTAAGTGGCAGGCCATAGGATCAAAACAATAAGCTGAAAGACGCTAGCACACTCCGTGGAGCTCTTTCACAATAACTTTAAAAAGCTTTAAAGAGTCAAATTGAAGCTTTGCTTATACACCTATGTGAGCTTGTAAGTTTTGTGGCAGCAGAAAGTCGTGTTGAATCAGCCGACTTCAGTTATTAGGACAGTGCTTTGTTAAGGGAGTGTCTTTATCATGATATTACATTAAAAGATACATTTAGATTATGTTATTTAAAAGACTAATGAATTTGTAGATCTAGTACATGGTCACAATACTGGGCTGGTCTTTAGCGAGGAAAGCCACTCGGGACCAAGTCCAACCCCCCTAATGGTTGTAATCTCCTTTGCGTGAGTCTTTATTAGTCTTTTATACCTTGTTATAGACATTGAACCACTCCGGATGATGGTCCATCTTCTCTGCTTGTAAAGCCACTCTGGCCATGAAACCAAAAGCCTGAAAGGAAAAAACATCATATTCTGTTAAGTGTGTATAAAGATAACGTACAGTCGTTGCTGGTTTTGCAGGTTGATATGATATATTAGGAACCTGATTGAAGTCTTTAAAAATAAACTCTTTGTAAATGGCGTCCCGTTCCCCAACCTCCACCCACTGAGCGTTGCGTAGCAGGGGGAGTAGGTGGGTCCTCTCCTCCTCAGACAGACTCTGAATTTTACCAGCCTGGTAGAAAAGAGCAGAGGTAACAGTACAGCAGATCTGAGAGGGGCAGTTTCACAAACACAAACTGTGATTGGTTGCATAGGATCCCATCTGGAAACAATCAGACTGAATTCCTGGTTTAAAAAAACTAGCTGGTTCAAAGGTATGTAGTGGGTGGTGCGAGGGGGTGGGGCTTCCTTTTGGTCACTCAGTTCCTAATTGTGACACATGATGCAGGGTCACATGGATTTAAAGTTAGTAATGCGCATTTTGTTGAGCCTGCATGAGCCTCACTATCTAAAATCTAAATTGCACTGGCAACACTTTGCAACATTCCCCAAATAGATGTGATTTTATTGCACAGCCGAGAGCAGGCTTTGTCTCCACATGAGTGGTCATGCTTATAAACCAAAAGAGCAAACATGTCACAACCACAGCCTGAAACTGACCAGTGACATCAACAGGTATCATAGCAACACTCTAATCTGCTCTATCAGTGGAGCGAACGGGAAGCACCCAGACAATACCCACTGGCTTAAACCTCGCCTATTCATCACACACAGTGGAAAAAGTGATTGTATCTGTCTAATCCTGGCCAAATCATGCTGCCACAGATGAAACTCTGTATTGAATGTATCTATCTGAACATCCACGTTTGTCAGCCTGCTTTAAAACATTATCTAGCAGAGTTTTACACTATGAGAGTGACTAAATGGCAACAGGTGTGTGAGGCTGTAAGCAGCCCTGTGTAGCAGCCTGGACACACAGTATAGAGAGGTTGTGTACTCACCATGTTTGCAGAGTGTTTTCATGCACAGAGGAGGGTCCCTGTTGCACAGAGGCTAATCTGCTATGGCAGCCAGTGAGAGCAACTGGAATGAATCCATCCAACACATGAGCCGTGGGTCCTGCTTAGCTGCCCCCAGAGAAGCCTGAGCAAAATTCCCCACTGCTGATAGGTTACTCTGTTGTTATATCTGTTGCACAAGGCATGGGTGAGGCCAGCTTTTGTGATTCGACACCAAGGCCAGTGCAGCAGTGTTTGCTGTGTGATGAAAGGATGAAGATACTCTTATACACTCTTTAATCTATTTTATATGGTATACGCACACACAACTTAAGCTTTAGAATCATTTTTCACCATCAGTGATGTCTCAGTTCACCAGGACAGCAGATTTAAAGCAAGCTCTGCTCTTCAGCTGATGGAGTTCATGTCAAAGGTTAATGAGCTGCTCCTGTGAGATTGCCCCGGTGAACTCATCTGTCACAGTGAGCGCTCAGGGAAATTAACTGGTTAATGAAATGAGGAGAGGGAGAGTTGTGACAAGTGATCAGCATTTAACGGTTGGCTGGATGGGGAAATGGGAATGTTATGTGAATGAGTGTTTTGGTTAGAAAGGAAGGCAAGTCATTAGATTGGAGTCAAATGGTTATATATATTAGTTATGTTGCTTATCTGTCTGGCTTCCACATTAATACACATGCTCACTCAAATAAGCGTTTTAAACTTGTAAAGTGTCTGTTTTCATCATTCATTCTTATTTTATCTGTTATCTGTACCACATACATATTGTGGACTAAAAGTCCTTCGAAAATGTGCATCACAAACCAGATAAAAGGAACCACCAACCACGCATGCATGCTGCCCTTTGACCGCTTTTTATGTTGGCCCGAGTGTTATAAAAATGGGTATTGTAAGTGGCTGTTTTCAAACAGCAACATGGAGCCCAGGAAACTGCTACAAGCCAGTCTAACTTTGTTAATCCTTGCAACCAGCAGCCATGGAGGGCACTTAACTTCAGGTGAGTCTTCTGTGATTCATTAGTGGTAGAAGTGGATCATTCTGGGTCTTAAACAGTCATGGAGTCAAAAGTGTTCCTGTAGCGACAATTTGACACAAGAGTCTACTAAAGCTTAGCTACTCGTTACAATGTTTGGTTTTCATAATCATGGTTAAAATTAAATTAGAATAAATGGACATGTCAGTAGAAAGAGCACTTAGTCAATAGTATCGATTCAGTGTTATGATCTTGTTGGTGACAGCAATCTGATATACCCTTCAGCTATCTTATATTTATGATGTACAAAAAGCTTAGTGTACCGGCTGTAAATCAGTGCTGTTTTGAATGTATGCAGGGCCAGCTCTGAAAATGGATCAGGCTTTGTTAACATTTCACAACCAGCTGACAAGAGAAGTGCAGATCTTCTTCACGTCCGATTACTGCTACAAGGTAAAGAATATATATATGTTTATATACTGTCTCTGTTTGTGTCTATCTGTTTGTCCAGGTTTATTTTACTTTTTAGGAAATGAGCACATATGTCAGCAAAATTACTTAAGTTATATACTTCTATGGATGTGTCAGCTTTCGTGATGCACATAGAGCAGACACTGTAAAACACTGTGACCTTCATGTTACTCACCCAGATCCTTCTTGTTCCTCAGTCCTCAATCACTAGAAATGTTAAAGGGGTACTTAAGTTGGGGGACTCACATGAGACAGATTTTTTTAAAGAATGGTCAACATGTGTGATACCCCGACTTTTAGTACCTAGTATGAGTCAAGCTTCACAAACACTGGATCCTACATATTCCACGGAGCAACACAGTAGCAACTTTAATCAGAGCTCCGCTGCCTGGTAACTGTCCACGTTTTTAGGGTTAGGGTTACCCACCCTAACACACATAATCAGTTTGTAATGCACTCTCTCTGTTAAAAATCTCATGTCAGGTTTACTCCTTTATAACTAGTAAACTGGAGTAAAATTGATCACTGTAGTGACACTATAATAGACTTTCAGGGTATAAAAGAGAAGCATCAAGTCAATTTTACAAGTGATTAAATCTACTATTTACCTGCCTTTTTGTATGTACTTCTAAAAGTTGCCTGCTTTTCCAACCTCTCAAGTCCCCAATGTTTTTAGCTTGTGATCCTTTAAAACAAATTAACAAATCTTCTTTGCAAGCCATTGTCACAAGTTATGGTCTTACTTAGCATTTTTTAACAGTTAAGAGTCATTTGTCCTTTTAGATTGTTTCATTTGAAGGATTGGAGTAGAGGAAACCTTGTATTTCACAAGGAAATTCAGAAAAATATACCTAATTTAGCAAGAAATGTAGATTGCTTATTTTATCTCGACAAGCACATTGTCTTCAGTGAATCCTTTGCATTGCCCTGCACATTGCACTTGTGGACATGTTCCTTTTTCTTTTTTTTTTTTTACATATATTATTTTTTCTGCTTTCTGTTCTTTTAGCACAGCCATAGGAGCAAGCCACATATTACTTATGTATCTTTCAAATAAAACCTTTCAATACTTATTCCTTTAGTTGTCATGACCCCATCAGATTTGGCTTGAGACTACCCACCCATTGCTCCTGACTACACACTTCCTGATGGTTTTTAAGAGTTTCACCTGTTTTTACTTCTCAGTGTGTGTACCAGCATTTGGCATCTGTGAAACCCAACAACAACAATGCATCTGCGATTATCAGCACTAAATTCACTCTGACTATGCGAGTGGAATCACAGACCAGGAATGCAACTCTCTGCAGGTAACATATTTAACATTCCACCAAAGCATTGATAACATCTAACCAGCTGTTTATTTCACCTACGATGCGCAGAGGTAGAAATGCTGATTTGTTTCCTCTTTACTCATATTACTCTGCCTGTGGGAGTGTGTTGCTGTTGTTTCCAGGCATGAAATAGTGTGGTGGCATCCGATGATTGCATCAGCAGTCCGCAAGATTATTTACAGAGCTGGGGGAGTAATCCTGACCTGCTTTCTGGACCTGAGTGATGCCCTCCTTTAAACTACCTCGCTGGGTATTGATCAGGAGCCTTTTTGGGGTTAATAAGGCCTGGCATTTCAATATTGATGAAAAGGGCTCATTAAAGCTTCAAAGCTACATGTCTTGTGGAAACCTCAGTAGGGACGTTAACTGGAGGAGACAGTTGCCATGTTTATAAACAATCAGGATTGACAAGACAGCAGGGCAGAGGTTTCCATTCAGGGGTCACCTGTAAACATGGTGCGGGAGATTCGGTTGCAACATGACATGCCTCTGGTGCTTTTTCTTGCCCTCTCAGAGGTCTGGTCTTGTGCTGCCTGGATCAATGCTGAGGTCTCTAACCAGACGGTGATGCTATTGATTTCCTATTCCCCTTTGAAAAAACACTCCAAGTGATAGCTAGTATGGCATCCCAAGAGTGGATCAATGTAAGCGTGTAATGCGTGTGTTGTTTGGGGCCTGAAAGTGCCCATGTTGACAGAACAGAGAGAGGCACTTTAAGTCTGCAGACACTAGGTGGTGCTCCTGAGCTTCACCTGTGTTTTAAAACTAGAAGTATCAGAACTAGATAGGGAGAGCCTTTTTTAAAACAGTCTGGTCAAGAAAACAGCAGCTGTTGGTGAAAAAAAGTCATTTAAACTGTGCTTCTACAGGAATATTATTTCAGAGTGGCTCAGATAAAGACAGTCTGTAGTTTTATGTGCTTTTAAAAGGAAGTGTGTCTCAATATTTGACTTTTTTCACTTTTGGATGCAGGTGGAGTCAGACATATGGAGAAGGTGGACATTACTCTATTTGGATCCAGATGTCAGAGGCCCCGAGTAAACCCAGCTGCACGCACACTGTCGATAAAACCCCGAACAATGCATACCTGCGTAAGTGCACAACACGGATAAAGAATGCAGGATGATGAAATTCAGTAATCACTCGCATAGTAACTGACACGAGAGGGAACGTGATCGCTTTGGTGAGACGGAGTGACAGCAAAAGGACTCGTGTCCACTCTGAGCCCAAACCTTTGATCCACTCTCTATTTAATTGAGTCAGCAAAGAGGAGAATCACTTGACTTGTCCACATCTACTGAGCAGCAATTCTCATCTATCTCTTGGGACATGATGTGTATTGATCAGATAAGACATGCTTTCTTGAAAAGGGATAAAAGAAAAGCTTTTCTGTTTGTTTTGAAGGCCTGGCTCCACGCGAGGAGGATTGTGGGTAATACATTAGGGAGTGTGGAAGGATTAGGCCGTAATGGGATTTTGAAAGCGTCACTCTCCATAATGTACACTCTACTTAACAATATTGCAGATTATGTTGTAGATCAGACTTTTAAGGCCAAGTAGCCATTATCCAAGCAGATATATGGTCAGTGTGACTGCACCCCTCACGGTATGATGAGCTTCCATTAGCTCCACAGACCGGTGATTATACAAACTCCCCATAGGACTTGCTCAGCTTAAGTAATGGTCTGGTCAGCAACTCAAGACAGGTTAGAGTTGCCTTGTTAGGGAATTTCAAAGTTTACTTCAGAGTCTCAGATTGATTGGCCGCGGGGCTTCATGAGGTCATGTGTTGGGTATTCTTCAAGGATATGTTTCTGTGCAGCTGCTATCAGATCCACCTTTTAATCATGTTAGTACTGTATTCTGCATTGTACCACAAACCACAAGTCACCTGCTGAGGCCCTAATTCTCACAAAGAAATCCACAATATCGACTGCCATTAAGTGTTTGTTCGACTTTAGCAAACATATTGATGAATTGAACTTAATCGAGTTGTTCTGAAATGCCTCCATTCATTTCCTATTTATTCTGGCAACAGCTAATAGCGTGAGCATGGCTGTTTGTAGACGGCTAGTGTTGTTTCGCTTTGTGTGCTGAGAGCTTTATGGGGTTTTTATGAGATTATTACGCCAGAGATGCCATGACTTTTCCTAAGCAATGAAGTGACCACTCTTTGTCATAGTGTGGATTCAGCTCAGGTTAAAATGGCTTCTTTATGTTTGTTTTTCCAAACACAATCACTGAGCGTACTGCCCCCATGTTTCCTGTACTTTGACGCAAGAAGACCACGCTGATATCTCCTGAGTCTATGTGTTATAGTTTTATAATCAGTAGTAATGCTGGTGATGATGGGTGAGCAATAATGTAGCAAACTTGCATTTCAGTTTGCAGAAAAGAAGTTCAAAATTAGATTATGCTGTATTTAGCATCCTTTATGTTGCACTATTATCTAAAATTTCTATCTACATAGTGCATTGATACATTTGTTCCTTAAACAATGAATGAATAAGCTTTATCCCAATCCATGTTCTATGCTCTGGGTAGATTTCTTTATTTCTACAGCAAGTAAAAGAGATCTCAGCTGCAGCATTTGGTGCCCTTTCATACTGTAAACCTTATCTTGACACCGCTCCGATCTATGATGCCCTCTGGCTGACCAGCACTTTGTTTTCTTGTCCTTGTTCCAGTGTAGCCTTACATTTTCCTATTTGGACGCCAGCAGGGTTAGATTACCCAGAGTGATTGAGATGAGTTGATGGGTCGACCAAGAGTTTTCCATTTGGTTCTTGTTTGTCACTTGGGGGATCCCCTTTGACACTGGTTGACTGACAGAGAGCCACAAGGGAGTCCAGAGGCGAGTAAAGCTGATGGTTTGGACTGATTACCAGGCCTATTCTGACAGAGATGTACAATTTAAAGGTCCTGACATGGACTTCCAGACAGAAAGACTATGACGTAGGGTGGTGCAGTCTGATCACAAAATGTCCATTTGTAAAGATTTTCTTATTTTCCAGCTCTTCTGGTGGCAGCTCTCTTACTGGCCATGATCACTCTCTTATTTGTTGTGGCACCCTATATCTGCAGGTACCCATATGTATTTTATCATCCACAATGAAAATACCATTCTGCACTGATTCCTCTTCCATCAGAACCAGGCAGCCCAAACTTTTGTTCTGTTTACAGGAGGCGTTGCACATCAGCATTTATTAAGATCATTTGCTGCCAAGGCCCACAGTCCGCAGTGGATAATGTAAGTAAAATGCTGCTTCTGAAATTCCATTAGATTCATTTCTTAATAAATGCAACGAGACAACGCAGATGCATGCTTTGATAGATTTGATTTAGATCAATCATAAACCAATCAAGTGGTAGTCTGGTAAGATACTAAAAAAATGTTCTAAATGTACCATTAAACCCGCTATTTTGGTCATTAACACTGTGCATATGAAAAAAAAAATGGAAGACTTTGTTACAGTTGGTGTCTTTATCGATGAAATTTCCTTTTCTGTGCCTGGAAATTAAATCTTACAGAAGAACACATTTCTTCACTGCAATATATGATTGACTTTATGCTTTTTTTTTGTAAGCAAAAGTCAACATTGCCTTGATCCAACAGTTACATTGCATTATTTTCATTGGCCAACAACACAGCCTGAGAAACATACCAAAATTGCTCAGAGACTCCAGTCATCAAGCCGTTTGGGAGACACTAATGGAATGATTGATACAAATGTTAGCAGAGCCAATTGTACAGCAGACTTACATGGAAGCGGCAGAGCGTTGTATCCGTCCAATCATCTTGCTTGATGGCAAGAGCTGCTGTGTATTTTTGGTGAGCATGAATGGCTCCTCTCATTCTTCCAAGCAAGACGTCTCTGTCCTCCATATGCTGTCTGGATGGCATGCAGATCCATCATAACATATTAGTGCTGGTGTCTTCCTGCTCTGGCTCTTTAAACTGCTGCATGGAGGCCAGTGATGCAGGCTAATCCAACTGAGGGGGCAACAGGCCAGAGTAATCTCAATGCTGCCTTCACAGGGAGAAGGAAAAAGAGGCGCCGCCACACAGCACAGAGGATGACCCAGGACAAATAGATGCCCAATTTTTTGAGGAGTTCTTACCAGTGGGGCACTTTTGATTTTTGGTTTTCTCAACATTTCTTCATCTTAGAACAATTATAGTTATGTAAAATCTTCCGACAAGTTTGGATATGTAGTTGCTACATGCCATTTTATGTAGGCCTATTTCTAAATGTGTCCTCTTTCTAATCTCTCTGCTTTTTTTATTTCAATGTTAAACTATAGAGTACACAAAACAATGTGACCACTTCAAGAGAAAGAACTGTAATTATAATGTAATCATATTTAATCACTGCTACAAAAGAGGGTAATTTTAAACTTAATGGCAATTAGCAGAACTTGCCAGCTATTAAAAGAGGTATTTTATCAGCACTTTGATATTAAAGTGTTCAAAGTAAAATGAGGCAACTAATTGGAAAAAAATAACAATATTTAAAGCTGCACTAATCAATATTGTTACATTAGCAATGGCTCACTTTACACTACCTGCCCAACACCAAAAGATAGACAGACAAAGTTAACAGTTACCCAGTGAACATAGTGCACCGTTTTAAAAAAGAGAGCTCAAGGGAGAGTGAATTTTGGACTTACATTCACCAGGTGGCCAGAAACACGGCTCCAAATGAATGCTAATGTTGCTCTGCCTGTCTGCTGGATGTGTGATTGGGTAAAGTTTTGCTAATACTCATCAACTTTATGAGGCCATCATTGTTGTGTTTACACTTTGTTCCTCTGCCCCCAACTGCCTCTTAATATTACTTTAATATGTTAATGAATAGGCCTGAAAAAGATAACAAATGCAAACAGAAATCAGCTGCATCAACAAAAAGAAATAACAGTCACAAGTTGAAAAAACAGACATTCAACCTCTACTTAAAGTAGCCATAAATTGGGAATTGACAAATGTTGCTTCTTGCCGTACAAGTTTACATGACCCACACTGGTGTCTGGTTATTTAAAAGCCAGAGTTCTGACAATATTTTTTTCCTACTCCCTACAGGACAGACCACAAGCTTGTGAAGCTGAGCACAATACCAGTAAAGCTAAGCCATCGCGTCTGCGCTCACTGGACACTTTCCGAGGGTATGTACGCCATCAACAACCATCCTGTTTATCAATCTATCAGCACATGCGGTTCGTTCACATGTTTCACAAGTCTTTTTAGAACAGTTTGAGGCATGATGAAGATCTACAGGCCCGGCATAATGAATAATTACAGGGGTCACAGTCTGGCCACATGCTCCCCCAAGCTTTTGTTATCAGGCGGTATAGCTTTGGGCAGGATTGCTGATATCAGTGCGTCTCGGGTTTGGAACAGTGTGTTTCTGTTGGACAGGAGTGATGCATGTGATTGAATCTGGGCTCCCTGCTAGCCTTAATTGTGGCCTGGGGGTAGACACAAAGCACGCCTCTCTGGAAACAGGATGCTGGTGTGGCTTTGACCTCCCCCTTGCCAAATAATTGATGTAATAATACCGTCAACATATCAGCACACATCCACACGGCCGTAGATCTCCTGCCAAAATGGACAGCAAGAGGAAATCCAGCTGCACACAGGCAGTATCCAGCAGACGATTGGCATCTTCTTCATCTGTGGCTTCCTTTTGGATGAAAAGCCATCTGAAACCCACGTGCATATGTGCTCAATTCTGAATACCACATAGTTTTATTTAGTTTGGAAGTGCATGAGTACTAGCACCAGAAAAAGGATACATTTCGATTTCATTCCCCTTCAGTTACACTTTGTGCCGCAGTCCTGTTCAATCTTATTAGCTGAAAAATCACTCCAGGGGTTACAAATACTTGTCACATATTGACGTCCTGATTGGTAATACTGGAAATTCTCATACCTGACAACACACTTAATCAAACTGTGACTCAGCGCTCAAGATTAACGCTGCGTGTGCTTCCTCAGCCCCGTGACTTATGATCCATACCCCTGATAAGTAACAACTTTCTACAGAGAACAGACACATCAGTCATCTGCCATAAATGCTGAGACATTTCTGAAGGCAAAAGGATTTTCTTCTGAGACGAAAGATTTTTCTGATCATTGCTCAGGCTCGGCTGACATGATATACAGAGAACAGTAGGGCACGGTGGCACGTTAATTTTTCTAAAAGGATTTGGATTTTAATCTTGTGCCACACTGCTAAAAGCCTGTCGCTTGTTTCCTTACTGCTGAAAATTGCACTGTCAGTGGTTAGCAGTTACTATACTGTACAACAGAGGCAACAACTATTACAGCAAAACAGTGGATCGTCAGTTCCATTTAACACCAGGTGGCCGACTCATTCTGTGCCTTATTTTGACTAGGCTCCAAGTTTTCCTCCGATTCAGTTTCAGATATGCTCTGAAGTTTGACCTCAAAGAAAGCAAAACCTTGGCATTTCCAGTCAAGTATTAATTTATTGTGACTAAATAAGGTGTCCATGTACTTGATATGGCCACCACAGAAGGTAACTCAATATTCTGCAGTGATAGAGTGTAACTATCCATTTGCAACGGGGAAATGTTCTAAGCTAATACTCTAATTGGTAATGCATGTACAGTGATTCAAATCAAAGAAGTCCATAAGCGTCTATCAGTGAGTCATAACCACTTATCACTGCTGCAAGAAAGACACGTCTGTCTGTAATCTGTTAGCTATAAATCGTGAACACTGATTCCCAGACATGAATTAAGTCTATTACTGAAGTGACAAATGTTCATTGGAGAGCTTCACAGGGATATTTACAACTTGAACCTGATTAGGAAACCAAGAAACAAGCCTGTGGCGCTTCAACCTGGACATGATCTTATATTAACTTTGGGGTGACATAAAGCAAAGTGATCTCACTACCCATATTAATTAAGCATTTATAGTTTCCCTTAATCATAATTAGCAGCCACTAGTGTCACATGTGTGTAGCATTTCTAATGTAATCTGTTATCTTCCCTAAAATGGAGCTTGCATTCACAATCAGACACCCAAAGTGTTTTGATTAAAACGATGGCCAATAAGCCCTGATATTGCAGTGATTTTTACCAGGTCTCATCTGGCTAGTGATTTAACCTCTTTGTCTTTGTCACTATGGCGACTAATGGATATGTTTGTCAAAATTTCAATGATAGCCTATGTGTGTGTGTGTGTGTGTGTGTGTGTGTGTGTGTGTGTGTGAGAGAGAGAGAGAGAGAGAGAGAGAGAGAGAGAGAGTACATGGACACATGCAGCAGGGTTTACTCTACTTTAATAGCCCTTTTGAGATGATAGTGGCCGATTAAAATCTTGTATCCGCAGGTTGGGGCTAAAAGAGCTGTAATGGCTTTGGTGCACCTCTTAATTGAATCTAAGCAGAAAAACAAGAGGAGGCAGAGGTAGACACAGTGCACCTTATCAGGCAGTCTTGTTCTTAGAGGTTGTCCTAATCTTGTTATGGTTCTTAAAGACCCCCTCATGATACTTTTTTCCCTATTTGATTAAATAACACTTGAATCAAAAGCATAAATTCAAGTATTTAGTATGGTGAAAGGATTGAATCTGCCCTCAGAGCAAAACTCTGTAGACCACGCAACCATTTTCATTCCCCCACAAGTTTGTGCTGTGTATTGGCCCCCACCCATTTTCGGACATGCAACGCGAACACCATTTTCCCTCCAATGTCTGATTCAGTGAAGCACTCCATCACGTGTGCTGTTTTTCAGCAGCCTTGGCCAGTGCTAGTATAAAGTGTATCATATATTAGACGCAAAGTCTTTAGTCAGCACTCCTGCTTGAGGAGATCCAGAGGACAAGTGTTCATTTCCTGAGTGATTCATAATGCTTAGATTGCATTACCTTGCATTTGGAGTGTTACAGAATAAAAAGCCCCTCCTCTTTTCTCTTAAACTTGAATTCAGAAGTTAATATTGTGTCAGATGTATGTAGCAAGATTGTAATAACACCGTTGGATATGAATGTTTTATTCTGTATTTCATCTATTTATAACAGTTAACCATTTTCAACCATATTTCCATTTTAGTCCACTACATGAAGGTTAATCCCAGTTGTTACTGATTTAGCATACAGTGTAATATAGTGCTTACTCAATGTTCTGTCTTTGTAGGTTTTCCCTGACCGTGATGGTTTTTGTGAACTATGGTGGAGGAGGCTACTGGTTCTTCCAACATGCACCCTGGAATGGTTAAGTATAAGACATACACAAAAATACAAAATTAAACAAAACAAAGGGTTATCCTGCAGCTTGTGTAGTACAACCTGCACCCTTATAACAATTTGAAACTCTTTAATTTTGCTTCCCTTCATCTGCATCTGCAGTTAAATTAGATTTAATTAGCTGAAAGGACCAACAGTTTACAGTGGTTGTTTCATGGAAGGAGCAGATACTTCAGTCTTTAATGTACACCTTCTTTCACATGATGCCAGATAGGAAATTAATGTGTGAACTTGAGGCAATCATTCAATGGCAGCAGTCTCCTCACCATGTCTGCAGCATTTTCTGACCTGTTGTCACTAATTGTGATGAATGCAGTCTCAAACACACAGAATGCCATTCCTCAAACCAGCCAAATCAAAGGCACAATCCATAGATTTTTATTGTTATTAACAACCAGGGAGGAGACGAGAAGGAGGAGGGATGAGTTTTTAAATAGCAGCTGGGAGAATATGGGAGGGGGCATTGAATGTGTGCTACTTGCCTCTTGCAGCAGCCACTTTTGAGGAACCCTGGAGCAAGGCACCTCTGACCCAAAGAGACAGCCGAATCCCTTTTTCTTGGTTAATGAAAGTTTTTTTTTTTAAAGTAAAAATGTCACTGCAACCTTTTATGAAATCCATGGCATTGTTTAGGGGTGTTCTCAATTTAAATTGTGTGTTAGCCTCTTTGCCACATCTAAAAGGGTGTATTGATTTCAGGGGTGGTTTGATTAATGTTCTCTTTACTGCAGGGCTGCCACTGTCACAGGAGTGTGGATTTTTTTTTTTTACCTTTTCAAAATGGAAAGTTAATGATAGGAACAGCACTTTAAGGACATAACATTGTTCTTTATTCATCTTGTAGTCAATTAGGATTACAGAGATTAGAAAAGGGCAAGAAATGTGAATTCTGTATAATGGCATCAATTTCAAGTGTCTGTGTTTATTGATATTAATTTATGTCTGGATTTGTTGCAGGTCTAACTGTGGCAGATCTTGTCATGCCATGGTAGGTTTGATACAAGGAGACATTTTCAGTCGTATTTAATATACACAAATATGCATATTTTTGTACACACAATAAATATACAGTGCCTTGCGAAAGTATTCGGCCCCCTTGAACTTTTCGACCTTTTGCCACATTGCAGGCTTCAAACATAAAGATATAAAACTGTATTTTTTTGTGAAGAACCAACAACAAGTGGGACACAATCATGAAGTGGAACGAAATTTATTGGATATTTCAAACTTTAACAAATAAAAAACTGAAAAATTGGGTGTGCAAAATTATTCAGCCCCCTTAAGTTAATACTTTGTAGCGCCACCTTTTGCTGCGATTAGAGCTGTAAGTCGCTTGGGGTATGTCTCTATCAGTTTTGCACATCGAGAGACTGAAATTTTTGCCCATTCCTCCTTGCAAAACAGCTCGAGCTCAGTGAGGTTGGATGGAGAGTGTTTGTGAACAGCAGTTTTCAGTTCTTTCCACAGATTCTCGATTGGATTCAGGTCTGGACTTTGACTTGGCCATTCTAACACCTGGATATGTTTATTTGTGAACCATTCCAGTGTAGATTTTGCTTTATGTTTTGGATCATTGTCTTGTTGGAAGACAAATCTCCGTCCCAGTCTCAGGTCTTTTGCAGACTCCATCAGGTTTTCTTCCAGAATGGTCCTGTATTTGGCTCCATCCATCTTCCCATCAATTTTAACCATCTTCCCTGTCCCTGCTGAAGAAAAGCAGGCCCAAACCATGATGCTGCCACCACCATGTTTGACAGTGGGGATGGTGTGTTCAGGGTGATGAGCTGTGTTGCCTTTACGCCAAACATAACGCTTTGCATTGTTGCCAAAAAGTTCGATTTTGGTTTCATCTAACCAGAGCACCTTCTTCCACATGTTTGGTGTGTCTCCCCGGTGGCTTGTGGCAAACTTTAAACGAGACTTTTTATGGATATCTTTAAGAAATGGCTTTCTTCTTGCCACTCTTCCATAAAGGCCAGATTTGTGCAGTATACGACTGATTGTTGTCCTATGGACAGAGTCTCCCACCTCAGCTGTAGATCTCTGCAGTTCATCCACAGCGATCATGGGCCTCTTGGCTGCATCTCTGATCAGTCTTCTCCTTGTATGAGCTGAAAGTTTAGAGGGACGGCCGGGTCTTCGTAGATTTGCAGTGGTCTGATACTCCTTCCATTTCAATATTATCGCTTGCACAGTGCTACTTGGGATGTTTAAAGCTTGGGAAATCTTTTTGTATCCAAATCCGGCTTTAAACTTCTCCACAACAGTATTTCGGACCTGCCTGGTGTGTTCCTTGTTCTTCATGAAGCTCTCTGCGCTTTAAACGGACATCTGAGACTATCACAGAGCAGGTGCATTTATACGGAGACTTGATTTCACACAGGTGGATTCTATTTATCATCATTAGTCATTTAGGTCAACATTGGATCATTCAGAGATCCTCCCTGAACTTCTGGAGAGAGTTTGCTGCACTGAAAGTAAAGGGGCCGAATAATTTTGCACGCCCAATTTTTCAGTTTTTTATTTGTTAAAAAGGTTTGAAATATCCAATAAATTTCCTTCCACTTCATAATTGTGTCCCACTTGTTGATGATTTATGTTTGAAGCCTGAAATGTGGCAAAAGGTCTAAAAGTTCAAGGGGGCCGAATACTTTCGCAAGGCACTGTATATATATACCATGCCACGTTCAAAGTGTTGTTGGTGCCAGTCTGAGTATTTCTACTGGGATTTTCACACACAGCCATCTCTAGGGTTTACAGTGAATGGTACAAAAAAGAAAAAATGGTGTGAGGGATATTTTCTTGGCACAGTGGGGCCCTTAGTACCAACTGAGCATCATTTAAACAAGACAGCCTACCTGAGTATTGTTGCTGACCTTGTCCGTCCCTTTACGACCATCTTCTGATGGCTACTACCAGCAGGGTAATGCACCATGTCACAAAGCTCAAATCATCTCAAACTGGTTTCTTGAACATGACAATGAGTTCACTGTCCTCCAATGGCCTCCACAGTCACCAGATCTCAATCCAATAGAGCACCTTTGGAGAAGTGGTGGAACGGGAAATTCACATCGTGAATGTGTAGCCGACAAATCTGCAGCAACTGTGTGATGCTATCATGTCAATATGGACAAAAGTCTCAGTCACAGTTCTGAAGGCAAAACGGGGTCCAACCCGGTACTAGCAAGGTATACCGAATAAAGTGACAGATGAGTGTACATATACCTGTTTTATTGACATAACATTGTTGTTTCTTCCAGGTTTGTGTTTATTATTGGGACTTCTGTAGTGTTGGCTCTCAGATCCATGCAGAGGAGAGGAGTGAGCCGCCTGCAGCTGCTGCGCAAAATCACCTGGAGAACAGTTGTCCTCCTGATGCTCGGCTTCTGCTTCCTCAACTACTCTCCAAGAGACGGACCACGTAGGTGCAAAATATGTACATTACGTGGATGTGCTTGTTCTTTACTTTTTGGTTGTTCTATACTGTGAAAATTATTAAAACACAGACTCTGGCATGTCTAATAATATGTCCGCATATAACACGTACAGTAGTGTAAAACATTAGCACCGCTGGAGAACTGAAAGAGGCTTTTCTTCTTGTAAAAATTCAGCTCAGTAAAACAAACGCCATTTTCTATATGACGTACATTAAACAAGTTTGACACAGATTCTGTAACAAGTCCATTCCAGATTAAGTCATATAGACCTTCAACAATTTGTCAACTAATCAATTAGTCAATCAAAAGTAAAGTAAATTAATTTTGATAACGGATTGATTGTTTCGTTCATTTCTCAGGAATAAATGTAAAACATTTGATGTTAATTTTCTCATCTTAACATTGTAATAAACTGAATATTGAAACAAGACATGCATTAACATTAGCTTGACTTTCAGGAAATCGTCATGGGCATTTTTTACTATTTTCTACTGTAGACCAAGTGAATAATCGATGATGTCATACCAGATAGGAGTAACATACAGCCTGAGTTTGGTATGTTCATAATATCCACAACTCTTGAAGTCAGGTGACAAAGACAAAATATGTTGTATGTGTTTAGATCCAGATTTGTGATAAAAGCCAAAGCTGCAGGCCTGGGTCGAGGTTAAAGCAGGCTGAAAATCCCCATTTCACCATCTGGGGATGCACAGGGCGCCCTTCACACATTAGCCATCCCCAGTGCTAATGGACTTTCCTGGGTGGATGTCTGCATAACTGGGTTAACAAAAATATTGTTATTGTGTGTGCAGTCTTAAAATCTAGCACCAGGGGACGTTTAACACAGGCAGATTGAGCAAAAACAACCGCTGTGGTAATGGACAATTACAAACAGATAGTGTTACACCCTTCAGCCCCATGCAGCTGCTGTAGAGGCTGCTGCTAGAGCTGATCATAACAGCACAGTGAATTTTACCATAAACTGCAGCTTTGCCCTCTGTCTCCAAGGACGTCCTCTGCTGTTTGGTTGCAGGGTTTGATCTAATAAGAGAATGGAGTCGTATCACCTCAATATGTTAAACCATGTCAATGTCAGACGAGACAGAAGAAGGTGTTAACCTTTGAAATTAACCATGAGTCATTTCAAAAAAACGCTGCTACGGTTAGACTACGAAGTCACCATCAAAGCACTGTTAAAGACCTTGAAACTCCATTTCATCTACTTTGTTGGTTTAGAAAAGTAAAAAGCACTTGATGTAATGTATTCCATTAGATAAATTCAAAAGCACATTGTGGTGAAGCTAAAAACATCACTTTTTCTCTTGAATCCTTAGATGTTGACGTTTTCGACAGAAAAATATTCTTTTGCTTAAGGTGACAGTGTTATCTCTGACCATTTGACAGTGTTGTTCTTTTTTTGGATGGTGACAAGTAACAGAAAAGATCAATCAGATGAAGATCAGATAGTCAGATTCAAACCCCTACTGTTGAGTGGCCTTTTTTTGACTCGGCTATTTGCTCCACTTTATGATGGCTTTATTCAGCTTTGCTCACTTCCATAGAATCATTATTTTATTCAATCTATCACTGAAAGTACTCATAGATGGGAAGTAGACAGCAGAGCTTTCACTTCCTAAATGATATTGAACGTCTCAGTTTCACACATAAACTGCATAAATTGATCAGAAAGTGAAACGAAATATGTTACAGTTTCCCTTAGTTCACCTTAAAACTTGACTTTTAGGATGTTTTTTTATTTAAGTGACAATTTTGTTGGGGGCAGAGAGAAATTATCTTGGTGAGGGTGTAACCTGCAGAATTAACAAATGTGTCATAAGTAGGAGCTTCCTCTATTTCTGTGAAATGAGAGATATCCGTCTCTTATTTGATTTGTCTGGATCAATGATTGGGATAACACTGTTTTTATGGCACTTTGTGCGGCAAAGAGGTTTTCAATTAACTAATGTGTAGATTACCATCAATCTCTCAACCACAGACCAATCCTATCCTTCCAAATTTGTGGAGACCGAGCGATAACTTGGAATCTTTGATTAGCTTCCCACATTCTTGACAGGTCCATATCCTGAAGGCTGACACCATTTCCCAGTGTGTCCTGCTGTCCATCATCCTCCCTCAGGAAGTAGCAGCAGTGGAATAATTGAGAAGATGTTCTCATGATATAAATGATCAATTTCCTGATTTATAATTTGCTCAAATCAGCAGTAACTGACCTCTGAGTTTTATCTGTACTTGTACCTGAGTTGTAAGTTCATATATTCATCATTGGGCATTAAAGCGCACATGAGGGCTCACGCTGTGTGTTGTTGACTGTGTTCCAGTGTCTTGGTCTTGGCTGAGGATCCCTGGAGTGCTGCAGCGTCTGGGCTTCACCTACTTTGTTTTGTCTCTCCTGCAGACTTTCTGGGGCCAGAGAGAAATCCCTCTGAGAGCGGTGAGCAGCTCTGTCAAGTTCACTTTGGTCTGTCATTGCACACCAGAGAAAAAAAGTCCAACCTGGAACAACGCATTTATAAACAGCTAAATTGCTGTGTGCTCCTTGGTGTCCTTTGTATTAATACTAGGATAACTGCCCAAACATAAACCAAAAACAGCTTAATGTTAAAACAGTGTCCATAAGACTATTTTAAGTTAAACTATGTGATGCAGGATCACTGGTGGAACCCTGTCCAAGATGTGGTCCTTTATTGGCCACAGTGGCTGATTATCATCCTGCTGGAGACTCTGTGGCTCTGCGTCACTTTGCTCATGCCTGTGCCCAACTGCCCCACGTAAGTCCAAGCAAGGCTCCCACTGACCCTACATACCACTGAGTCCAACCTACTGATTAATCCACTGTACACATATGCTAAAACGTGTAAATGTCACCCATCTCTCTGTGCTGAGATAATCTCCATTTGGGGCTGTTGCTGCAGCAGAGGTGTTAGTGTGCGCCTTGTGTTGCTGGTGTTATAAACCACTGTGATTTATGGGCCTGTGGTGGATGCTTCAGAGGGCATAATTAGCCAATCTCAGTTTGTCATGTGCAATAAGAGGAGTAGAGGCAGAGGATCCATCTTCCTTGCTCTGTGTCTTCTGCTCAGTGCTGCTTTTTGTGTGTTTTTTCCCCCATTTCTGTAAAATAGTAGCGCTTTTTCCCACAGCTTTGTTTAGATTATTTTTTTTTTAACAATGTGAGGATGTGGGGTGAACACTCATACAAAGCTTGATCTTTGCCGTCTGATAGAAGAACCTGCCTGAGGAGATTCCTATGTCTCATGTTCCTAAAATTCCTTTTAAGCCTTGCATTTATTTTTATTGTTTAATCCTTTATAATTATTTTGTAACATGTTCAATGCTACAAAGTGTCTTATTCTTTTAATACTGATAAAACTATATTGTTTGTTACCAGAGGGTATTTGGGAGCTGGTGGAATTGGTGATAACGGCCTTTACCCTAACTGCACAGGAGGTGCAGCAGGATACATTGATAAATGGATGTTTGGTGATAACATGTACAGATACCCCACATGCAAAGTAAGACCTTTTTTCACACACCATTCATTATTTTATCAAGCTATCATAAACAGGTGGAATTAAGAACATTGAAACAATCCCCTTCTTATTGCTTTTTTTATAGGAAATGTATCACACCACGCAGCCCTTTGACCCAGAGGGCGTTCTGGGTACAATTAACTCCATTGTCATGGGATTCCTGAGGATGCAGGTAAGATAGATCATTTATTTCCCCTGTATGATTCAACAAGTGGTACAAGAGTATTTCTACTATTTCTACTTAGAGTTTTTTTTAAGTGTCCATAAAATTCTGTGGTCATTATTTAGTTTTACTACTTCTTGGTAACAGGAGTAATGTTCTCCATGATGCTTTATTTTGCAGAAAAGGATAATTACTGAATATATGAAGGCTACTTAAGGGTCAGACCACCCATTAATTGGTTTTATGATATCTGACATTTCATCTGTGATTTTCAAACCATTTTAAATTCACGCTAGAAAAACTCCTACTTTCAGGAAATCATTAAAGTCAATCAGAGATTTCACCATTTTCATAGGGAATAAATGTTAAGTACAAAGGCTTTCCAATGAAAACTGTGGAAACATATGGTTTTGTGTTTTATAAATGTCTATCTTAATACTTACAAGATAAACAAAATTTCATTCACCTCCATTGTACTTGAATGTTGATAGAAACTTGACATTTTAGAATCTCAGCAGGTCTCTAGAGGCCACAAGAAGTAAGTGAGAAAACAAATGTTTTTGTGATTTGGGTGAACCGTCCCTTACGTCCTCACAACACGGGCCCCTGATTGGCTGAGAGCAGCAGCTTCTTTTATTTAGCGGAACCATTGGAACCTTGCTCAGTATTGGATTAATGATTAAATGCAGAAAATAAATTTAAATGATTGAATCAGTTGTTCAGAGACAAACCAATCAGAACTATGTGTAGTTATGATCTTAATCTGAATTGATTATACTTCCAACATTCATACATGTGATCAAACAGGGGGAAATATTTATGCCAGAGCTGCTTTACATAAATTATCACTTATGATAAATGCTTTAATAATTTAATAATAAAACGTGTCTTAGACAGCGAGACAGTTAACTCTGTACTTGAATGAAGTTTATGTGAAAGACTCTTTCCCGCCTAATTGTAAGTGCACAGCTGCCATCCTTTATTGACAAAATGTTGTCAGAAAGTGGGGAGAGAGCTTTTGGTCTTTAGACCTGAGTCGGGGACAGTGTCACTTATAACCATTTGTGTTGTGGGAAGTTGCCATGCTAAAGCAGCCACATTGCTCAATTCCCAGTGGGTGGTTAGCACTGAGCCCTTCAGTCAACAAGTCCTAGACGACATGCCAGGTGTCTGCTGCCCTCCTCTGTGTTTGCCCATGCTAATGTCCTCAGCTGAAACATATTCATCATCACCAAATTAATCAGAGGGTGCGGATGACTTACATCCCACATCTGGCTCAACAGGATAGGAGAAATGTGACCGCCACGTCAGGGACACGGCATTGACACCCACATCCCAGGCCTATTTGGTTACCCAAGGGCAAATACATGGACACCCCGGTTGGTGTTTACATGGTATTTCTCATTAAATGTATGATTGAATGAGTTGTGGTGACTGTGCTTATCTCTGTCTCCTTCTCCACAGGCTGGGAAAATTATCATTTTCTACAAGGGGATGAGCGTCCACATCCTCATTCGATTCCTAGTGTGGGCCATCATCCTGGTACGTTGTCATCATGTGGAGGTTTTAAACACAGCCGGTAAAGTAAATGAGTATAAATGTCAATGATAATTTAAAAGCAAGACAACAAATCACTTTAAAACATCGTCCTGCTTCCATGACTCACACAGAGCTGAGCACTTTTATGGTCTTGCGGTTTTACATTGTCTTTGCAGGTACATGCTGTTTTCCAGCCACTCGAGTATTAGTCATAGCTGCCGAAGCCGTTAATTAGCAGGACTTAGTAGAGGACATGTGTGTGTGATTTCAGTACAATTAAACAACATCCATGTGTGGCTGTGTTTCTGGGCAGACATGGGTATCCAACACCTCAGGGGGATACACTCTGTCTCTCATTGCCTGTGTGCCTCAATGCTTGCTCACAAATGGTATAACAGAAATAAATGAAAGTCAGAATAAAAAGATACATTTCTTCATGAATGTGCTCAGATAGCATTTGAGGTCATATTTGTTTTGGATCTGTGCTCATTCTGGGTGGTCTGAAAACACAATAAGAGGCAAGCTGGCCTCTATTTCATTTAGAGGGGGAATGTGTCCCACAGGGAGAAGCATAGTGTTATACGAGATGGCCCATTTTGCATTTCTTCATTTGCTGTTAGTCTGTTCTAACGAGATTGACAGATATCCGTGTAGAAAGGCCAGGCTTTGCTGAACTGTGCTTGGCCACTGTTATTATGTACATACAGTGAGATGCGCCAGAGATGTAGCTTGTTTGCAAAACGGGGTTAGTAGGAGCCTGCATGCAGTGGAGGCAGACATCCTGAACTGGCAGTGCTGTGAGCTGGAGTGATGATGGAGCTGATAGAGCTGGCTGGATCACTCAGCCTTTGAAATCATACTGTGCAGGATGAAAAGAAGGGGCCAGGAGACGCAGCCAGATAAAAACACACAGAAACATTTACAGAGCCTATTAAGTTGAAATTAAGTAGTATTATTATGTACTTTTATGTAATTGTAGGCCTAGAAATCAGGTTCTTAAATAAATAAATAAATAAAATTAAGGAAACAATTTCAGTCATTACTTTTTCTTATCCGTACAACATCTGCCATGTATGTTTGTTGCGTCAAATCGTGTTTATTTGTGTATCCCAGCAGCTCCATTAGGCTACATTTAGGCACAGCGATGCTTTGAGCTAAATGTTAACATTAGCGCGCTAACATGCTCACATTGACAATATTAGCATGCCAATGTTAGTGGGTATGTTTACCATGCTGATCATTATAGTTCAGCATGTTAGCAAGCTAACATTTGCTAATTAGCAAATTTTTGACTTTATGGTGGCGCTAAAGGAGAAGTCAGTGGATCACCAAAGTCTTTTAAGATTCGTCACCTGGGTACCACGAGTGTCTGTAACAAATGTTGTAAGGCTTTTTGCTGTTAGCATGGCTAAAAATTGCAATTAAAAAAAACAACAACAGTATCATTATCCAGTAGGACTGTAATAGGTCCAATATTAATGTAATAAATACCATATAAGAAGTCAGAGGAATCGGTCTTTTGTGTGAAAAATCCTGTTCATATGTGAGAGTCAATTGAAATTCTGTTGTGAGAATTTAATGTCATTAACCTCAATTCCTAAATGACAGATCTCCCTATTATGTCTCCAGGTGTTGAATCTTATTGACTATCATTGTGGAGAAAGGGACTGGAGCGAGGTGAAATAAATTAGATCCATTTGGCTTCTCCCAGAGGCACAGAGTGATAAAGTAACACATGACGAAATAAATAAACATTAGGCTTTCATGTTTTTCCACTGTATCTCAGGGTTCACCGGTTAATACTACATAGATGATGTGGATACTCAAGATAATGATTTTGGAGACATTATATTCAGATTCATACAGTGTTTAGTGGTGGATCAATACATGGACATAAAATCCTGGTTAACTGAAATAGAGAATAACAATTAAAATAGATTTTCTCACATTGAATAGTCAACTTTAGAGAGCTGGCATTTTTTTATTGATTCTGTGAACAGATACAGACCATGTGTAAAGTATAAATACAGTATATAATCACCCCACCACGTGTTCTGCATATGTATATTTGCTTTGGTTTATCTCAGTAGCTAAATCTATTTTTAGCCCTACAAATGTTTTCACCAACAAAGAAAGCAAAATTAGTTTTAGTGATTGGCCTGCTGTTGATATTGACTTTTCTAATACGATTTCACCTCAGAGGGGAGGCAGGAAGCAGAGCTGAACTGCCTCTTGTTTCAGACATGTGCTCTTGACATTAGCTGGTCTCCTCAGTGGAGGAGGGAACTCATTTCTGCACCCACCAACCACAGGATTGATATTATGCACAGGAGGTTTGAAAAGAACAGAAAGTGTTGATACAGTAAACTAGAGGCCAGGTTTATCACTACAGTTCACTGTAGTGTGATTTCTGTGGCAGATTGAAATTCAGAGACAGCCATGCATCTTCCTCCTAATAAACAACAGCCCTTGTTAATTAAAGTCCAACGATCAGGCTCCAGAAGTGAGAGATTGAAATTGAGCGATTGCCCCACATACCAGCCCCATCCCACATCCTGCTGCCTGGATAGCCTGGAGACTCAATCCAGCCCCGGCTAGGCTATTTCCACACCATCGATTCTGTCATCTATACACATGATGGATATCCACCTAACAACCATGTTTGGATTTTGATCCTCTGCCCTGGGTTCTCTGTGGAGCATAACATGTTTCCTCGAGTATCTAAATCATATGTAAAGGTAAATAGATGAGACAATAAAAGCTTTTATTGATGTAGCGTTTTATCAGTTCATACACAGTTCCTCTGTATCATGGTTGATAAGGCTTTGGACAGCCTGGCCTCAAATGGGTGTGACTCTGTAGGTGGCTCTCTTTGAGGAGCACAACATTCCAGTGTGGATGATCAAATTGGCGTGTCTGCAGTCCGATATTGTGTGTGTGTGACTTGATAGACCTTGTTTATCCAACTCTCATATAATCGTTTAATCTGCCGGATTTGCTTGATTCTGTTGCCTCACGTTTTAGCAGCCCAATACAGCTTTCTTTATCGCCCTCCATCGATTTGAAATCTGTTTCATTTCCACCCTTAGGGAATCTCTGCAGCCATCCTTTCTAAGTGCACAAGAGATGGAGGATTTATACCTGTCAATAAAAACCTTTGGTAAGTGCTTCCTGACCCTCTAAATCCAGCCACTTTTCCTCACAAAAGAAAGGATGGGTTTCCAACAGGCACAAATCAAGGCTGCTAAAACACGCGTTTACTTACCTCTAACGACAGCTACGACTGTAAATAATCACCCGGGCTGTCAGGAGTGTGAGGTGGAGCAGTTATACATCCTCCCAACATGATCACTCTTCCTTATGGCTAGAAAAATAAAGGGTGCTTTATCTAGCACTCACTGCACATTTTACCAGCCTGGCGTGATGGAATGGGATCAGGCTGGGAGAAAAGTATCTATATAACCACAGTGTATTCTAACTGCTCCCAAACCATCATACACTTTTTTGGAGAAACAAGGCACAGCATTTTGATAAATGTAATGATTTTGCATGAAATACAGTAAAATTACTACCTCAAATTACTTTATGACCCATGCATTTGTTCCACTCCCACATTCCCGTTAATATGATGTGAATCATTTTAATGTTGCAGCAGGAAGAATACCATTTCATCTGTGATGTGTAAGCAAAATCTTCTTGATGTTCCACAGGGGCCCCTGCTAACACTGCGCTCATCCCTCGCCATTACCTGCCTGGCTTTTATAGGCAGTTCATCATGCACAGGTTATTGAGCTCTTGAGTACGAGTCCCTGCCTGGATGTCTAGAAGTAATTAACTCCCAGCCAAGAGTCCTTTTTGGCCCCACTTCAGCTGAGATAAAAAAAAATAAAAAAAAACGCCCACTGCAAAGAGGCTCTGTTAGGCAGCCATTTTACATCAGATGATATTACATCAAACATTCTTGCACTTAGGAGCAGACAGGGACATGGTTGGCTGGCACGGCTCCACGCAGCACGTGCCAAGGATCCACTGCTGATGCTTTAGACCAATCCAGCAAACTGTCCCACAGTTGCGAGACCTCTGGGTGTTATTTATCTGCAGTACAGGATTGATAGACTCTTTAAACCCATGTTTACACCGTACTGCTAACATTTTAGTGATGCCCAAATGTGCAGAGTATAATGTTGTTGTTGTTGTTGTTGTAAAGTGTTGCTGATGGGCTGTTTCTCCAGGTCGCTGTCCTATGTGATGTGTTTGGGCTGTTTCTCCTTCTTGCTGCTGGGAGGCATGTACTTTATCACTGATATGAAGGGCTGGTGGGACGGACAGCCATTCATATACCCAGGTACTGTTTATTCACAAATCAAAGGGCTATTATGCTGGTGTATAAGCTCTGGTTATAATAAAAATCACTGTTCACCAGATGGCCACAAACATGACTACAAATGAATGCTCAGGTTGCTCTGTGTCTGCTGGGTGTGTAGATAGGCAACTGTTTGCTAACAAGCCAACTTTAAAGATGATAATATATCTTTTGTATTTATCTTGTTTCTGTTGCCACAAAGTGGCCAAAATATCAGTTAATGCAGGTTTAAAGGAAAGTTGTGATACATTTCGGCCTGGGTCTTATTCTCACATTTGCAACCGTTTTGACAATGATTTAAACTAATTTTGACATAAAACAATTTAAATTGATTTTCTCAGAATTCAACGTAAACGGTAAACACCCTAATTAGCCCCCTGGATTAGCCATTGTAGCTAACATGGGGATCTACTTACAGGCAACTTGCCAGCTGTCCATTCATTATCTAACATCAGAAATGATTTATCTAAAATTAAAGTTTATTTTGAAAACTTTGGGTTTTTTTTTATTAGATTTGGATTAGATTCAACTTTATTGTCATTATGCAGGGTATGGGTACGAGCTAATGAAATGCATTTAGCATCTAACCAGTGCAGAAATATAGTGTTTTATACAGGTAAGTGCAGGTATGCTGCATCTTACAACATGTACAGTGGAGATACACAGATATTAAACAGTATATGTGAACATATTAAAATCGTATAGAGGAGAAGTGGACAGAGTTAGAGAATGGAGAGTTTAAATGTATGGTTGTATATACAGTATGCAACAGCATGTATGCATTTGGTAAGGTGCAGAGTATAACAATGTATACACACATAATATATATACAGTTGGTTATATATTCAGTAACATGTAGGGGTTTAGTCTGTGCAAAAACATGGATAGCGCAAATACGTACTGTGAGCAGTGTCAGTGCAGTGTGAATGCAAAGGTGGTATATGAATGAAGGTGTGAAATTAGTAGGCTCCTGTATCACCTGCCGGATTGGAGTAGGGTAAAAGTCCATGGTTAGGGTGAGAGACATCCTTGATGATGTTTCTTGTACTTCCCAAGCAGCACATGTGAATGAGATTTGTCAATATGCTCTTAATGCCTACAGCTCTAGAAGTTCACAGGGATCCTGGGACACAGGTGAACTTTCTTAAGGCTCCATAGGAAGCAAAGGCACAACCTCTTGCCCCAATATACTTATTTTGTCTGAATTCACATTTTCCAAATCTCTGCAGCAGAGGCAGTGAGTGCAAAGTAGCATCACTGATGAAGAATAAGACCCGGGTTGAGAAATATTCCTTCAAAAAAGAGGTCCCTTTCAATAACAACTTGTGTCTGTCTCTCCTCCTCTCCCCCTTAGGGATGAACTCCATCTTTGTATATGTTGGCCACTCTCTCCTGGGTTTCTACTTCCCCTTCAGCTGGGAGATGCGCTTCCAGGAGAGCCACTGGGAGTGGCTCTTCCAAAGCCTGTGGGGAACTGCACTGTGGGTGCTCATTGCTTACCTGCTATACAAGAAGAAATTCTTCCTCAAAATATAAACTAGGATGATTACTGTCCCTTTTTCTGTCTGTAGATGTCATTATCTTATTTTTCAATTCTAAACCAACACTATTCATGGTAACATAATATAGATTATTATAACATCTGTGGACAAAACTCTGAGCCACTGTTCTTGGCTCAGTCTATTTAGTGAACTTTTCTAGTTGTTATGTACATGCATTTGAATGATATCCAAGCCATATCCAAGCCATCTGACAAATCAAGCAGCTGAGAGGAAGCGCTTAAAGTTTTTATCAAACACAAGCTGCAGCACAGTGAAAAAAACTATGAAAATGTTCTTCCATGAAACCCATTAAACCCCACCCAGTTTCTAAAGGAGATGTCTGATCCACTGTCATTGTGGGCAGCTGAGGATTTATTTTTTGCCACTTGTTTTGTGCACTGAATAGACTGATTAAATCAAATATACTGAGGTGGTACTTAACAAATTAGGCCGAGTGATTCCACTACACACCAGGCCAGCCATTATGAGTCTGTTGCCATGGCCACTCCTCTTTCTGTGTGTATGTCTGTGCGTGCGTGTGTGCCGGTACCATCTGCTGTCCAAGTGACAATACTTTAATAGGGGTCAAGATGCACAGCTCACACAGGAGTGTCATTAATGGGACAGACACCTCTTGCACTCATTGTATTAGAAAATCAGGGAAATTACACAAATCCAATTCATCAGAGAACAACGCCGAGCCTCCCCCAAGAGCCTGAGTCCATTACACGTTTTACATTTTATATATTTAACACACAAAGCTACTTACCTCCTGAAAGGGCTTTATTTTCACACTTGCATTATAATATTTCCACATGGTTGACAGTTGAGTTGAGTGATTTATATATATTTTTGTATACATGACAGTATTGAACACGCTCAGATCAGTGTGCCATCAGGTCAGGTGCTGTGTGGATCATGAAATGACCATCTAGTTAATGAAATGAAACAGCAGCATGCTCTTCTTTTTCAGAGTGAAATCATATTACACACTTCTCAGAAGCCGTAATAACATTGCGTACTATGGTGTAGTGGTTTTGGTAATTGTTTTATGAACAGAAGTTGTTCTTTGAATCCCTGCAGGTGCATGCTGCCTTCTTGAACAGGACTCAAGTCCATAATTGCTTTCCCAAACTACTGTGCCAGCAATGGGAACGCATAGCTGCATCTTCATGAGATGAAAATTGAATCAATACAGACTCACTACAGAGGTCTAAAGATATCTTTTGTGTATGTGCATGCAATGATAGAGCTTTGTATAAAAGTATAAGCATTTAGCTGACTCATTCTGAGTGGCATGCAGTAACTGCATAAGCTCAAAACCCATTAAACATCACAAGTAGCTGTTATTAAAGATCAAAAGGGTCTAAATAAGAATGTCCAGACAGTGGAAGTGATGAATATTCTGCTTATATTTCAGATTGAATTTCTGCTGAACCCAGGCTATAGTGCACTAAACTTGTTGTCGCTCAAGCATTGTCAGAAAAAAGCCCATAAGATATCTTGTGGTTCCACAGGCCATGACTACACCACCACATTTCCTTGTCTTTATTGATCCTCATTGTGTCTCAGGATACCTATAGTCTGTCATATGGAAACTTTATCCCAGATACAGTGTTCTCATGCAGCATGCATGCAATGATCCCCACATTCTCCCTTGATACATCATTCATCCTCATATATGGTGTAAGAAAACATACAGTAGGCTACAGTTTCTGTTAATGTATTAACATCAATTTGACATAAGAAAAGCTATCTTGAAGAAAGTAACAATTTACAGATGTTTTCTTGGAATTTTAAAAGAATAACTTTATTTTAAATGGATATACAGGGTTTTAGATAGAAGCTTATTGTGTACAGTTGAAGGTTAAGAGACTACCAAAAACTTAATATGATAGCTAATCTGGATATTATCAGGCTTTCAACATGCATTTTCAGTATAACAGCAGGTCCCACAAATGAGAAAAACTGAGTTAACCAAAGACAGCAGGTGCAAATATAATAACAAGGGTGATGATGTGTTTTCTTCCACTTGGTGAAAGTTGCTGGAGCTCCTGAGGAGCCCTGCCATCCCCTCTGCAGCCCAGTGAGCTTCAGTGTTTTTGCTCCATGCAGAGGCATTGATTGGAGGGCGATCGCTGTGTGAGTGGCTGGTGTCCTGACCCGAGGCTGCAGCAATGCATCACTCCACGCTATCCAGTCACAGAGAGATCCCTCACTTTAACACAACCTTCAGCCTTGGACACACACTCAAGACCAGAGAGGGGAAAGGTTCCACAGAGTTCGACCAGAGTCACGCAGCTGGACTTGCAGTAGTTAAAGTGTAATTTATGAGCAGATAGACTCTGCAGATGTATGCTGTGGTTAGTAGTGAAGCCTTAGTTATCCATATGGTGTTTAGGCTGCAGCACAATGGTTCATCATTTAGCAAAAAAAAAAAAAAATGCTACCTCCCCACTGGTCCTCCCCATTCATTTGATGCTGACTGTAACCACTTTTTTTTGTTTTAAATGTTGTTGTTTAGATCCACTGAAGTAAATATTTAAATGTCACTGGTGTTAGTGAATGGGGTTACATGCGACATAAAGATGATAATAATTATATTAATGATGAATTAAATTCATACATTTAGGAGTCTGTTATAATGAAGCAGTGATTAAAATGCACACACCTGATACCCTTTTTGAAAACAGTGCCTGTACCTTTAAAATGAACTATTACGCATTTAATGATAATTGTTAATAATTTTCCCCCCGCTGAGTGTTAATGAGATGACCGACCTGCTGGTAAATTATGCTCTTAAATTTCCTGTAGATGCTGTGCTGCCTGCTGCTGCGGAAGCAGCGGGGCAGTGAGTAGAGAACCCCCTCCCCCTGGCCAGCCAGCCAGCCAACCAGTCAGTCAGCCCAGCAGCAGCCACTGGAGCCGCACACAGCAGCCCGTCTATGGGACACTGAGGACTTCATCTGGCCGCCCGGAGCCGCGCACGCGGGACACGCACTGGTTTATTCAACGCCTCCATTTATTTTTTTTTTATCGCATTCATATTTTGAATTCGTCGCTCTAAGGAACTTTTTTGAATCGCATTTTCATTCAGCAACTTTCACTTATGGTTCGCGAATATGGGCTCAAGTTGCGGTTTCTCTCGGGGAAACATCGTTGTGGTGCTGCTGCTGCTGCTGCTGGAAGGTAAGGTTCATCATCAGCTTCATTGTTTGATTTCAGGGGCACAAGATGAAGTTGGAAACAATTTTAAATGTATGTAATTGCACTAAAGCATGTTTCCAAGTGGCTTTCTTGAAAAAGATCGGGCTATGCAGGCAAATAAAAAAACAACATTTAATGAAATTGAAATTTTAAATAGTGAAATGCAGCGGAGAAAATTTTGAAATCGTCTTTTCTTTACACTTCAAATCCTCTGCCCTGTTTGAGATATTATCTGTAATTCTGACAGCATTGTTCTTTTCTTCATCTCTTGCTTTCCTCTAAGAAAGGCAGGTACTTGTGGTAACACAGCAAGAACTAAAATATGTTTGGTTTGGGATACACTTAAAATGATTTTTTTATGATCAATTTATGATTCACTGTTAAACTGACTATCATGTGGGGGAAAAGATGAAGAGAAGAGAAAATTAAGAGAAATGCAAAAAAGGTTTCTGAGCTGCTACAAACAGAGCCAGTGGACCTGAAGTCTAGATGGCAACTGACAAATACACATTAAGTAGGCTGCTAGTTTGTAAAGCTAAAATGCAAAATTTCGGAAGCCCAGTGAGTTTAAGGCCTTTCCAAGAAGTATCTGAAATGGCACGAACACAATGCCAGCACTGTTTCATGCTGCAGAAAGTGATACTTGTATTGTGTGCTGGTTGTTATGTGTGGTATGACACACTGAAACCTAGAGTCAGATGAGTCCCATACCATATATCATAATATTATAATCCCATTCACAATCCCACAGCCCAACTGTACCAACACTGTCCACCCATGCAGTCTATATTTAAAGTGTCTCTCATAGGTCAGGAGTGTGCAAATCTCAGTGTGCAGCAAGTATGTCAGATGTGATGCTTGGACAAATATAGGCCATTGTGTGGACTTAAAACATAACAGAGGTTACTATCAGTGCTTTCATCAGGGATGTAGAGTGTAAAAGATTAGTCTTTTAGTTGAATTGAGATGTGAAAAAGGTGTTAATTTTGACGTGAGTGGCTCTGCGCTAGTTTATGCCTGCAAAAGTGGGCTTACACTCCCAGTAAACTACAGCCCTACATAATCGCTCCAGGGAGTGTTGCTCCTGCAGTGTTGTTAAAATGATTAATGAAATTTTTAAGGTGCCACAGTTGTGTGTAATGTTCTCTGGTTATTCTTCATTGTGACAGACAGTGTAGTCTCAGTGCACAGAGGCTGAGAGATGTAGATCGACATCACACTATGATGCTCCTATCACATGCCCTGCATATATTTGCATCTCAGTTCCCGCTTTGTTCTCCCTGTATTGTCACTGAAGCAGGCATCTCTGCTGATAGGTATAGACGACCACAGTCGGTCCAGTTTGATTTCGAATGTCAAGGGCGTGAAGGTAATTACATGGGTGCTGAAATCTACACCCTACGCAAACGCGGCGCCCCTCACCTGCCTGCTTGTTTGCAACAAAAGACCTACACTTGTTCAGAGAGGAGAAGAAGCGAGCTGCAGGCAGGTGTGCAGCAGCTGCTCCTATCTCTGGGCAAACACTAGCTGTTTGTTTTCTTTAGGAAAATATCGCCTGTTATACAAGTGCACACAGCATTCAAACCGCAGCTCGGACGTTAACTGCTCTCAAAATGACACATCAGATTGATTTTGCTGTATACGCTCAAGATGATGTTTTTGTCTCACTTTTTGAGGATGATGTGAGTTTTCATCACCATACCAGTCTAATATTTGTGAGAAACTAACGAATGGTTGCATTATTTGTTTAGATTGAAGTTAACAAAATATATTAGTAAGTGTCTAGTAATTTACAGCCTCACTGTTGTAGGTAACAGGTTAGTGATTGGTTTAGTGTTACTTGCAGAGGGAATCAAAAAAAGGAAATTGGCAATCAGCGCTCACTAGAAGAGTAATCAGCATTTTTCTGCGTCGCCCTGTACTTACGAGAGGAGTTAAGTAGAAGAAGTAAAGCAGTTCAAGACTTGAATTAGAGTGAATTGGAGCCTGGTAACCCTCTTTGTTTATGTAGTTACAGTTGGAGTTGGTGGCAGTCTGGATGTAAAAAATGATTTCTTGCAATCATGGACATCTTTTGATCAGTCATGGCTTTGTTAATATTTGAACTTTTGATCAGGAAGAAGCAGAA